TAGCTTTGACAGTGGTTTCATTTTAAATTTTAAATCTTGTATAGATTTTACATTTGCATAAAAATGAGAATCTAAACTAACGAAAGCTCATAAAACATATCAAATGCTATGGCTTTTCCTCACTTCTTCTTCTTCTGAAAATCACTTAATAATATTGAAATATTGTATTTTATGTGATACTTTTCTCTGTCGTTTTATGTCAAAACTCGAGTAACAGTTAGTAGTAAGTTCTCGACAACAGTCTACAACTAGTCGACAACTAGTACAACCCGAGTATTAAGTTGAAATTGAAAATTTCCAAATCAATAAGTTATTTAGTTTTTATTGTCTTCAGTGTTTACAAGTGTCAATGGCAATCAATAAGTTCCCTAATTAGAAATAAAATACGTAATTTTACCAATTATTCAAAACAATTGATCATTAGACACTTTAATCGCCAATAAAATCAATCGCACAACTATTGAAAATGGCCGATGACATGCTATGCTATTGAATAATTAAAATTAAAGTCGTTAAATTGAAATTAAACCATTAATTGACAATAGATCTTAGCAGCGAAAGCTCATCTTAGGAGATTAGAAACTATAATAATGACGAAGCCAAAAAAACTTCTAGAATGATGACTGAACTTGGCACTAAAATGGATAAAAAGAGTTAAATCTTTCTGATCTTACAATTTGCAGCGAATACGATCAATTGAAAGAATCTTGTTCAACCTAAAAGTGAAAATATTCAACAATGGGTGAGAATCACACTCAATTAAGAGAAAGATTTCATAGAACATTCAAAACTGATTCCTCTATTTTGCAAGATTGTTTCTGAACAACTAAGAAGAACAGATTTGCTGTTTGAGTGAACCTCTTTGGTAATGACTATTATTGCATTGTAACACTCGATGAAATTGAAAGGGGGCTTGAGCCGTAAAATTGACTTTCGAGTTAAGAATAGGGATTTTGTGGGTTTGTAGAAACATAAACTGAGTAGATTAGTGCTTATAAAAAGTTTCTCCGATCCACAGTTTTCGAGGAAATCGAAGTCAAAGTTTGAATTTCGATCGACTTTTGTGTAATAATGCAAACAGATTTTTTCATGAAACTTATTTTATTGATGTTACTTCTGATGGCTAACCAGAAAATGCACTTGCTTGGAGAAATAAAGTTTTAAGTTTCCTTAAAACAGATTAAGTTCGATTTTCATTGAAACCTTCCGCATTCTATTACCACAGGAGTTAGAGAGCGGAAACTTAGCATTTGTCCATGAAAATTGTTGGCACACCTCATGGATCGAATAATTTTTTCAATTAATCAACATTTTTCTAGATTTTGGCCATCAACCGGAAAATTTTGACCCTCAATATTTCGAGAATTACACCATCTACAGTCATCATTCTTTCACCAATGCGATCCTTTACTTATTAATCGTTCGATTCAGCTCAATAACCATCCATTTGTGCATGTGGGTCATCATTTTTGGGCTGTAAATGTAACAGAAATAACTTATTCAACAAAATAAACTCATCTCAACCCATATCTGGTTAAACAAACCAATTTTCTGGTTAAACTTCCACCGAAGATGTAAAAAGTACTACCAAAGACTCAAACATTTGAGTAAAGGGTTGAGACTTGGCGGGTTTGTAGGGACATGGAAACTGAGATCATTGGTACTATTTAATAATTCGTTGGATGGACAGTTTTCGAGAAAATGGAGGTTAAAGTTTGAACTTCAATCGTCTTTTATTCAGCTATGGAAGCAGATTTTTCCATGATACTTATTTTACTGATGTATCTTTTGATGGCAAACCAGAAAATGGTCTTCTTTTGAATAATAACATTTTCTGTTTTTGTACATTAGATCAAGTTCGATTTTCATTGAAACCTTCCGCATTCTGTGACCGTAAGAGTTAGAGAGCTGAAATTTTTGATTAATGGATAAAATTTGTTGGTACATATCCATAACCGAAAACTTTGATCAACTTATCACCAGTTCTCTTGATTTTGGCCATTGGCCTTAAAACTTTGAGCCTCAATATTTCGAGATTGGCATCATATACAATCGTCATTCTTTGATTGAACATTAAATTTCATTATGGGCTACAACTTTATATAGCTAAATATCAAGAAAATCTGAGCTAAATAATTTAATAATGAATACACTTCTAACACATCATAGATTTGTTTTTGAGTAACATTTACTGATAAATAAAGAAGCAAATCTAACAACATAAGTTATACAAAGCTATAACTTTTTTGTTAGGATTTTGAATATTTTCATATTGCAATATATTACAGCCCATAATCGTATCTAATGTTTGGAATAAGAATGATGATTGTGTGTGATGCCATTCTGGAAATATTGAGGAAGAAAGTTTTAAGGCCAATGACCAAAATGAAGAGAACTATTGATAAATTGAAAAAAGTATTCGATCCATGAAGTGTACCAACAATTTTTATCGACTTATAACAAGTTTTCGCTCTCTGACTCTTATGACCATATAATGCGGAAGGTTTCAATGAAAATCGAACTTGATCTGTTTTAAGGAAACTTAAAACTTTATTTCTCTTAACAAGTGCATTTTCTGGTTGGCCATCAGAAGTAACATCAATAAAATAAGTTTCATCAAAAAATCTGTTTGAATAGCTACACAAAAGGCGATCGAAAGTTAAACTTTGACATCGATTTCCTCAAAAACTGTGAATCGAAGAAACTTTTTAAAAGTACTAATGGGATCAGTTTATGTTCCTACAAACTTCCAAATTACCTATTCTTAACTCGAAAGTCTCAGTTTCTGCTATCACTTCTTTATTTGAAAGCATTAGTTAAAATTATAATTGCCTTGTTAATTTCAAAAATCCTATCAGTTTGAAATCTTAATGTATATTTGATGTTTTGAAGCTAATTTTGCCAAAGATTGAGAAACGATTTAATCAAAATAATGAAATCAATTATGCCCTACAGTCCTCAAAGTAACAACTCTCAGCTCGAATCAAATTTTTAACGTGTTCCTAAAGAATGCCAAAATTAACATTATTTTAACAAAAACTAATTTCAGCTTTTGGATTTCGGATTCTGAAGATGATTTTTTAATTACGAATTTGAGTATTTTGAAATGCATTTATTGTTCTCAGTGAAATTAAATTTGCGATTGCAGTTGCCTCAAGTTCAAATGTATTAATAGAATCAAATTAAATTGAAAGAAAAATTCAAGCATCCTTTTGTTGGTCTTTCATTACAAGAAACTATGGCTAAATTATTATACGATAAGGAGCATAAATTGGCTGAAGGTTTGAAAAAAGACTTTAAAGTTCCCGAAAGAAGATTTTGGTTACTCAAAATCAATATTTTAGCTATGCAAAGGGATTGGAATGAACTTGAAAAATTAGGCAAAAATTAAAATTATCCAATAAATTATGAGGTTTATTAAAATTGAACATTACATTTAGACTAAATAACATTTCTAACAATTAATAGCGATTATATTTTGTTTAATTTTTAGCCATTTGTATCTGCTCGCCTCAAATTCACAAACAGGACAAAAAGTGTTCAATGGTGAAAAATGGCGATTATGTACCATGTTTCAATTCCCCTGAATTGCATTTTTAATCATAACTTTTGATTTTTTGAGGATTGATTACTTTTTTACCAATCTTCAACAATGGAACAGCTTGTCTATTGAAAACAATTGGAAGGCATGTAAATTGGCAAAAAAGTAACTGTAAATTATTAATAATCATGCAATCTTGGAAAAAATCAAGAGTAATCATGATAAGAGGCGACACTGAGCAATATTAATTTATTTTCACTTCACTAATCGTCCACGGAAGCTAATAAATGTCTAATGTGGCGCTTCTTAAAATTGATTGTAACACTATCTGAGCAAATTGATTAAATTGTAGATGAAATTTTCTGTAAAATGTGTTGATTAAATTGTTTCAGGAATCAGTTTTTGGCCAGCAAGTTACATTAATGAAATTGCAATTTCAGCTTAATTGGAATGATAATAACAAAGTAATACTCTTCACCTAAGCAAGAAAAGCTGAGAAGTTGAAAAGGAAAAAATATCAGATTATTACGTTGATGATGAAGATGATGATGATGGAGATGGTTAAGGATAGAGGCAGAGAGAGAGAAAGAGAGAGAAGAGAGGGAATTAAATGAGCCCCACGAAAAATCATCTCACCGTAAGAAGAGGTAAAGAGAGGATCTAGAATAGGGCAAAAAATGCGGCAAATAATCGTAAGGTTGGTGGAGTTCACTGCCCTGACTTTTATACCAAGATGATAAGAAGGAGGAGGAAAGAAAGATGAAACTAAAGGAGGATCTGAAGATGAATGAAGAGAGATGGCGAAGTGAGTTTAATATGGTTTGAATATCGCTGGTGAGTCCACAAAAGCAAACCAGTTTCAAGGTAAGATGTTGCATGCTTTCGCTCTCAAGGAACCGCTTCTTAGTTTCCTTTAACATCTTACCCAACAACATTTCATCTTTTCTCTCTTTTCTCTATCTTTCTCTTTCTTCTCATCTTTATATCATCACTTCTCCTTCTCTCCTTCATCCATCTCACTCTTTCAGTATTCACCATTACCTTCATCATCATCTGAATCAGTGTTGTTTATTTGACGCTAGTGAAGATACATCAATACACATTTGATAGCCTTACATTTGCCTTTTGTTTACCTTTTATTCACTTTTGTTTACCAACCAAACTTCATTGGTTTTACTCATTTTTTCAATTTCACATTCATCAACATCTTAAATTGTGCTTCACCCTGCAACCATTATAATTTAATAATAAATCATGTGAAATGTTGATTTGATTGAACAAAAATAGTGTTCCCATCATCGGTTGATCATTTTTGGTTTACCCAAATTGCTTCTTGTTTAAGTTTGTACATTTACCTTTACCTCTGTGATTATTTATTGTGATTATTAATTTATTTAGATATAAATTTTCATCGTTAGTTAATTGTTACACCTTCAATGGATTAATGTGCTTAAAATTTTAATTCACTTCTAATTGCTTCACTATTTTGCCTCTTCTTTGGTTAAGATTAAGCTTCTCACCGGCTGTGTACCATTGGATAGGCTTTAAGGCTATCTTCAATCACTAACTATTTTCCAACACCTTGTGTACCTAAATTTAATTTAATTTAAAATATGCGGTTAAAGAGTCTATTATGATTCTTAATCACTATCACAATCAACACAATCAACCTTGTATATTTCCTTGTTTGTTGTTAACCTTGTTAACAGTGACAACCTTATTTCCAACGTTATGTTGGTCTACCAAAGAAAATATTTCCTCTTCTTCCAATATAAACATTCCTAGTGACTTAACAACCCTTAAAATTGACCGTCGAGAGGACATCGATGTTACAACAACGGAAGATGGCCTTAGTTCATTAGAATCACTAGACTCCAAACCAATTACAGGTTAGTATCCTTTTAACCAGATTTTATCAGAGTTTTGGGTTAGCTTGAAACTGCTTTCAAAAGTCTCAAGAATATCTAACGACCATTAACCTATTCAATGAAAGAGTTGATGAAAAGATCCCAAGAACTAAAAAAACAGGGAAAATGTGAAAGTCAATTGTAATAGTTAACACCAATGGGTTGACAATTAAATTAATGGTTCACTGATCAACAGATTGCCAAAAAATAAACTATTGATTTGACTTGCCATTATTTTACTCGTCGTTATTTACCTGTTCACAAACTACTCTCATAGACTGGTTGTAATGGTTATTTGGGATTAATATACAATTGATGGTCTAATGATTTACACTTTTATATTGAACATTTTCCGCTGACAATTTATTTAATTATTGTAGTTTGAATCAAATTTTTGGGTCTTTCCAAAATCTTTTCATTTACAAATGTTTTTGTTTTAACATTGTTTCAATATTGTCCTTTGCTTTAGGTTTATCAATTGCTGAGATAATTTAACTTTCATTTTCAGAATTAAAACCTTTGTTCAATCAGCTATTATACTTAATCATCATCTCCACCCAAGAAATTAAAGCCAATTGTGAATTGTAAAGATTTACTGATGAAAATCAAAGACAATGCAACAATCTTATTCATTAATTTTCTTAGGATTTCCTTTATGTTAACTTAAACAATCAGCTAATTACCATCTTAGGTTTAGTAAGCTTCTGATGTTTGCATTTGAAATAATTAACTTTCGTTTAGTCCGCAAGGAAACAGTTACCTTATGGAGCAGCAACATGATAAGACACATCAACTGTTATTAAGTCTTCTGTATATGTAATATGTTTTTTTAATCACGGAAATGGTCAACAATTTAATTGTAAAGATCATTGATGATAAACATGCAATGAAAATGAAGAGTCAACGGTATTTAAATTACCAGTGAATTAACATGATAATGTAAAGCTCTGTTGGTATGAAAATGTAATTTTTTGATGTTAATTTTTGTTTTTTTTTCTTCTGCTTTTTAACTCTTAATTTGATCGTTTGGCTCTCTCTTTCTCTCTGGTTATCATAACTACCATCAACAAACTAATAATCGTAAAAAATTAATTGACTGTTAGAAGCTGCCGAGTCGAGTGGTCTTCATGAGATTAATAACCCTTCCGAAGGATCATCAAACAGCCGTAAGGTTGAAGACAAGAAGACTGCCTCACAGCTAACGCCATCTTCATCATTAGCTTACCCATTAGCTTCATCAACCTACTCATCAAGTCTCCTATCCACAGTATCTTCATCCAGTTTATCGTCAGTGACCAATTCACCAATAGTGGTTCCATCTAAATCAACTAACAATGAGACAACATCGACAACTAAACCTTTGGTTGAGAGTCCACCACAAACACGTGCAAAACCAGCTGAGTTCAATGAAACCATTACCGAGGTAGCTTCTCGTCGTGATGAGACACACAAACGAAAGGTGAATGGTAACCCTTCTGTCGATGACATTATTGGAAGTATAATTCAATTGATTGGAGGAAATGTGAAACTCAGCCGTCCACCAATAACACCAAGGCCTGGGCTACAAAACCATGGAGGACCTCCTGGTCGTCCAATGTTGATGCCGTATCCACCTCATCCTCCTCCTCCACCACCACCGCCACCACCTCCTCCTTCACAATCAGGGTCTAATCAAGGCCAGTTGGGATCAGCAAATAATCCTTCACGAATTAATAATCGTGGTCCTCCTAAGGTTGCCTTCATTAATGGTCCAAATGGATCACCTTTCCCTTCAAATATGATTATTGGACCTGGTCAACAGGCAGGTCTACCTATTCCTATCCCGACCAATTTTAATCAACCTCAATCTCAACCTCACCCAGTACCTCAACAAAACCCAAGACCACCTGAACATATTCCTTCTGGTCGACCCAACAGAGAACCAGAGGAAACTGAAGCTAAACCCAATGAGATAAATTACAACACTCGAAAACAAGTCATTAGTGAAGGCAGTGATCTTAATGCCATTGGATCTGTACCTGAAGGTAATAAGCAAAATCAACATCATCCATTCCATCATCATCAAAATCAACGATTCAAGGGACCATCAATGTTAAATCAAGGCGAAAATTTTGAGTCAACAAATCGTGTACCTCAACCACCTGTGATCACGTTAGAACCATCTCAATCAGTTTCTATAACATCAACAGTGAATACTGTGACAGCTACAGCTATTAAACCATTGGCTGATGCTAACAGAAATCAAAATAATTTTGAGCTAAACGAAGGTTTACATTCAATTAATCGAACTGCAACCCTAGAAGCATCGATTAAACCGTTAAATGTTTGGGATACAAGTGAATCGTCAAAAGGATCATCATCTTCAAGCGTCAGTTCTAGTAGTATTAGTGAAACACCCTCACTTGGATCATCAGTTGGTTCAAATATATTTAACAGTGCCTTAGTTCCTAGTGGACCTGTGACTGCATGGTTACCCTTTTTTGTTCAACCGAGTGTTTCATCATCCAAAGTTACTTGGTCTGATGAGCCTCCTCCCATTATCACAAAACCTGAAGAACCGTCAGTGTTTGATATAACAGTAAAACACAAGATTGGTCCAAATTCAGCCCGTGTTCAAGAAGTACCCAAAATTGTTCCCACTCGACCAATTGAATCATCTATTATTGTTCCTACAATCAGTACTAATCAATTAGAATCATCTTCATCAACATCATCAAGGCCAATAGAAAGCTCATCTTTAGAAACAACAAACTCTGATTTACCGTCTTCTGCATCAGAAGATAAAACTATCGACTTAACAATATCACCATCATCATCGTCTGCACACTCTTCTGAAGTCACAAAAACAGCTGAACTAGGAAGATCATCAACCAATTCAACCCGTCTTTTGTTTCCATCTCGCCCAGTAACCAGTGATCCTGAACCAGACATTGTCTATGGTAGACCAGCAAACAAAGACAATGCCGCAGCCAATCGAGGATCATCTCCTCACAAACCAACCCACCATCTTGGTTATCCACCATCAGGAAAACCTGCTGCCAATCCATATAATCGTATACCAGTAACCACCAAGGAACTACCTAGACCATTAATACCTACATCAGTGAGTAAAACTTCAAGTTCAACTGCTTTACTTGGACGGCCAATTGTGATTCCAGTTGATGTAGATGAGGTTCGCCCAAATATTGGAGGAAATGGTGGAGGCGGAAGTGGAGGAACCCCCGATGTTCTCACAGAACCAGGTCAGGGATCAGTATTTATTGATGGGAAACCAACTTACTTCAAGATAAGACCAGGACCACCAAAACCCGCTGGTCCCACATTGCAAGTTGGTTCCGGAGTAACCATCAATGTTGATAATCCTCCTGGACCAGTAGGTGGTGCCGGTGGTAAACCTTTACCTCCCTCACCACAATCTCAAGTTCCTGTTGCTGGCCTTCCAGGTAATCCTAGTACCATTTCAGGTACTGGATCACGATCAGGGTCATCATCATCCTCTGTTGTTCGTCGACCTCCCTTCAGACCTCGTCCAAACACACCTCTAGTGCGCATTGATACATGCATAGTGGGTGATGATTCTACCTGCGGTGCTAATTTAAATGAACACTGTAAAACGGAAGTAGGCATCTCATCGTGCCAATGTAAACCAGGTTATGGTCGAACCACGGCTCGAGGAATGTGTACTCCAGTTGCCTCATTGGGGGTCTTCCTGAGGTTGGATAAACTGGGTGAATCAAAAGTAGTCTTTAACCGTAAATTAATGGATCCTGATACAGAAGAATTTCAATATTTGGAATATGAAGCTCTTCAAGCGCTCAATTCGCTCTTCACTACTTCCCGTTTGGGTAAAGTATTCAAAGGTGTTCGAGTTAATAAATTTTACTCGATGGGAGGTAAAACAGTTGCCAATGCAACAGTTGAACTTGACCGTACCAATGTAACCAGATCAGCTACCATTAAAAAGATTGTCCAACAAGAATTGGTTCGAGTTATTGCTACCAATAATAATCGTCTTGGAGATTCCCAGTTATATGTAGATGCTTCTTTACATGCAATTCCTAAAGTCGATGACATCAATGAATGTGCCAACAGTGAGCTTAACGATTGTTCAAAGTTTGCTGTTTGTACCAATGAATTTGGTAGCTACCGCTGTACCTGTAAACCTGGTTATGAAGATAAATTTTCAGCTGATCCAGTTAAATCAGGTCGACATTGTGCTACTTGTTCACCAGCCTATTGTTCAAATCGAGGTGATTGTGTGGTAATCAATGGGGAAAAAGAGTGCAGATGTCGAGGTAATTTTATTGGTTCACGTTGTGATATCGATGGTGAAGTTCTTGGTGTTGCTCTTGGAGGTTCAGTTGCAGCTTTGGTAATCATTATCATCACCTTCCTATGTCTATACATGTGGAAGTAAGTATAAAAATTTCATCTTTTGTTTTTGCCTGACCTTAAACAAAAGCAATTACAATCATAAAATCAATTTACATCTGTTACAATGAATTACCAATTGTTAAAAAATTTATTATTCAAAGTCAATATCAAGCCATAAAATTGGCAACTCAAATATTATTTCAATTTCAACTGTTACCATTTTTAGCTGAAGAAATTAACGTTAAATGGTAGAATTGATATTTTTGGTAAATCTATTGAATACAGAACAAAGTTATTCATAAACAATTCATGAGATTTTATTGTTGAACAAAGATGAATGTTAATACTGATGAGGGTTTAATCAAAAGGAAAACAAATGTTAACCATGAATATGGATGATGATTGTTATTGTTGGACATGTTGGTGTTATTTTTTGCGTAAAAATACTCGCAATTGTTATTGCCATGTTGTATTTTATCAAGTAATTGATTAATCTTTACCTTCTTCCTTGTTTCAAATTATTCAGTCAAAGATGGAAACGAGAGCAACAAAAGATGGAAGCCATGTCTTCAGGGAGTGGACAAACCTTCAGCTATGTAAATAAAACTCAAGCCGCTGCTAATTACCGATGCAACTTAGATGATCGAGCTCGTTGGGCTACAATGACTCAAACTCTTCCTGTCAATCCTAATTATAATTATTATGTTGTAAGTGTTGTGAGCTCATTCAAGTTTCCTTTATCCTGATTACCTGATTAACTCGTCAAATGCAACTGCATATGCAAATATGTAGATGGTTTCATTAATTAACCCTTAACAATACTTGAGTGCTTCCTTTTTTGTTACCAAATTGTCCATCAACTAAACCATATTATAATATGCGTTTGGTTGAATCTTGGTCAATTTGATTCCATTTGATTGTATTACTATCATTGTAAACACTAGATCAATGATCTTAATCACAATTCACACAGTTTGATACTCTAATGATTATATTATTGTTTTCTTTACACGCTTTTGATCACATTCAATTATTGTTAGTAAGTTACTTGATTTGTATGTAAACTTTTACTCCTTTTATATATCATTTCACTTTCTCTCACCATTTGATTATTATTGTCATTAACCATTTGTGATTACCGAGACAGTCAGTGAAAGTGGCAAGAATCACCATTTACATGATTCATGTTAATCCATCCTTTTCCCATTAACCTTTCATACAACCTTTACATGAGTAAATCCTAAATGGTTGTCACTTTTCCAGTGATTTTTTTCCAATGATCTTTCTTACTCTACTATTAATCAGTTGCTTAATGATTTTGTAAATTAACTTTCTTCTCTCTGATTACTGACAGAATCCTGAGCAATTAATGGCAACTAGTCAACATGTTTATGCAACGCCTGGACGAGCTCAAACACCTGAAGCATTGATTAATGATGATACTTGTCCAGTTGATTCTCGCCATTATCCCAGGCCAATCAGATCAAAATCGCGTGCTTCTTTAGCTCCAGGACCTTACTCTACAATGGTAAGTCAATATGAGAAAAGGCCTAAATTGAACAATCAATGGTAACATTAATTTGAACTCAATGTGAACTAAATCTGGTTCAGATGTCACTCATAAAGTACATTCAATGATACACAATAACTTGATTTTTTGAAAGTTAGTCTACCAAACACAAGCCATAAAGATTGATTGATAATTGTCAGTTGAATTGTCATGGCAAGCAAACATTGGATTTTAACAAAAGGATTGAAAAAGCTACAATTAGATTACAATTCACAATTCTTCATCAATTTTTTCACTTGAAATTAATTGGAATTCCGTAATTAAGGTCAATATCAGTTCTGTAGCCGTTAAATCACTCTAAAAATGTAATTATTGGTTCATTGATTGAAACAATCAATTGTTTGAGTTTGCACTTGGATTGGACTAAAAATGCATTAGTAACAATTTTAACCTTAAAATTAATTAATAAATACTATCAATACCTTTGATCAGTGACATTGCAATCCTAAATCATCTAACTGAATCAATGTTTCAATCAAATGGTCAAATTGTTTAAATTGATAAAACAGCTAAAAAAGGATGAGATCAACTATTTCTAGAGTTGCCATTGAACTTGATGAACAAATAGACCGATTTACCTGTTAATCAAGTTGACTCTTTGAAACAAATTAACTAATACAACAATTTAACGCAACAAAAAAGGTCAAGAAAAATCACAATTTAAGATAGCTGATAATCAATCTCTGTAGTGATAATCCTAAATCACACTTGAAACCGTAATGAAAATCCCAATTATAAATTGACTTTTCAACTTTTTTATTTGATCAACCGTTAGTTGATTGTTTTGTGTCTTGATCTGTGCAATTTCAATCATTGATATCAGACTGAAAGAAACAGTTATTCAAAGTCATATCTGACTTTTCACATTACTTCCAGTCAATTGCCGGAACCAGAAAAAGTCAACTCAAATCGGTGAACAATGTTTAATCATTGTGATAAAGATGAAGATAATGATGATCAAATGATTGAGTCTTGAAGCAGTTGAATCAATTTCCTTTTCTGTTTTTCCTTCCATGTTTTTTTTCTTGCCCATGAATTGAAAAATTGAACTCTTCCTGAAAATCATTTTGTTTTTACTCTTTCTAACATTGAATTTTTTATATCCAATATTTGACTGATTAGTTTTGATCAAATAACCGTGAAAAAGTGAAAAAAAGTCATTTCTGTTGTCAAAATATTTCTTTCAATCTTATTGTTCATATTGAATAGTGTTGTCCTCTTTGACTTGGTCATTTTGAGGTTAGTTTTCATGATTTTCAAAGTGTATTCTTAATTTTTTCATTAACATTGACCTTAACTTTGAAAATTTTGAGCTTTTTTGTTGTTTTTAGTTGCAGTTCATTTCCTTGCTGGTCCACAATTAACTGTATGGTGGTTAAAGCTATTATGTTATACTGTTTTAAACAATCAAAAGATCTTTTAAATGTAAATTTTACCGTTAACTTATTTGTTGAAGGTTTGTTGAACAATTTTTCCAACCAATTGATTACAGTGATCGTTTGCTGTTATTTTAATTGTTGAAAGTCTTATTATAAAACATTTAGTTCACTACTTGATTAAATAGATGGTAACACTTATTTGATTTCACTTAATTGTTTTTGTTTGATCAACCATATATTCATCATTTGCACTTGATTTTTTCATAATGATTTATGTGTTTCATGAAAATGCTTTCAACCCAATTATCACTATTTATTGTGTTTATAATTGTTACTTTTTATCCAAAATTTTTGGTTATGATGAGTAGAGAAAGTTGAAGTTTTCCCATTCTTTTCATATTCATGTATTACTTACCTATCAACAGTTCATGAGATGATCTATTTCACGTTCACAACCAATCAGCCTGTAAACAAGGTTAACGTAAATTAACTCATTTCAACTATTATCGATTGTAATCTTCATAATATTCAGACTGATATGTTTACACATGCATTCTGTGATAGCCGATCAGAATGGTAATCGTCTGGAAACGAGAGAAAAATATTTTCAGATTTGTCATCAAAACTTGGTCATAACGGCAAACAATAAAAATTTTGAGAGCAATAATCAAGTTCAAGTTTCAACTAATGATAAATGTAATACAGTTTCTAGTTTGATTATTATGGATAACGCTATTATCATTTTCACTTGCGGTTTCATTGGAAGGTGAATAAGGTAAAAAATAGAGCTTCCATGGATCGATGATAATTTATAATAAAGAGTTGCTTTAATCTAATGTTTAAGAGAATTGGTTGAAGAGTTGAAAAAACAATAAGTATATTATTATGGGCAAAAATTTAAGGGTAAAAGTTGACTAGGATGAAAAAATGAGATGGTAATGATGATGAATGGCAAAGGAGATAATTATCAAGAGCTGTATTTTTTTCTTGATGAATGATAAGCTCAGAATATCAAACAAAGTTTCAGTCAAATGTCGATAAGGATCATTAAATTTAGCCTGAGAATATGCGGTTTACAGATTATTCTGGCTCATGATGATTTCCTGTCTCACTCACCTTTATACTTTTCTTACTTTCCTTGCTTCGCAACAATCATCAGGTTTCTTCATTTTTTCCCTCTTTCTTTTTCTAGCCTCTTCTTCTGTTCTTTTCTTTTTCCTTTTTTCTCTTCCTGTTTACAGGGAAGACAGGCAGGTAACTCTAAACACTGTGAGTCTTGTTTTTTTCTCACTATTTATTCTGGTTTCTCCTTCTTCCTTGGCTTTGGAATGCTCATTTTTTCCCTACAATACGCAATACAATGAGAATCAGCATGTAAAGTTACCATCCATGTTAACATTGAATGATGAAATGGTCCAGACTGACCAGTGATTAACAGAAATGATCCTCTAAAGCTTTACAACGGCAACACCTGTTGAATATTGAGTACTTGATTATGATGTTTGAGTTAGCTGATGATTTATGCAGTGGATGCCAAAAATGTAAAACAATAACCAAATAACTGCTGAAATTGCCTGATTATTCCGAGGCCATGTCAATGTGTCTAGATTTTTTTTCCTGGCTTTGACCAAAAATTGATTCATTTCAACCAAAGGAACATCATTTTGCTAGATCAGTGGGAAAAATAACAAGAATGAAGAGTTAATTAGTATCATGGGTATTTCATGAATAAGTTAACATAGATGGTAAAATATCAAATTGATTTATAGCTTATTTTGATGAAGAAACGATTGACTTGCAATATCATTGGCGTTTTAATGAAAGCCTATCAACCATTTCAAAGTTCAACGTACTTAATATCTTCAAATTTGATACATAATCTTACCTTCTGCAATAGGCACCTTACTCTGGCTGTTCATCTAGTCTTACAAAATATTTCAACCTGCCTTTCAACCTGATCAGCTTTGATAAACCGGTTTATCCAATGGATCAGATCTACCTTTTTCTTACTCTCAATTCGTTACCTTTTTTGATCAGCAACTTCTCCTCTATGTATTACTTCTGTAGGTAGTTGGGGCAAATTTTTGCAACACATTACAATGCAAAAAAAAGCGAGTCAAGTGGATACATTTTAGAGGATAGACGAAAAATTTTTTACACCAGAACAAGTTTTCTCCTTTGACTAATCACAAGATGTTGTTAATTTTAGATAAATTGCACCAGAACTGATATCAGGAAGCTACTGTACTCTTGCAGTTGACCGGAAATCAACCGGTAAAGTGTAAAAATGTTTGGTAAATGTCAACCAATTGTCTTAATAGGTAACAGATTGTTGTCATCTATCAATTTCCTGTATTATCAACATCATGAGTTTAATCTCGATTTATAGTCCATAACCAATTTGATTGATTGTCATTCCGTGGTCTGAAGACATCTTAAAGTAGCGTCTGGAAAATGATGATCTAGAATCACGGTGGAAGAAGCAAAAGAAATAAAAAGCATGAAAAAGCTAAATATTTAACTATAATTCTTAAAGCAATTACGCAGAAAACGTTGATCAATTTCATCATTAAAACATGGTGTGATACTAACCTCAGTTGAATTAATTGGTTTTAGAGTTGAAAATTAAGGCTTCACATTGCATGATTAAGTGACTGAATTATTACCAAAAAAACATTAACATAAAACAAGAAATCAAAAGGGAAAAAAAGCTAAATGTATAATCGATTGTCGATATATTGGTAATTGCGTCTACTATTTTTGCATATCTTTTGATAGCTTAAAACGGTCTTTTGTTTTACATTTTTGGCTTTGTTTTGTTTTCTTGCCTTATCTTGTTTAATGACTTTTTTGCGTTCCGGTCAACAAAGTTACAAAATTATTGTACAATTTGGATTTACATTAAACTTGTAAAAATGACCGTAAATCCGATTCTCTAAAGCTAGCTTAATGAAACTGACTTGCAACGGTGAAGCATTATGTAGTCCATTATGCTTCACCCTCTTCTCTCTCTGCTTGATGGTGAACATTTGTTTTCATTCTTATTTTTACCAGTCACTGTTTCTCTTGTATTCACTACCATCCCGATGACCTCTTAGCTTGAATCTTCAATTAATTGTGTACAATTTGATCAAATTAACTCTAAACTCAAACCTGTTTCCGGATTCTGTGTTTTACTTACACTTTAGCCTAAAAAAGTAAAGTTAAGTTTACAATGTTTCTTCAAATTTTCAACCCAACCACCAAGAAACATTTAACTGTTATCTATTGTTAACCTAAACCAGCTCATTTTTTTCATGCAACTTCACCTCAACCTCAGCAAATAATATTTCATTTCCATAATGGATTCCATTATTCACAGGATAACTCTAATAACACACAAGTACTAGTAGCATCAATTGAGTGTTCAATTGACAAGTTGAAAGAGAAAGAGAAAAGGATATTCAATTGAACAAATTTAAAGATTATGTTCATAATTTTATTGCGCTTTTTGTGTACCTTGATTAACAATTGACTTTTTTACTAATTGTGCTAAAAACCTTTTCATACGAAATGTTGTACTAATTCAATGAGCTGGTTCAAATTTTGATACAACCTTTAAACACCCAGTTCAAATGAGATACTAATCATGTATTGAAAACTAATTTAACCCTTTTATAGATGATGGTGCAGGTTAGTTGAGTTGAAATTTCAGAAAATGAATTTGTAATTGTTGTAAATATGGTGTTAATTTGATGCAAAAAAGCTAATTTGATGTTCGGTCAAGATGCAAACTTGAACTCCCACGGTTTTTGATGATTATTCTGGTTATATGCTTGTCCTGTCTTGTCCTTTCTTGTTCATGCTAATGACCATATGTTTGTATATGGAGCTGACGATGTTAATCTGGTGCAAAGATCAGGTTACCAAGTTTCTTGTCCAGTCAACAGTTGGTCCTGTTAATGGTTGGTTGAAACTTTCAAATGGAAAATAATTTTCTCAAAAATTACAATACAATTACAATAATACATTGGAAAAAGCCTGATAATTATTGCTGCAATTTAACCCGAAAAGCAAACAGACAATTGAAGGATTGATAAATTTAAAGAGGAAATAATTAAGATACTTTTGATTCTTCATCTTTACCCAACATTGTGAGACGACAATTATAAAAATACTGGAATCTTGAAAAGCTGCTCTTGGAATGCTGATTGCTCGGAAAACCTCTCAATGACCCAACTTTCTTCCATCTCTCTCACCATCCACATTCACACTTACACTTTAATCAAGTTTCCATTATTTTACCTTCAATTAACCGATCAATTAACTTGTAACACCCAAGTTGCAAGTTAATTTAATATAAGCAACCATTAATAATGGCTAAAGCTTTCAAATAATGCAATTTATTGAACCATTTTATCCAGTTTGGAGGCGACTTTCAAGATGACTTATCCAATGGACATTTGACTTGACAAAAAGAGCGGATCACAGTTGGATAAATTGAAATACAAGATTGGAAAGAAGTGAAAGGCTCATCATCTCAACTCATCATTTTCATGAATATATTGACAGTAGCTTTGGATTTTGATCAGCTTCCTCTCTTTACCTGTCTTTGCCTGTTTCACCAACTTGTCTTGTTACCTTCATCATTTCGTTATATCTGAAGACCTCCAACATAGCTTGTTTGATAGACCAACTCACCGATACACAACCTTGAAGAACAAAAGGCCAACTTATTCAGCTTTTCATCTTTCTCTTTCATCGTCAGCTTCATCATCATCACCATCCAATTTTTACCTTTTTTCTTACCTTCATTTTAGTACCTTATCACCTTACCTTTGAAGCAATCATTCCTTGATGAGAAAACATGAATCAAGATTCCTTGTTGATGGAAGGCAAAAAAAACATAATATTGTTAATCACTATTGTCCATATCAAGGTTATCCTCCCTTTTCATTGGTTTCATCTGAATGTGAATCGGCGTCCCTCCCAATCACTCCCATTGTCCATAAAGTATTATTACTATTATTATTGAAATGAAATAAGATGATGTAAGATGGTGAAAGAAGAAAAAGAAGAAGATTTAAACTTGAAATGCATTTTTTCACGCTTCTTTCCCTATTCATTGGTTCATCAGAGTTACATTGTTATTAACCTATTGCTATTATTATCACTGTAATTTCATTTTGTTGTCAATTGGTTCTAACATTGCAATGTCATGTCTATTAGACAAGGTAATTGTTGCTGTTGTTGTGTTTTTTGTTTGCCTTTAATGGATGAGAAACAAAAATGTGATCAGATTAATTTCATATTAATCCATCATCTCATACATTATCATCACCTTCATCATCAATGTTGATCAAGTTCTTGACAAAGAAATACAACCTTCATTGTCTGCGTCTACTCAACCCTTGCAAGTGCTTGACCAAAAGCCAGTCAGATTTAAATTAATGGTTTAACATTTCCTCAAATCTTGGTGCTTTTGTTGAAACTTGAATTAGCTTTTCTTCATTTCTAAGTTGCTTTTGTTCATTAAAAAATCGACATAATTAACAACTGAATAAGAGTAAAAAATCATCTTGATCAATCGACTGAAACACGTTCAATTATACGGCTAATTGTTAGTGAAGCGAAATTTAAATGCCTGCTAATTGTGTGTTTAAAGTGACAAAATTAGTGCTAATCTAATAACACATCATGCTAACTATCAACTGTTGAACAACCTTTTGTTTATGTCTGTAATCAATATTACTCCAGCTATTTCCATTGATTGTTAATTTTACCGAATCAACTGTTTAATATCTCAGTACATTTTTAATTAATTGTTTTCTTTTTTCTTAATTTGCAGGGTTATGGAGCTGGAAGTGTGTACAATGAAACTGAATTTTCAACCCGGGAAACAATTTACTCTCCATCACATGTGATCATTCCTCCACGGACTAAATACTCTCCTTACAATTAACGGACATTAGATTAATAGTATTGCAAGATTGGATTAATTATGTATTATTGGTATAAATATACCAATCTTGGATTTAATTGTAACTGTTACAATGACTGCAAGACAAGACACATCTTAAATCAAGAATACAAATGGACACGGAAATCCAAGATTTTGTAGTTTTTTTCATTTGCTCACACATTGGCAAAGATTTGTTAACATTTATTACAAATTACTGTCCATTTTCCGATAATCATTTAATTGTGATCAATGATTTTCGAGAAAAAAAAGCTAATTAACTGTCCGTAAATGATAATTTTTGTCTTTCATCTTTGCTGTTCGTTTGACTATTTGTTTCATTTGTTTTACCCTCTCTTAGATATTTAAAATTGATAAATTTTATTTATAAATATTTGTATTACCTTAATTCAAATGGAGGTAATTTTTTAATTTATTATTTCCTATTGCTTTTTGTATCATTTAATTGACAATGAAACAAGTGAAACAAACGAACAAAAATGATTGAAGTGACACTTTACTTTCCTCTTCTTGATGCATTATTTGGTCAACTCAATTGTGATTTAGCTACAAAAATAGATCAAACGCTGAACAAATGATGAACAATTAGAGGAAAGAAATATGTAATTTTGTTTCAAAGTTTTTATTTACAAATTAGTATTATGGTCAAGCAGCAAAAAATAATGTTGAATAATAATTTTGATACACAAAAAGACTATAAATAAAACGCAACTAATTTCTCATATTGATTAATACTTTTTGATATTTTCATTTACATTCAAAGATAAATAAGTCTCTAAATAGATCAAAATTGGCAACAGCAACAATCAAAACAAGAAGGAATCAAAGGCTGAGGATGAATCCAAGTTAATCAAGAAAAGTGGATCCAAATTAAGACGCTCTTCCATGATCCTTCCAATGTGGCCTGGTAATATTTATTTCAACCAACCATCAAGCCCAGTTTAGTTTGACAATGAAAATGCCAGGAACTTGAATGTCTATTAGAGCCATAAAGGACGAAATTACAGTTTTTGATTGTAACATAACAGTCATCAATTTGAATTTAATGGCGTTTAAATTTGAATCACAAATTTACCAGCTTAATTTGGTGTCCACTCAATTTGCAAGGAATAAATTCAACCTGAATTAAAGTCAATATCAACAAATTTACAGGCGATGGTTTCATTGGTCATTGACATTGGATGGTACAAGAGTTATTGTTACACAGAAAGTCTTGTCTCTAGTCAATCAAAATGGAGACTTTATTCAATATGATTTGGCTGATTTATTCAATAATTCAAGATCAAGGATGAGTTGCGATCGAAATCAATGTGATCTTTCAACAGTTTTTTTACCTGCTACTTTAATTTTCCTTCATATGGTTGGTTTATGATAAAAAACTGGAATTTTTGTTTAGATTGCTCAGTGTAACCTACAATTAAGTTACATCATCCACTGATGAGAGTTGATGATGGGATGCATTTCATTTTAAATTATTCAACTCTTCGTGATGGTCTAATGTCATTAAGGGATATTTCAATCATCTTCCTGAATTTATCATGGATTTGCATATTCAAATAAATTGTGGATCATATTTAAACTAATGGAACACTCAACCGTCTGAAAGACAAGACACTTACACTTGAAACAAGATGTTTTACTTTTCTTCATTTCATTGATTATTCTAATCTTTACCAGCCATCTACTATAACCTATTTATAAATTGTTCACAGTTATCTAATTAAACTAATAACCTTGGTGATGAGATATGGCACCATAAGTGGAAACTAAATCTTGATCCATTGAATTGCTCATTTTGCTGTTTTTATCAATCGGAACAATCAACCTTTCAACTGTTCTTTCACTTGATGATTTGTATTGTTCATCTGGCAACTATTTAAGCGAATCCAATTAATTTTGATGGCAAATTCTCGAATTGAAACCAACCTTTTAATTGTACTGTAATGTGTTGACAAAAGCAAGATAAATCGCTAATTTTTCATCTATTGATGAAGCTCAAGATTAGCGCTAAAATGAAAAATGTTGTAAAGCAAATTGTAACTGCAAGCTTACAGTTGATTATCACTGTTACAAGCAAACCGAAACCCAGAACCAGTTTCAATTTACTGGTTAATAAAATAACATGAAACTTTTTTAGACTTTTCAACATTTTTTATTAGATTCAGTTGAATGGTTTAATGAATATCATGGATTGGAGGAAGTAAGATATGAAATAGAAGGATTTTCCTTCTGTCAAACCTTCTTCATCATTGCTAAGGCTAAATATAATAGCAATGTATACAATTAATGTATAATTGAGTGTCAGCAACATTTCATCTTAATTGACTTTGATCAACTCAAATCAATAACATAGTAATTTCAATATTATTTTTCAAAATTATGACAAAAGCGTGATGTTAGTCAAGATTCAAGTGCAATGGTTGAAATAAAATATCTATTAATCCTCCAATACCTGATATCAAAAAAATACACGACTTTGAATGATATTGAAGGTTGTCATTGCCATTATTTATCGAAATGAATCTTTGGTCAATTGAACTATTTATAAGCTATCATTTGAAAGGCCAAATTCATGTTAAATTGCATATAAGAAAGAAAGAGTAAAATTTTAATGATGAATGGGAAATGCTTTTATTCCCTGTGACTAGAGAGGTTAAAACAATTGATTAGCTGTCTTTTAACGCTAAACTGTTGTACTGGTCCATTTTTAGACTCAATTCATGTTACTGGTTATTGATAGTGATCATCATCTTCAACAATCTTTAAATTCTTGTTCCAAGTAAAACTCAATGATTAAAGCCTCAGGTTAAATCAGCTGAACCAGTCTTCTTCCCGCTTCATCTTGAGCTATCTTCATTTTTGATAAATGCTTTTTTTAAAAATATAAGACCGGTTAACTAATGGTCAATGATCTTAATCATCTTTCCAGTCTCCCGTTTTTTCCCTGACTATCGACCAATATTAACATCATCCAAATCATCATCATTTTCATCATCGAGTTATCATCAAGTATCCACCAAAACAATCAACATAATCTTCCTCTATTTTTTTACATCTGACAAACAGTCAACAACCACAACGCGCATCTTACCTTTGATTATGTTGGAGTGATCTCTTTGGTTTACTAGTTCAAATTTTTACTTTCAATTAACTCGGATTGTTGTTGATTTGGCCACAATTAAATTAATCAAGGTAAGTTAAACCATAATTGTTGAAAGACTGGGAATTTGTACATTTAGAATCAACTCCATCTCGTGACTTATTTTTATGTTGCTCTCATCTGTTTACCTCTCGTTTTCTGGTGTAATTTTGGTTCATCCTCGTTCCTCTTTAAGAGTTAATCAATTCTAGTCAATTAATTTTAATTCTGTGATTATTTTAGTGCTTAAATCTCTTCCTACTTACTCTAGTACGTAAATTGACGTTCAGATATAAATCAATTTTATTGAGGAAAAGTTACACAAATTGTTAAATGTCTCTTGTTTACATCTTAACTGATATCTCGGCATAACACTTGAACCAAAGAAAAAATATATTACTTTACGATGAATTTTAAAATGGAAGAAATCAATCAATATTGCTTTTACGATCATCTATATCGTGAAATAAGAATACTCAAGGTTAATCTTTGTGAGTTTCACTTGGTGGCAGTTTACTTTTTCCTGAAATGATTTTGAAAACGGTTTATTTAAAGATGGACAAATTGTTACTCAAGAGTCACTTAATACTTAAGTGAACATCAAGCAGATTGTGTACCAATTATAACTTGATTGTTGGGTTTGCAACTCTTTTTGTTCAACACTAATTACTGAATTAAACTGTGTCAAAATTATCAATAATAGCGACAAGTGAACATTGAAACCTACTTAGACTGATTTATTGATTTCTTACATTGGGTATTTATTGACTTGATCATTCGTTTATTCTTTGGTTTGCTTCCTTTGTATTTGAATCTTTTCAATATTTTGTACTTAATAATGTTCATTTGTTTATTTCTCTTTTAGATGCTCAAGACTCATCATTTAAAACGCTTGCTTTTGGGAATCAGGAAAATGTCTTTTCCAGTAGAGATGAAACCAATTACTTCAATCGCTTCTCAGCCGATCGCAACTGATCAAGAGGAAGCCTTAATGAATGAAATTTGTATCACTGTTAACGAAGATGATATGGCCATTGGATCAAGAACTAAAAGAGATTGTCATCTAATGGATAATATCGATAAGGGACTGCTTCACAGAGCTTTCAGTGTCTTATTGTTTAATAAAAAAGGCGAATTCCTGCTGACCCAAAGAGCTTCCAGCAAAGTGACATTTCCAAATTATTATACCAATGCTTGTTGCAGCCATCCGTTATTTACTCCGCTAGAAAAAGAGGAAAAAGATGGTCTTGGTGTTAGACGTGCAGCTCAACGGAAATTGTTCCAGGAACTTGGAATAGAGCCTAACACTATTACTCTCGAAGACATTAAATACATTACTCGGATACTTTACAAATCACCTTCCAGTGGTCTTTGGGGTGAACATGAGCTTGATTACATTTTAATTGTCCACAAAGATGTCGAATTGAAACCTAATCCAAATGAAGTTCGACATGCAGTTTTTCTTGGTAAAGATGATTTACGCCCTTTTCTCGGTAAGTTATAAATTAAAACTCATTTCTTTACAATGTATTGATATCTGTATATGCAGCATCTAATGTCTGGTTTTATCATCTAATCTTTTTAGAGGAAAAAAAGAAAGAAGGATGGCCAATCTCACCTTGGTTCCAGCTAATACACGACCGTTTCTTGTACAACTATTGGGATAATTTGAATAATTTGGAAAAATTTAAGGATCACAAAACAATTCATAAATTTGTCTGATTTTATTTGTTTTTTAGTACAACTACAAATTTCATTACATTGTATGTCACATATAAACTATTGTTATTACCTTTTTCCCATGAAAAGGTCGCTGTTTTGTTTATCCATTTGATAAAAAGCTACTTGTTGATTATATTAAAATTTACCAAACAACAATCTAGTTTCAAATTATAGTTACATGTCTCGGAACTCTTATCTAAATTTAAAAAGCCAAGATTGAAAAAAAACGAAAAACCCGTTCGACAAGCAACATGAGTTAAATGAATGGGCTCTAGTTATGAATCACAACTTATGGCTCTAATCTTAAAGACAAAAAAATATTCACTTTAATTCTGTTCAATTCTCAAAATTGGTTGATTACAATTAGCTCAGTTGTATTTTTAATCATCTGGTGGATCCAGTCTCTACTGGGGATTGAAAGAGACTATAGCTTTTACAAGCATCATATAATCAATTTATTCAATTTGTATTGAATAAATGATCGATGGTTGCCTAGCAAAGCATAAAAAACAAAACTTCGAAACTCAACAATTCAAATTTACATCAATTTTTTGGTTATTAGTGTTATGTTTAAATAGTGAAGTGAATAAATAAAATAAATAATGTTATAAGTTAAATCAGTTACTTGAATGGATTGAGCTTTTCATCATTCAATTGTCCAAGTGAATCAAGCCGATCTCTTGAAATCGTACCTATGAAATACTGAGCTCTTAAAACTGAAATTACAATGTATTCATTGAAAATTGAATTTTTAGCAAAATACAAAAATGAAAATGTATAAACATAATTTTAACTAAATATTTTAATAAATAACAATCAACGATGAAGGTAAGTTAGTCATTCCATGTGTTTAATCTTTCTCTTAATGGTTTGTAATACAGATCGAAATAGAGATTTTATTTGAAATATAATAATTTGTATTTATATAATAGAGAGTATTCACAATACCAGAAAGGACACATGGATCAGGTCCAGTATTCATCATTTGGCAGCCAACCAAAGCCAGTCATCTGGTTACAATGGGCTATGATAACACTGTTATCATTCATGATCGACACGGTGATAAAGTAGATACAATTAACCTTCCAGGGTAAATTTTACATCAATTTTCTTTATCGCGTAAATTCATCAGCAAATGATTCTTATTTCAGTCAGTGCACCGGTCTTTCATGGGATGTTGAAGGAAATATATTAGGAGCAATTAGTGACAAATCACCGTTAATATTTCTTTGGGATTCCAGTTTACATAAAATGTCTAGAGTTGATACTGGAGTTCGAGATGTTTTAACAATGCTAGTTTGGTCAAAAAAAGATCATTTACTAGCAGTTGGAACCAGTAAAGGAAATGTACTAATTTACAATCATTCAAGCTCAAGGAAAGTACCAGTTCTTGGTAAACACGCAAAACGCATAACAACAGGTTAGTATAGCAAGTTAAATCCATGAGTTGACCGATCAGATTGAATCAAATAATTTATATTTCCAATCAGGTGACTGGAGTGACACGAATCTTTTAGCATTGACTGGAGACGACCATATGCTAACAATTAGCAATTCTGAAGGCGACACTTTATTCCAGTTTCAATTGAAAGGTGAACCTTCTTTCTTGACTTTTGCCACAATCCAGCCGCGAGATTCACTCCATCCATCAACTGGTAACAATTGCGTTAGCCTTATATTAAACAAAAAGAATCTTTTTCTTTTACGATTGACTGACATGGAAAATCCTTATGTGATGAGTTTTCAAGATAAATATGGATCAATCAAATCATATCAATGGTTCGGCGAGGGTTACATTGTTATTGGCTTTTCCTCCGGTCTTCTGGTTATGGTTTCAACCCATCCGTCTGAAATGGGACAAGAAATATCAACAGTCCGAGCTCATCAGGATTTCCTTACAGGAATTGCTCTTTGTACAAAGACCAAAAAAGTTGCCACTTTCAGTGAAAATGTGTAAGTGATGCAAAGATAATTATGATTAAGATTGATATTAGCTGGTTGAAAGACATTAATCAGGTTATATTAGTTTCAAATTACCAAATCAGTTTTATATTCTAAAGTTACCTGCTTTTAACTAAATGCATCTTTACTCCTTGAATTTTCAGGGTAAAATTTTTTGACCTCAATCAGCTGGATGATACAAAATCAGTATTGATTGTGGAAGACGAAAAATCAGTGGAATGGTTAGAATGGACTGATGATGGACAGTTGCTTGCAATGACAACATCTTCTGGGGCTGTTCATGTATATTTAACGAAATTAACAATTCTTGGTTCAACTTTTGGATCTCGAGCTGCTTATTTGTCTTCTTTACTTGAAGTAACAGTCGTCAATGTATTGAATGACAATGATGATGATAATGGCTATGATGAAGAGTCAACAATAACCTTTAGGATCGACATAGAACCAACTTTAATTGCTGTTGGGCCATTTCATGTTGTAGTTTCTATTAACAATCGAGCTTGGTTTTATGGTCTAACCGGTTCAGACTCTAATTTGCTTTTGAAAGAGAAGGAATATTCATCAATAGTCAAATCAATCGTCCTTAATGGTGATTATGCTGCTGCATTATTCACAAATGGTAAACTTCATCTTCACTTGATTGAAAGCGAAACAGCCGCAGGAGCAAGTTATGATCAACGAGAAGCCAAAATATTTAATGATGGTAAGTAAATTGTTGAAGTCAAATAATCACCTATTCAGGACTAGTAATCGAACGTTTTTTTTGCAAAATTTCAGGTTCAACTCCTGACGCTGGCAAAATAAGTTCAATATCATTAACAAACGATTTTTTAATCTATTCAACGGAATCTGGTTTTGTTGAGTTTTTCTCCCTCGAAGATTGGTCCATGGTTAATGTTTATCGCCATCAAATCGGTATAAATCTAATTTCCCCAGACATCACTGGATTAAGATTAATTTTGGTTGATTCAAGGAGCCGAGTTTATGTTTATAATGCAGTAACTGATGAAGCATTCATTCTTGAACAACCAGAAGATTTTCCAACCTCAATAAGATCAATTCTTTGGGAATCATATCATCCAAGTAAACACGTATTTAGTCTAACTGATGAACGTAACCTATGGGTTTACGCTTACGTTTGCGATTCCTTGGAAGGACAGTTCATTGAATACATTGAGAGGATGAAATTTCCAGTAGGCCAATATCCGTTGCTTCTTCATAACGGAGTTATCCTCTGTCAAACTGAGAGTGGTAAAACCTCAAATTTTATCCTCACAAGCTACAATTGGGTAAGTTCAATGAAAGATGTTAAGGGTTCCGTCAAAGAGATTGATATATTGTCAACCACGTTAAAACTTCGGCGTTACTCTGACGCATGGAACATATGCAATTCACTGAATGATACCACTTTATGGAAAACGTTTGGTCAACAAGCTCTTAAAGATTTAAACATTGATTTGGCTAGACGAATATATCGAACCATTGGTGATTCTGGAATGGTGCATTCACTAGAGAAACTAAACTATGTCGAAGAACGGAACTTGATTGCCGGCTTTGTGTCACTATTTTTAAATCAATTTGATGTGGCACAAAAATTTTTCCTTGCCTCTTCGAAACCAAGAGAAGCTTTGGAGATGAGGCAAAACCTTCAAGATTGGGATTCAGCATTGGCTTTAGCAAACAGACTAGCTCCTGATTCAGTGCCAATCATTTCACGAGAATATGCATCACAATTAGAGTTCCAAGGTGATTATCAATCTGCACTTGAACATTATGATAAAGCACTAATAGAGGAAGAAAACGATGATTTAAATACAAATAAACACAATCAAGTAAGTTTGATTAATTAATTGAAATCAAAGACAACTGCATTGATATTTTGCGGGATATTTAAGAAAAGGTCATGTGACTATTTAACATGTGTTTGTTGCGTAAATTTAATCAATTTAACCGCCTTTTTCTGACCAGCAATTCTTGTTCAAAATTAATCACCAAATTGAATTTTTCTTGAATAATGTAACTTAATTCATGTTTATTTTACTTTACATTAGATTTGCAAGGCTGGAATCGCTCGATCGTCTCTTAAATGTGGAAATATTAAAAAAGGAGGTTAGTCTTTTTCGCAGCTTGCTTTGCTCTTTTCTAATCTTTTTTTCATTTCAGTTGAAGCTGCCTTGGAATTAAAAGATGATCATGAATTGCAGATTGAATGTGGTGCAATACTGGAATCTTTGAAATTATATTCAGATGCTGCATTGCTCTATGAACAGGGTCACGACGCAGAAAAAGCGTCCAAGCTTTACCTCTCTGTTCGGAATACAAGAAAAGTTGGTCAGCTGATTGATAAATTTTCAATTACAAATGCCGATATTTTAAGCCAATATGGACGACTGAAAGAATCTGAAGGCGACTATAAAGAAGCTGTCAAAGCTTATTTAGCTTCAGGAAAGACCATTGAAAGTGTTCGTCTACTTTTAGATAAGCTCAATAACCCAGGTGAAGCTGTTCGTTTGGTCAAGGAATCTGGAAATCTGGAAGGAGCTAAAATGATTGCTAGATTTTTTCAAAAAATTAACGACATTGAATCAGCAATTGAATTTCTTATCCTGTCCAAGTGCAACGACGAGGCTTTCCAATTGGCTACTTCAACTGGAAATGTTGACATTTTTGCCAATTTCTTGCTAGATTTAACGGAACAGCAAAAATCAAGAGACAATGGTTTTTCCGGAAACGCGATCGATCCAAAGTTAACGGAGGATTTTAAAAGCTTAGCAATTTATTATGAACAGACAAAGAATCCATTGATGTCAGGAAAGTTCTATTGCCTGTCAGGTAATTGTCGTAAAGGAGTTAAACTGTTATTACAATCTGCGACCATTACTGGTGATGTTGGTGAAGTGATAAAGACTGCAATTGACTTTGTTTCAATCAATCGAGATGATCAAGCAATTAGGGATCTTATTAATTATCTAATGGGTGAACCTGATGGGGAACCTAAAGATTTTAAATACTTGTTTCGGCTTTACATGTCTTTAGGACAGTTTAAAGAAGCAGCTCGAACTGCTGTTGTAATTGCCAAGGAAGAACAATCAGCTGGTAACTATCGAAATGCTCACGATCTTTTGTTTGGAATGTGTCAAGAGCTGAGAAAACAGAAAATAAAAATTCCTATGGAAATGGATTCAAGCTTAATGCTTATTCACAGTTATCTTTTAGCAAAGGTTATTAACATATTAACCATTAAGCATGTTACCTATTTAATTACTAACTTGACTTTAAATTTATTTAAAAGATGAAATTAATTTTTGTTTCATTCTTTAATGTTTCAGGCTTGGATTAAAATAGGAGATGACCTGCGAAGTGCTCAACTTTTGATTAGAGTGGCAAATAATATAAGCAAATTTTCTGCTCGTAAGTTTTCAATCAATACAATGAGATTTTATTTAACTAATAATGCTCTTTAACTGTCACATTTAGGAGATATTGTAGCAATATTGACAATAACAGTCATTGAATGTCAAAAGATTGGATTTAAAAAACAAGCGTTACAGTATGCAAGTATGCTTATGAAGCCAGAATATCGTGAATTGATTAAGCCAAAGGAGGTTAAACGAAAAATTGAAACGCTGGTTCGTAAATCAGCATCAACTCGACGAGAAGCTGATGATATTGGAGATTTAGTAACTGGTAAACAAACCGACTGTCCATATTGCAATGTTAAACTTCTAGAAACTGAACTCATATGTTTCGATTGTCGTAACAACATACCCTTTTGTATTGCTACTGGTCATCACATCATTAAAGGAGATCTAACTGTTTGCCCATCATGCACATTTCCAGCAATCAAGTCCTATTTCAAAAAGTAATTGAATCCCAAATTTAACAGAACAAATTGATAAATCTGATTATTTTCTTACAGATATCTAGATAAAAATCCAGTTTGTCCAATGTGTGGATCCAATATTGAAATAAATGAGCTGGAAAGTATAGAAGATATCAACAAATTGCTGAATCAAGAGTGAATCGTTGAAACAATTTGCTACAATCTTTTGGAAAAGCATTTGTAAAGTCATAAATTGACTAAAATCTCATGTAAATTGTACAATTCAAGTAACAATATTAAAAAGGCATAGCTTTACAGAAATTTTATTTCTAGTTTTACATGCGTTTTCATAGGATATTTGACATCAGATGTAAGAATCTATTTAATTAGTTTTCTTCCATCACTTTTGAAGGAAGGTTTCTTTTGAATTTAGAAGTTATCTGACAAAGAGAAGAGTTCAAGTTAATTATACACTTTGTTATAGCAAACTCCTCAAGAATTTGACTGGATCAAACATTCAGAGCCTGACAGGCCATAATCAATCACAATCCATGGAAGATTTTAAGGTAAAACAATCATGATAGTTGAACCATTAATGTTGAATAGATCTCTTGTTTTGCTATGGAAAGAGTAAAGATAATAAATGACTTGGACAATTCAAAATCGAGTATTGATCGAGGGTTTATTTTTTTGCGGCGCAAGACTAAATTTTACTGCTTTTCTTCCTCATCTTCATCTTTATTCTCACTCTGTTCATTAGTCTCTTTTTAACGATCTTTTCACCAACGAACAGGTAGTTAATAGTTAAACACAAAAACAATAACTTGTGTGTTAATTTTGATGAGACGAAAAAGTTCACAAGTCAAGTCTAGTAAATACAATTTTGTATCTTGTTGTTAGTTTAAATGATTGATTATAACATTTTTCAACTGAGTTAATTTTACTCTAGTTCACCAACACCAAAGATTCACAATCATTTAACTGTATTTTGTGATCATTTGTTCATGCTTTAGTGTTCAACATTCACATTTAAGTTGATGCAGTGTGTATATTTTGTGAGACTCTGGGCTAATTAGTGTTGATTGGTGTTCAAATGATAGCTTCAACAATTAACGAGATTGACATCTTTCCAGGTTTTGGTAAAAATTGGTTTACTGTTTCCTTCTAATCCGCTTGAGTCCTTATACGCTTTACCAAAAATGGCCTGGGCTTTGTACATGTTTAAAGAAACTTTTCAACCAGAAGATCCTCAAATACTCGATTCTCATATTAAACCAGAAACTAAATTAACTTTTGTGGACTTTGTGCCTAATGCAGTGGAACGCAAATCATGTTCAATATACCAAACAGCGGAAATTAAATATCATCCTTTCAGGTAAAAGTCATCTGTTTTATTGCTTTCCAACTATGTTTACAATTTATTGGTCAGTATTGGAAAAATTGAAAGTTCTGTGTTCCTTGGTTGTTGACTAATCTTTGATGAAGATTGTGGTTATTGAAGTGATCCTTGTATTCAACTAATTGGTGGGGAAAAAAATAAAAACAAAATCTGTTATTATCGGTAATTTGTGGTGGTTGTACCTTTATTTATTATGTAAGCTTCATATAGATTCTCATCCTAATTGCGTGCAACCAGAAGAAATTAATAATTAATTTTGTCTTTTTTTGTAATCAAAATTTCTATCTACCTTATTAGAATGATTTATGAAAATCACTTGACTCAATCAGATATTTTATGCATGAGGTGAAACCATTAATATTTTTATAGGGAATTTGAAAATATATTTACCTCACTTGTGATCCCTCTACTTGTTTAATTGTAATGAAGTATAATTGCTTGGCTATCTGGATAGTTGATAATGTTCACAATATCAATAAAAATATTCAGTTAAATGAACAAAAATAATTTTTCATCGTCAAAATATTTCAATCACTTGAGAAATAAAATTCGGAGTTATTTAAACGAAACGTTAATTGCTGTGAAGATAGCAATGATAGCCTTAAGTTTAGCAACCCGCCTTTTACCCAATCAAAGTGTCAAGGTTCCTTTACTCTTTGTACCCAATACAATTTGTTGTTGTTGATGTCAATCAATATTATTTTTTAATTTTGACGAAAATGATTTAATATTCAACACTGTTTATAATTTTAAAAATAACTGTTGCTATTATGTTCAGCTTCATTGAAAGATATTGTCCACTAATTGTTCAATTCGTTATGTTTTCTCCTGATTGTGATCGTCTTGTCTTACCTCCAGAGAGATGATTTTGCTAGCTAATGACTGGCTAGCTGAGAATCCGTCTTGGAAAGCAATTAATTGTGAGTCAGTAACGTTATTATTCAAACCAAATGAATCTGGAAGTCTTGAATTGAGACCAACTGATGCTTCCTTCTATATCTATGGCTCTGCGAAACAACATATTGTCAAAGCTTTAAGGTAAATTAATTATTCTTGTCAACAATTGCAATTTTCTTTGTGTTAATTTATCTTTCCACCTGTGATCTAACTATTTTCAGATTGTGGATTAAACGTCAACCAACAGATTCAACAGATGATAGTGAAAACGTGTCAAAAGCAAAACCTCAGATATTGGATTATCTTGATATTATCCCAGAGAATCGTGGTGATGGTGACTCTTTCTGTCCAAAGTTTGAAAATCTTAACCAGTGTGTTGAAAGGATCAATAAGATGGTCAGAGAAAAAAAGATTAATGGAACAATAATTACAGTCGAAAGTTTAAATTGTGAAGCTGAAATTGATTGGAAAATCAATCCCGAGCAAACGTTGAATTTTTTCACCAATAAAACGGTCACCATTTTACGAATCTTTTATGAAAAAGGGCCTCCAAGTGAGCTGGAAATAGGTAATGAATTTGAAACATCCGGTTCTTGATTGTAAAGAGTTTCCAAAAGAAAGGCTAAAAATTTTCACAGAGCTATTTTCAAGTCAACTAGTCTCTAGCAATTCATTTCACATTACTTACAGCATTATACAGTTATTCTGGTTTTATGATTCAAATTATTCGCTTTCTATTATCTTTAAATTAAATTAGTACAGCTTGACAAAGTATTTAAACCTTGAAGATTTGCCTTCTGTGATTTGAAAGCCTCTCAAGACAATCAACAAGTACTTGAATTTATTGTTCCTTGGATGGTCTTAATGATTACATTCACTGTCAGAGTTTTATATTTCTTTATTGTATTTATCGATTTTTTTCTTGGTTAGTTACCAAACTGACCAGCTGAATGATAATCATTCTGACAACAATCAGCTTTCACAAACTATAATTTTATAAATAGTGATGATTCTGCCAAAGTCAGAAGTCGCCTACCACTAAATCGATATGTTTATAAGACAATTAGAAATAACTGAAATCCATTTTTCATCAATTCTCGTTAAATTTAGAGAAGCTTGAGAACTTTTAATATTATTTTCAAACATTTTCTTCCACTGGTCAAGCAATTACATGGGAAGAAACATTTACATGTACTTCATTATTGTTTTATCATCTAAAGATGGACTCATATAGATTTTCATCTGTTGTATCATTAATTTGAATCATTACCAAGAAATTACGTTTAAGGTTGGAAGCTTTACCACTTTGCTAGTCTAATTGATGTGAAAATTCTTGTAGATTCAGATAACAACATATATGACTTTTGAACCAATGGTCCATGAAGACAGCCAAGTCAGTAGATTCAGTACTTAATTCAGTAGATTAGTAACAGAATTAATTATTTTTATTATAAGCCATGTGAATACTGTTTAACTTGGAAATGATTCAAAGACAGAAGCCAGTTTTATGACTGTCCGATGTTAGGAATAGTAATAACTTGATAAGAATTTACATTTTATTTTATATTCCTTTGATTGAATAAATTAATGACATTACAAATGTATACAGACTGTGAATACAAATTAGACAATCTTTAATTGACCCCTTAATTTATTTTATTTCATTGTAATTTATTTAGTTTATTTCTTTAGCAACGAATCAATATTTTGTTTCCTTTCAATCATTTTGTTATAAACATAAATTTGAATTTCAAATGTTAATCTAATCTACATTCGTCAATTATATTAGGAATCAAGGATTTCGTTCCTCAAAATCTATCAGGAGGTGGCTTCTTTAAAAGACCAAAATTTGAACCCTTTTCCCTGGTTTTGACTCGATCCACCAAATGGTTAATCGAGAATCCTGATGTTACTTTTAGAAACGCACAATCATTAGACATTAAACTCAAATCACGTAAGTTGATCTAATTAGATTTAAAAAGCCTATTTCCTAAATCTCTATCAATCCATTTCTCACCTCTAGTTGGTCCATGTGATGTTACTTCAATGGCTTATACCGAACATGGTGATTATTTGAAGATATTTCGCATTGCCTACACCAAACCATTGAAATGTAAATCAAATCAATCGTTAAACATTGATAATAACAATATTGTGGAAACTAAATCATTAGTTTTGGCAAGTAAGCTCTTTATGCCCACCAAAAAAGGTGAATCATTAACCGAGATCCGGCAAAGGTTGGAAGATTGGATAAATGTTTCACACAAAGGTAAATATAATTGTTTAAGTAATTTGTCCAAATTTGCTTTCACCTCCTCTAATTGCTTTATTTTAACTATTTTACTCTAGATCAAATTGTTGGTGAAATTAACAAACCCATTGAGATTCTAAGTGCTGAAACAGTTGAAGTATTTTGTCGGAGTGACGATAATGAATTGGAAAAGGCTGTTGATGATACTTTTCAATATAATCGATTTGGAACTAAAAATGGTTATATATTTATGTCATTAAGAGTTTACTTTCATCTTCCTGGTCTACCAAATTTATTGATTCCATCAGATGATGATAATCTAATTCAATCAATGGCACTGAATAATGAAAACACATCATCTTGTACCATATTATGATCAGCTATAATTACCAAAACATTTGCAGTCGTCTTCACAATTGCCATCACCATCAACAGTAATAGCATAATCATTGTTATCACCATATAACTGCTACATTAAACTGTAATAATAATCTCGTCTTATTTACAACTTTTAACTTACATGCAAATTATCATCAATGTTATTCCCGTTTGATGTTTACCTCAAACCTGATTTTACCATAAGGACAAATTTTACTGATACAATTATTTTTATGTTTTGGACCACTTAACTGTTATTTGACAAATAACATATGGAAATGCAATGTTAACTCACTATCCAATGAATACCTAAAATGAATTACAAACCTGTATTTTTATTAATTGAACAATTCTGTTGCTTCAATTATCCAATAAATACAATTTTAAAAGTTGATTCTTCTCTGAGTTGATTTTTTACAGTAAATCTCTGTTGCTTCAAACACAAAAAATGTTAAAAAATCGATGAGAACTTTTGAGAAACAAATCAAATTTGAATTCCAATGGAAATAGTCAATTTAATCTGTTATTTACACGGAAAATTGATCTTCATCTTATCGACCAGTTATTGATGTTACACTTATCCTGATATTTATTCAATCAAATTCAATATATAATCATTAATTGTCTCTCCAAGTTTTAATAAAGTAGGGAAGATCAACTGTTGAAAGGTTGATTCACTTTTCAGTCGACACTTTTAGGTTCAATTCACACTTCAACCATTCATAAATACATGGCATCATCCTTACCCTGATTGTAATGTTGAACTCACAATGTTACTCTGTTAAGGATGTTTGCATATTTTCAAGTGAAAAGTCATGCTCATTCGACTCATCACTTTCATCGTCTTCGCCTGAATGGTCAGCTGATTCACTGTTCTCTGGCTCAATGGAAGGCGCATTTCGATAGCTTGCTAATGGCTTGATACTGTCATAATGAACCAAAGGATTTGTATCACTTAAGGAGGCTCCATCATAACTGGTTGACAATGATTCGGCGACAAACTTGGGTCTCAAAGAACTCGGTGAACTTTTAGGGGAATGGTGATTCACCAACCTTTCATGTCCATAGTGATGTTGCCAAGGTTGATTGACGAAAGAGTGTTGTTTATGTTGACCCTTGAGGTCTCTGAATTTTTTTGCCCAAGAATAAAATCTCTCTGACACTGGTTTTGGCTTGGATAAAAAATAGTCATCTGAATAAGGATAGATTGATTCTTCGGACGAATCTATAAATCTTGAGTGTAAATATTCACTTCTACAACCAAGAATCAAGCACATAAGTAATGAAGTTAAACCCATTATCAGCATTTCGTGGACCTAATACACAAGTAGACAAATCAGATGTTCATAAAAAGAGTTGAAAACATTTACAAATCATTAGCGGAAGAAAACGATTCATTTTGACATTTTAATGTTTAACATTTTGCCAATTCGTTTAATACATTTATCGGGATATATTTAACACTTACGAATCTGTTGTTAATCGAGTGAAACAGGTTGATGATTAAAAAACTGGTCCGGAATAAATTGTGACTGATATTTAAATCACTGTTATAAAGACTGGGAAAATATGATCAATATGGATTATCATTGAACACAACCATTATTACCCGCAGTTGAGCGACACAATTACGCTTTCAAATCTAATAAGATGATCACAAGTTGGGTTAGTCTTGAGCTACGGGTTGAAATCAAGCGGCTAACTGTCGATCTATTGCTTATTTTGAAAACAAAATCTTGGATGAACCTAAAATTGACTCCTGCTTGTCTAAATTTGCTGCAAACTCATCTTACGATAAAAATCAGATGAACAATCAACTTGATCAAATTGTCACTTTCTCTTACTGTAAGCTATTTTAGCGTTTGTTTAATTTTAAACTATCTCGATTCCTTAAATTGTTTAATTGCAATTGTTGATTGACGCCTTTTGTCTACAATGTTTTGTACGGTTAACGGATAATGAGCTAGCTTTTTTGTTGCTTACAGATCTAATGCAGGAAAGAAGTGACAATTTACAAAAAATGCCAACAATCCACAAAATCATTAAACCACTCTTTCTTAATGAAATATTATAACGATTGATAAGATGCGCCCTTAATTAATATAACAATAATAAATCTGTGACTCTGAATTCACGGTATATTTTTAGATAGGAACAAGATTATTGCTCATTTTTCATTCACAACATCTTTGCTCATTAGATCAACAATTGATCACAATTGTTGTTTGATTCAAACAATAGTTTCTTTGATTGTATTTAATTTCAAATGTTTTATCAAAGCTCATTGATAGATTTTTTTTGTATTAGAATGCAATTAAGATTGTCAACTCGATCAACAACCTTTAAGTAATATCAATCATGTTGATTCAAGTTGAACACTTTTACTTTCAAATTCAGTATTGATAGAATCATGGAGAAATGGCAATCATTTTATTGTTTTCTAATCAATTGATCCTTAATTTGAACAAATGTTTAGGTTAATTGCTTTATAAATTAAATTTCTAAATACATTTCAATATATTAACCATGAGTTCCGAAAAAATCCATTCTATTGAAGCAGAACACCTAAAACACCCAACTCTTGGAGTTCAGTGTAAATTAGGTTTAGATTCAGAGAAATCAGAAATTTGATTGATGTATTGTATCAGGCATGAGATTTGAATATGAACTTGACTGTATACAATTACTCTTGACTGCAAGGTAATCAAATTAATTGAAAGGTGAGACAGACTGATCGATTAAATTGTTGCGTGAAACATATTTCACCAGAATATTGGATAAATTGATTGAAAGCTGATTCTTTGGGTAAAATATAAAACAATTTGGGTTCACCCATTTCTTTGTGTCTGGATGAAGGCAAGATAAAAAAGATGGACAATTGGCCTTTTCAGAATCAATTTAATTACCATTTTATAATAACAAAACAACCCTAAATACATGAATAATGAAGAGGTTAGTGTGAATGTTTAATCAGAATACATCTGTATTTAACTTACCATTGGTGTTTTCATGATAAACCTAAAACAACTTTGGGTTAACTGAACATGGCTCAATCAGCTAAATTATAAATGACCTTTTTTAGGTTCTTTAAATACTTGACTGATCACCAAAGGTGAAATCAAATTCACTGATAAAGACTGGTCAACATTACTTTGGTTAACCGTGAAAAATGATGATTGTAATCAAGTCTATTTTGCTCAACTCTTATTGTAACGTTTGTGTACATTTACCTGAAATGATGGCGATGATAAGCGAAGATTTTGCAATAGTTCTGGTTAACCTGAGTGAATTAATGTCTCTGGTTAACATTTGAGCTCAATATCGATCCAATTTCAAGCTTTAACCATCAAATTTATTGTCAAAAGTCATACTCAAAGCATGAACCTCAAGGACAAAATGATCACAGTTTTCATCTGAATCCGTTCAGAAGCAAAAGTATTTTTTACTTTACCTAGTTTCCCAGGTAATAATGTTATTAATAATGATGATACTATCAATAATAAAGGGCAAAAAAGGTAATATTATTGCAACTATTATTATCATTTGTCAAGTGAATCACGCATCAGTATTGAAAATATTTTGCTCATGTTTTCCTTTTGTTTTGCTTTTGTTGTTCTTTACCTTACACCCAAATTGCATTGTACATTTTATGAATATCTATTAAATTTTGAATAAATTATTCCAAAATTCAAATCAAGTCCATTCAAACCTTCAACTAACACTAATAGCTCATAAAGTTGATAAATTATTAACAAATCATCGTTAAACTATCCTGCTAACCTTGCCTGTCTAGAGTCAAATGTAAATAGATGTAAATGTGACTCGTTGTGATTGTAACCAAACCATTGACTCAAAATCAACCAATCTTTTAATTGTCACTTTTCTTACAATTATTTACCATTCAAAATGAGCTTGACTCATATTAAAGGATAATCTTGTTTGATTTTAGTCAAAAACTTCAAGTAAATCCTTTTAGACACACTTTTTAAACTCAGGCTGCATCTATTGGCGTATTAACGCGTATTGGCGTGTTAAAGTAAATCAAGACGCTTCTGCAAATGATTAAATTTTTGGTAAACAAGATTTGATTTTCCTTATAAGATCGGTCGATTGTTTACATCATTTTCAATCTCGTTGAAGGATCGATTTTAATGATCATTCAATAGCTCTTGAGTTTTATTCATTCGTCCTAATTGTCTGAAGCAATCTAGAAAATAACAAATATATTTAACTCAGCATTTCCTGTCACATTTGCTGATTGCTTTACCAGTTTGAATTAGGTGCTAATTTTTAAGAAACTGTTGTACCTAACTTATGATAAATGGCTATAATTAAATCATATTTATCCAAATGCACTGTTGAATGTCAGTTTAACTCAAAGATTTAACCATTTGTGAGGCTAATCTGCAGTAGTTGGCTTTAGTGCAAATCTGTATCATTGGATCATCATTAGGGATCTTTGTTTTACCTTTGATAGTGATTACAAAAGTAAGATGTTTACTTGAACAAGATTCACTCATTAACTATCTGGTTGTCATAGCGGTGATAATGGTGATGGTACTTTTATTATATTAAATATTATTATTATCATCATTCATCACTTGATGTGAATGATGTGTATTCATTGTTTAACTAGGTCTTAAGAGTAATCAGAAAGAAGGAAAATACAAGACGTTGAATCGAGCAATTTTGTGTGAAACCAGAAAATTGAAAACAAAAAGTAGTTTTTTTTCATTTTTGTGGACAGATTTTGATCAAGTGATTCAATACTTCCAATTAATGGTCTATGTTTAATCGGAAAGTGCCCAGCATTAACTTGTAAATTGGAGAGACCAGGTTTCAGTGGTGATAATAATGACTGAGACGCCAACAGCTGGATCAAATCGTCATCCTGAGAGCTGTTTCAATTTGATTGACTTTTGTCCCAACTATCGACGTCGACCACAAGCTTGGTTTTTAATTCCAAAATATCAAACTCTTAGGTTTGTACACTTTCGTGAAACCTGTTCAAGCTTTCGATTATGATTTCCTTCAATATAACTCCTCTGATGACATTGATCTCATTGTTTACACCATATTTCTTTTGATTGTTAGTGATTTGTTTGAACAAATTAACAAATGGTTAGAGTCACATCCAGAATGGATTGTTGTGTCGGTTGAATCAATCATCTACGATCCTGACTCTGGCTTTGGAAATGAAATCTCAGTCTCCATTGGTTCATTGGCAAAAAAAGGAATTAAAGGAATCAGGTAAACCAGGTGAACGCAAGCTTATCCAAATGTATCCAAACCATTAAAACAAGAGACAAGTAAATCAATAAATTGATAATTAGCCTTTAAAATCAGACAGAGAAAGAGAAAGATGATTTTAATCAACAGCAGTAAATCAAGATTTGTTTACTGGTTAAATGTGTTGCATTACCAAAAGAGCAAGAAAGTTACCAGGGATGGATTATTAATAAACAACAGGTTATATCGATACTTTGATCAATTTTGCTTTAAGCAATTATTATGATGATTAAGCCAGCAGCTAATAGTTTAATAGTCAATCTAATTATCTGAATAAATATTCATATTTAGGTTTGTCATTTTAAGGTATGACAAGAAGCTGGTTGTTCAAATGCTGGCTACAGCTGTCTCATTGTGATTCAAATGTATTGGATAATGTTTGCTTCATTGTGTTTATAATGAAACATGTGCATTCAATACTTAATTGCTCTCATCGTTGACTATTTCAACAATTGGATTTATGAATAATATCTACTTTTGAAATTAAATTATCCAAACCCTAGACTATGGTTAACACCGAACAAAAATGGTCAACCATTTCAAAAACTTGGCTTAATCAATGTCGTACCCAAGTTAAATGGCAACAACATTAATGGATCCAATGGAAGGACTGTTTGGTCACCAAATGGACATGAAACTATCGAGGAGATGGTTATTAGAGTTAACAATCTTTTACACAAGAAACCAATTCAAGGTAATCAAAATGAATTTGCGAGAATCAAAAAAGATTTTATCATAACAAGAAAATTCATCATTATCTTAACGACTAGACTAGATGGGAAAATCAATAAATGAAAGCAAAAATGAAATTCAGTAACGATTTTTAGGTTAAATTGTTGGATCAATCTAAATGAGTTCAATAAATCTTTAATAAATAATCAACTAGAACCATAATTGATGGACTAGCAAATAAATAATAGGCCTAGAGATTGATTTTAAATTAAAGGATAGTCAAGTCTGAATCCATCAAAAGTAATTAGATTGTAGACTTTTAACAATTTACAATTAATCTGTTTTCCATTATTTCCAGGTAAAATAATATCAGTTGAAACTGTATCAATTCCAGTGACAGGTAAATGGGAGATTGACACTGAAAGTAGTGAATTTTATCGAGATTCATCCAGTTTTGCACAAACATTGCGTATCTATTATGAGTACGGAGAGACTTGTATGGAGGAAATTGGCCTCAAAGATTTCGTTCCGTCTTCATCTTCATGGGATTCACCTCTTGCTCCTCCTGACTATGAATCATTTGCTAGTTTATTTACTCGAGCATCTCAATGGTTTCGTGATCAACCTTCACATTACCGATACCTTAATTGCCAATCAGTTGAAGTGCCATTGATGTCCAAAAGTAAGTATCTAAAGAGAGGATAAAAACATACAATATTAATGATTCATTACAATTTATGTTTCCACCAGCAGCTAATTCAGACTGTAAACATCCAATTGACAGTAATTTGAGTCTCTTGATTCCTGGTAAGGCAGAGTTCAGTCTGAAATTTATTAGATTAGCTTATGCTGTACCAACAAGAGGAATATCAGTTGAATCAATTAAACACCCGGAGATCGTGCTCAATTGCAAGATATTTGTGCCCATCAGACATAAAACATCTAATCAATATGAAACTGTTGCTGCAACCAAAAGAAAAATGGAAGCTTGGCTTACTATTACAGGTAAGATAGAACAGAAAATAATTTAAGGTAAAATAAATTCGGAAAGTCCATGTAATATTGAATATTATGTGATAACACACCTAAAATGCCTGATTTTCAGATCTTCAAGAATCGATAAAATAGCAACATTGTATATCAACATTGATGAATTCAAGTTACTCCTCCAATTTCAATTTACAGATAATTAGTTTCTAACGTGATTGGCTTCATTTTTTTAAACACGAAATCTAAATGTGCCAAATTATTTACCTTTTTTAATCATCTTCATTCGTTGATTTACTTGCAATTTCATTGTTTCAATCAATGTAAAGGTTTTGTTTACACCTTTTGCCAGTAGACACTTGATGCAAGTTTATGACTAAAAAATATTATGTGTTTAAGTTTACTAATAAGACTGTAAATTGATATGTTTGATCAGGTTTATGGTTAGAAAAGCTAAATTTGGATTTAAAAAGCTAAAGATGTTTCAGGCAAATTTGCAGACTATCGAATTAATTTACTGAATTCAATCAATGACGTGGACCTAAATTTGTCATTAAAGCTCATGTTTGTTAATTTTGTTTTCTGTCTCTTTAATTTTTTTTTAATTTACAGGAGCTCGAGTCCTTTCAGCTGAAACAACTTTCCTGAAATTATCTTATTGTAATAGCAGCATTGCTGCCAATGTGGATTCCTGTTTAACATCCCTTTGCAACCGACCCAATGATAGTCATCACATTGTTACTTATCGAGTATATCTGGATGGACATTATGTTGAACCACCAACTCGACTTTTACCTTCTTTTGACAATGAGCTGTCCAATGATGAATCTAATTGTTGTATTAGCTAATAATCAAATATCGCACAGCATTTTTTATCTAGATTTTTAAATAAGCAAATCGCATAATTGTTTAAAAACTTGATATGAATTCATTTTATTTTCAATGCATAAAGATTTTTCATTATTTGTAATAAACTTTAAAATAAAATTTGTGATTCACTGCATGACAATAAGGTTTGCTAAGTTAATTCTACTGACATTCAATAAAGTTTAACAATAAAATGACTATTGATTAATCTTGAAAATTATGATTGTTAATACTTTACGAGATTATCCAATAACAGAAAAAGGTATCGCGATTTGGGTGAAACCTACTGATGTACATTTCTTTAACATAGTTTCGTTTTTAGATCTTTCAATAAATTGGATTATTCTTCAAATTAAATTATGGTTATGTTAATAACGTAGCAAGTTATTTCAATGATTAATTTCCTAATTTTCTAATGCAATTCCCTTCAAATGCTATTTGCGGTGGATTAACCTCCAACTAGAAACCTCTTTCGTACCCTAAGGTTAAATGAATAGGAAGAAGATACACTGAGTGTCTAATTAGATTCGTGTCTTGGATAAGCTTATCTTGGGTCTAACTAGAAAATTGATTTTCTTAATTATTACTGACTTACATAAAATGGTTAAAAATTCAGGATTTGAATTTAATCGGTTTATTCAAAAAAGCGCTTTAAGTTGGTTACTTAGCAACAAACCAGAATCTTTCACTTTCTGAGCCTTTGAGGCTTTCAATAAAGCTTGTGAAATGCTTTCTTCAATTTAGTATTTTGTTTTGTTCATTTTGGTTTCTTAATTGGTCTGTTTTGTGGTAAATGTGATTTTATGTTTACGTATTTAATTAATATTTCGTCAATTATTCAACCATCAGTGTCGGATTGAAGTTGATTCGAGGATAATATACAAACACTCAACAACAAGTAAGCCTACATATCCCTTGGACCTTAACTCAAAATGTCCTCCTTTCAAGAAGGTTTGCGTGATTATGAAAACGCTCTCAAAGATTTGGTCTTCAATTCGAAACCAATCATCTCTAGTTTAACCATGATTGCGGAAGACTATCTTGGTGTGAATAATGGACCAAAGAAGATTGCTGAGGTTATCTTGGAACGAATTTTAACTGTCGATGATACCCAAAAACTTCCAGTTTTATATTTAATAGATTCTATTTGTAAAAACATAGGTAAAGATTATATTGAATCTTTCGAGCCAGATATTGTATCTATTTTCAAACATGTATTTGAACATAGTGATGAAACCACACGTGCTGCCTTGTTCAAGCTCAGGAGTACTTGGAAGCCTGTTTTTTCAAGAAGTACTTTGCATGCTATAGATGCTGCAGCTCAAAGCATTGACCCAGCTTGGCCAGTAACAAATTCACCTTCCCAATCCAATGCCTCTACATCAAAACGTCGGAAAGAAAATGATTCAACGTCTTCAACCATGGTTCCAAGTAAACGTAAAGCTAGTAGCAATATTGCTCATTCAATCAACGCGTCATCAGCACCAATAGCTAAACGCAAGCCTGTCATCAAACAAGTCCCAACAACAACTTCAACAGTATCTAAGCGAAAATTAGCATCTTCCGAATCAACTTCTTCCTCATCTAAACCAGTCACATCTCTAGGAAGCCATGATAGAGATTATCGCAAAGAATTTGAACCATTGATCAATGAAGTCGGAAAGAAATTGAATGATGGAGTTCTCAGTAACAAGGATCGAGCTGATATCATCCAATCAATAAACCAAGTCATGAAAGGAAGTTCATCCGATCTTGGTGGACTTTCTTCCCTACCAGTGAAGAAGCGAGCTCCTGGTCCAGTTTCGACTCTGCCTAATGTTCAAGCCAAGGATCCAGTCCAAGGCCAGGATCAGACTCTTGGACCTGTTAATGTTCCACTTCAGTTACCGCCAGCTCCTATCCAATCTACAAGTCAAATCTCTAGCCTTCCTATTCCAGCCCAGGCTTCAATTCCAAATCAACTACAAGGAGCGACTATTTCTAGTTTCGTCTCGTCTTTAGATTATCATCAGCCTCTACCCATGAAGCCATTGGAAACTATTCCCCCTTTATGTAAAGACATTGGCCAACAATATGTCCAAGTGGATGGTAATACGGTCAAATTATTCTATTTAGATGAAAATACCTCTATTGTTTTGATGAAAGGGTCTCTTCACTTGTCTTTGAATGAATTAGTAAAAGCAAATCCCTATGATCTTGAACCTAGAATGATCATGTTTGAGGGCAAGCCTACGAAAGTGTATATTGATAGTGATAAAGGGTCAAAAGAATTTGTTTTACTTAATTTTAACAGTCAACCACAAACATTTTTTCACGGTGAACACGCTCAGAGAATCAAATTAGGCGGGCCTTGTAGAGAAATTATTCTCAATGGTAAACCATATCAGGCTTCTTTTGGTGGACCGCCGATAGAAGTTAAGTTTGTCGGGGATACTCATCAAACTCATACTCTCAGATTGAGTGGTCCACCACCGCGGGTTAAAATATCTGAAGATCTCAGAGCTGATTTATGGTCTGAGTATGTTAAAAAAATTACTGGTCAATCAGATGAAAATCCGATACCAGCAGTACAAACATCTTATTCCTCCTTACCTCCAGCAACCCAAACTCCTTATTCTCAAAATATTTTAGGTACACAATCTTCTTCCGCCGTCTTACTACCTCCATCAACAGTACAACCAGCATCGTCTCTGGTACCAGCATTAACAACACAGATAAATCCATTAGCTCCTGGATTGGTTACAAACTCAACTGTCGCAATTTCAACGCCAATACCCACAGCTTTACCTATTCCAGTGACTGTAGCAATGCCATTGACTGCTCCTTGTCCAACTTTACCATTGCCCGTTACATTACCTCTTCAAGTTCCTGGACCAGCCGTCGTCCCATCTTTAACTAACTCTGTTCCTGTAACGATGACGGCTCCTACAACCGAACCTCAAGTTAATTTAGGAGATTTATTCGATAAACTGATTTCTGTTGGTATCATTAAGAAGACTGAACCTCAAATTACAGATTCCAATAAATTGCTTGCAACAACAATCACTACTACTACAGCAACGAGTACTTTACCATCATCATTAACAGTTACAGCTATTGGTGCTTCTCCTTCAGTCACATCTATAGTCTCAGCAACCTCATCAACAAATTTGGCAACATCTGTTACAAGAATAGGGTCACCTTCATCTATGAATCGAGAGAATGGACTTAATCAACTTGATGAGATAGAAAGTGAACCTTTAGTATTAGAGACAAAATCTTTGAAAGCAGATCACCCTAAAGTTATTGCAGACTTAATAAATGGAACTCAGTGTCCAAATTGTTCATTACGCTTTGAAGTTGGTGATTCAAACGAAAGATCTAAATATTCAGTTCATCTTGATTGGCATTTTAGGTTAAACCGACAAGAGCGAACAGACTCTAAATCAAAGTCAGCCGCTGTTCGCCGTTGGTTTTGTTCTCTCGATTTGTGGGTTTCCTTTAAAGAGATATCAGATGAAACTGATCAGACTATGATGGATGCAGATAAAGAAGAGAAAGAATCAGCGAGTGAGAAAAAGGTCTGCACAGTTAGCGCAAACGAAGATGAAAGTCTTAATGAGTGTGCCGTCTGTAAAGAAAGGTTCGAAACAACATGGAACGAAGATGAAGAAGAGTGGCAACTATTAAATGCTGTGAAAGGGCAAGACGAAAAAATTTATCATCCCTTATGTTTAGAAGATCTATTGAAACAACGTTCGGCTGAAAATGAAGCATCCAATTTGACTGCAACCAATGGGCAAGAAGATAAGACAGAAGTTAAGCCTGAAGGAGACGACGAAAATGAAACAAATCAAGAAGATGATAGCAAGGAAGAAATAAAGATGGAGGTAGATGACGAAGTGAAACATGTTGATGTAGTAAAGAAAGAAAATATTTTGAATAATATTGATGATGATGATGATGATATAGATGATGATTATACTTTGTATCCAGCTGAAACAAAAGGTCAAATAGAAGTATCCGTTTGTTGTATATCTTAGCGCGTATTTGCTCTTAATGAATGCAGTCTATGAAAAAAAAGAAAGCATAAAACAAACCAAAACACAAAAAAAGTGAAATATACAATTTATATTTCGATGTTAATTTTCTAATGTAAGTTTATTTTGCATCTTCAACTTGGAAAATATGACAATAAAGTGTAAAAATGTAAATAACATGAATCATGTTTCCACAATTTTTTATTTCATTTATCGCGTTTAATCTCATTTTGTTATAAATTAGTTGGATTCTACATAGATTTAAAAAGCATTTAATAAAACACTTACAGAATCAGGCGCGAATTGTGAATCAGTCAAAGTCGTGGAATAATGAGTCATTTAGTTAAAATTTATCATTTGTAAGTATATTTACATCACTTTGGAAAGCTTGAAGTGCATACAATATTAAAAATGAACAGATGGTAGTTATGGAATTAGAAATTAATGAATTTAACTGAATAAATATTTTCACTATGGTGTAAATAGTGAGACATGATATTTTTAGAATCGGAAAGTACAATAACAGAAGTTTAAAATTTTGTACATGTTGAATGATCATGAAGAACACTTGGGGTGATAAAAACTTTAGGTGATTAGATTAGCTATTTTTTGGTTGAGTAGATCTTGCGGGGTCTATAAGATTCGCAATCGTTTCATTGTTGATAGCTATTCCTATCTTTTTGATAACATTGATTAAATCTTGCTTTTCCTTTTTCAAACGACTATTTTCTTGGACCAGATTTGAATGAGCTTTGATCAATTTATGTACATAAATTTTAGACGGTTCATCCAACTGGGATTTAACATGGATGAGTTTGGCGGCTGAATTGAGTGACCAGAAAGTTTCATAAATTGATCTCAAACTAGCAGATAATTCTGGTGTAACAGTTTGGATACCTTTAGAAGTTGGAGGAACAGTATTGACGTTTTTAATGGCTTGAACAGTTCTGATATACTTAGGAACTAGTGTAGTAGGTTTAGAACGAGAAATAGGAGAAGAAACAGTTGTGACATTAGGAGCTGACGTAATAGTTCTAGTATGAGCTGGAGTAACAGTTCTGATAGGATTTATAGCTGCTGAAGTAGCTTTGATACGGTTAAGAACTGATTGAGTATTTTGAGTGGTTTGGATTGGACCCGGAGTTGGTGCACCATTTTTGTGAGAATTGGATGTTGTTGTACCATTTTTATGAGGATTGGATGTTGTTGTACCATTTCTGTGAGGATTAGCTGTTTGTCCATCAGTTCTGTAAGGATTAGGAGCTGTACCATTTCTTTGAAGATTAGCTGTTTGTCCATCAGTTCTGTAAGGGTTAGGAGTTGTACCATTTCTATAAGGACTAGGAGTTGGTGGATCCGTTCTGTTAGAATTATGAGTTGAGACAACAGCTCTGTAAGGACTTCGAGTTGGTGCTTCCGTTCTGTGTGAAGTATGAGTTGATGTACCATTTCTGTGAAGATTAGTTGTTTCACCACCCGCTCTGTAAGAATTATGAGATGTTGTACCATTTCTGTGAACATTAGTTGTTTGAACATCAGTTCGGAAAGGAACTTCCATCTTCATTAAATATGATCTCCATTCATGATATGTAGCTCGTTTTGGTTCATCATCGGAACTGTCACTATCACTTGATGAATTCGTAGATGAGTCTCCTGACTCACAGCTGCTGCTGCTGCTGCTGGTCAGCATTCTTTTATTGACTTTATTTAAAACACAGGCATTAGCCATGCGAACGGGAAAAATTTACGTTTTTTACTTTATTGATGAACAAATTTAAACACTGTTTTAATGAATAAGTCAGCTGAAAGTAAACTAAGCAAACAATGCTTGCACAACAAGCTTTATTACCAATTACACTTAAAACTCACGCAATGCATAAGAACGCTTTTTTCTGTGTGAATCGGCAGCAATTAGACTAAATGTTAAAATAAACGCCATCTCTGTTTATTTTTTCACAGCTCCCACTAAGTTAATCATAAATAGTAAACGATGGTTTGTTTTGTGCTTTCTTTTTTTTCATAGACTGCATTCATTAAGAGCAAATACGCGCTAAGATATACAACAAACGGATACTTCTATTTGACCTTTTGTTTCAGCTGGATACAAAGTATAATCATCATCTATATCATCATCATCATCATCAATAATATTCAAAATATCTTCTTTCTTTACTAGTTATAAGCAAAAAAAATAAATAAATACATTTAACAAATACAGTAAAATTTTGTCAGCGACTAGTTTAACAATTGGACATAAAATTAAATTTATGGACCTATACTACTAGATCTTGAAGATTTAAGAAATTGATAAAACGATGATGTATCGAGATAGTAATTATGGTTTTCAATAGATTTTATGAGATGACTTCGAAGAAGATGAGATGCATAATTGCGACCAGATTTACGATTTAAAACAAGTCCACTTCTAATCAACCAAGTTACCAGATCACAGCCTTTGAAAACAAAAATCTCGTTTCCACCGGAGGAGATGAAGAAACAAATATCTTTTGCACATTTGTCAAGATGATATGTTGAAAATTGGTGGTGAATTTGATAAGATTCATCAGAAACACTTTCATCATCTTGCTCATTTCGACGGGAAAAATAGAAATAAAATCTGCGCCAAACGTCAATAAGTGGACTCACATCAAGACCAAATAACACAAAGGTGCTGATGGCTTGTCCATAGACAAGAAAAATATCCAATGAAACAAGTTCAACATGAATGCCTGTGAATTTTTCGTTAAACGCTTTGCTAATAGTGACTGCTAAATCAATCACCATGGAGAGAAGTAGAATAAGAAGAAGAGAAACGTGAGAAGTTCTTTGTATATGCTTTTGAAATGATACAGTTAAACGTTCACCAGGTACAGGTATCATTTCAGCTTGAGTATTATTTGCGTATTGTTGTAGATATTTGAGGCAAGATTTTCGTCGATGAATTTCTGTACATTGAGATCCTTGACAAGATTGTTCAATAATCGTTGAATTCATCAGATCTTCAATGCTGACTGTATCAGGGTCTCTAGAATGACTTGGTAGATTTTCTTGACTGACTTCCCGCACAGGCGATTCACGTCCTGAATCAATTGAACTTTCAACAGTTGAATTAAGTCTCTCGTACATATTAGCGGCGGCATTATCACGCTGTTGCAAAATAACAGCTGATCCTGTAATTATAATAGAAACGATGGTGACAGCTAAAGTAGGAATCGTTTGATAAGTTCCAAATTTGAAGTATGGATCAATTGAAGATTGTGAGGAGAATGGCGCAACCAAATAAAGAGCTGCAGTCAAAATGAATGTGAAAAAGAAAGCACCACCAAAGAAATAATTTTGAGCTCTCAATACATAACAGAGACTCTTTTTTCGAAGTAACGCTATGGTAAGAGCTAATAATGAGGTCCAGATGCGGGAAGCAAAAATGCCAAAGACAGGAACAAAGTATCGAAATTTAATGACAACCGAATCATGTGGCATTAAATAGCCACCGATTGCAACAATCAGTTGAGTTAAAAGTAATCCAAACGTTATTCTATGAGTGACACTAGTCCATTTACGTCCACAAACGAATATAATCAAAGTCCAGATAGCGCATGGAATAGCGATTAAGCTGATTATATAAATTGTAAGACACAGATCATGTGTAACTTGTTCCGGTGTGTAGTCAGAATAACGGATCATTGAGCTTGATACAAAAAGAAGTGGTGCAGAAATAACGGTTGAAACTATGAGCGCATATGAGGTTACCCATGATCCAATATTGTAGATGAGAGCAAATATAACCGCTGTTGGTGCGCAAGGTATGACTCCATATAGGAAGGCAAAATTTGTCATCGTAAAAACATAAGTCTCAGTACCTCTAACTAAATATCTAGCAATAAGTCTTAAAACAAGAGGTAAAACAAAAAGTTTGACAGCACTCAAAGTGCAAGGGACAACGATTTTGGAGGAATTACCAATCAAACCAGATTCTTGAACTATATTGAGACCGAGTAGGAACAAAGAAGTCGAGCTAAAGGCATTGGCAAATGACTGTAAAAGGCCATTAAGCATGGATGGTACAGTGTTACCAAAAGTAAAGTTCCAGATTACACCTCCAATGGTCATAACTACAATAGGATTAGTCAATGTATTTTTCAGAACTTTTCCGATAATAATAAACGCATTTGACGGTGAGGCGGATGAATTGGCTATTGACTGGCGATACTTGTAAAGCTCCAAGAGGAAAAGACCACACGGATTAATGAACAATAATTGAAGTGGAGCGATAACATAAAGATAGTCAGCAAAATGGGGCTGACTATTGGCATATAAAGATGATAAGATGGGATATCCAATCGCGAAATCATTACTTTGAGTAACCAACATACCGTAAAGACCTGCTTTACCGAGGTGGCATGGGCGAGTTGTAAGAAGGGTTATCACGACGACCAACACAAATATAACGACTTTTGCGATGAAAACAGAGGCAACAAAGTACCAGTCAATTTGGGATAGATCACATTTTGCTAAGCTGATGAATATAAGAGCAGGTAAGGAAAAGTACGAGACAAAGTTAGTTATTCCTTTTGATTGGTCCTCAGATATAATGGATAGACGACCAGAAACATAACCTAAGATGATTGCAGCAAAACATTGGAATAATATGGAGACCATTTGCAAAGCATCATCACTACCAGTTGACGAATTTTGTGTCACAGGCGTTAACATCTTGATAAAACTTGTTGAATGTTTAATTGACAGCAAAACAGATGAATTCAGTAGAAATCCTGAACATCAGCAGGTTGATGTTGTTCCCGAGATGGGTAAATGTATTATTAAATTATGGGCAAGCTTTCGCAATGATCAAACTGCGATACAGGAACCAGGCAAACATCACATAGAATTAAATAAAACCAGTAGCTAAGAGGAGATAATAGCAAAAATCAATAAGTATTGAAAATTAAAAATGATAACAAAAGTACAATTGTTCTTCTGCATTTAGATAGATAAAACAAGAATTTGGAATTATACAAATTCTTTGGATTACAAAGTTCATGTTTTTCCTAATTTCATTTAAAATTAACTATAATTTAAACTGAAATGTAAAATGAAAATAACATGATAGCATGTCAATTCCATAACCTATTTCCAATCTTATAAGCATTCATTGCACCTTTATTCATTTGTGAAGTATTATTAGCAAGAACTTTATGACTTACCTCTCGATTAAATTATTATCGTAGATGATCAGATTAGTTAAACATGAGTAGATTCAGATGTTAAAATTCCCTGATTGAAACAGTCACATATTAAAGGAAAAAATCACATATTTCTTGATGAATTGAATCAACTTTCATCAAAAAATGATGCGGAATAAAGATGCAACAGTAAACGCCATCTCTTTTTATTTTTTCACAGCTCCTTTCAAAGTTAATCAAAATGATGCTATATTTTACCTACGTAGGTAAATAATTAATAGATTTCATTAATTTAATTTTTAAGGAGGACCTGCAAATGAATAGGGCAAATCTCCTCTTAGGATATATTTATGAAATGAACTTTTTCGAATGTAATTTTTCATGCTGATTCCGAATATCTGTTTCTTTTTTTGCTAAATTAACGCATTCGAGAGGAAAGTTCATATCATGATTCGAAGGTTGCATTTTTTAGCACGTTAGAAGAGGTCGCTAAGCCAGCCGATTCTATTCGTGATCTATGTTATCAAAGATGCTGAACAATATAGTGAAGGTTTGGTCCCTTAAAAAATCGCCAAATAGGGTTAAAATTGCGAAAAACCAGATTAAAATATAGATTTATTAATGACCTTTTAAATAATGAAGATGCCGTCTAAGCCAGCTAAATATTGACATTATCAGTGTAATCAAGTATGTTGAATAATATAGTGAAGGTTTGGTTCCTGAAAAAATAGCCAAACAGGGTTAAAATTGTAAAAAACTGAATTTGAACAGGGATTAATAAGCGTATTTTTGTAAATGATGAAGAAGCCGTCTAAGCCAGCTGAATCTTTTCAAAACAAATGTAATCGAGTATGCTGAATAATATGGTGATGGTTTGATTCCTAGAAAAATAGCCAAACAGGGTGTTGCATTGACATTTAGTAAAATTTAACGAAATCCAGTTTTCGGCAATTTTCAATCTGTTTGGCTATTTTTTCAAAGCTTCAACCACCACTAGATTATTCAGCATACTCGATTACATTTGTTTTGCCAAGATTCAGCTGGCTTAGACGGCTTCTTCATCATTTTCAAAAATACGCTTATTAATCCCTGTTCAAATTCAGTTTTTTACAATTTTAACCCTGTTTGGCTATTTTTTCAGGAACCAAACCTTCACTATATTATTTAACATGCTTGATTTCATTGATAATGCTAATATTTGGCTGGCTTAGACGGCATCTTCATTATGTTTAAAAGGTCTCTAATACTATGTGATATTTAGATATTTTGGCCGATATCTCAAAAACTATGCTATAAAATGCATGCTATAAAAAAATAGATTCGATTTATGAAATTGCCATTAAATTTTGTGTCTGAAAAGTATCATTTCAAAAGAAATCGAAAACAGGCGATTTTGCAGGTCCTCCTTAAGGTGGATCTCAATTCATCGAAGCGAGATTAATTTTTTAAATTGAAAGAATCAAAGAAAGAAGATAAGAAGGTGTGATTTCACACCAAGTCATGAATAACGACACATTGAAATTTTTAATTTCAATCAATGGTTGATGGGATCCACCTTTAATTTAGCATCCGATATCTAATAATAGTCTATTTTTATTAAGGTTAAATGTTTGGAACGTGTCAAACAAAAATTGATGAGTACATCGCACTTATTTCAGTTTTAGATAGGTATAAAATAACTGATTTGACACAAGCAATCAAAATGATAACAGTTTTAATGTAAAATGGGTAACAACGAGATAGTTGGAATTTCTGATAAGTGACTTTTATTCATGTAATTAGATTAAAGTCTTTCATTAAAAATATCATTTGACTTTTATATCCATTTTATGAATCAATAGATGTTTATGCAGATGAATCAATGTTAATAAATGTTAATAATGTTTATTACTGCAATACAGCTAACAATAAGCTTTGAGTTGGAGCTCAAGAGTAAATAATGAGCGCGTAAATGGCCCATAAGAAGAGATCAAGATTTGTAAAAATTATATTTATTGTTGAATCATGAACTTCCCTGAAAGTTAAACTGGCTACTTTCCATTACTATGCTAGTTAAATGGCTGCTTTGTTGGAAGCTTGATGCCATTTTGATATCGAAGTAATATGAACATGTTGACTCATGGCAGGTATGTTTAGGGAAATTGTGCGATAATCAACTTGTCAGAGAATCATACAGCAAATCATCTTTTTTTGTTTTATATTTTACTTTAATTGACGTACATTGAAATTCACGTGCATCGATTGAGTAATGTTTTACATGCAAACATTTGCTATGAAATTATCATTAAAAATATTTTCCAATATCAACAAGCGAAGAGTCTTTTTTTAACTGCTAAAAGTGAAATGAATAAACAGGTGATTTGACAAATTAAAAGCTTTAATTTTAAAATAATTCGTTTTAAAAGCATAAATCACAAGAGATATGGTTAAAATGATACATATCACAATTAAGTCAGAATAAATTGGAAGATAAAATCATGTTGCACGAAAAATATTCGTTGTAACTTTCGTAGAGTATATAAGCTTAATTAAAGACTTAAGGAACACAAAAACTTGAACCTATTCAAAAATAAACGTGCAGAAAATAAGCGATCAGTCATATTTAAATGTCATTTCGTTTGGTGCAGGAAGAGATCGTAAGTCAAAAATTCGAAGTCCAAAAATAAGCTCGATTAGATGAAGTATAACACGTTTTGTAGAGGAGCAAGAACTCGAATAGCCTCTGAAAGATCCACGTTTGAAGGAATTGGAGCTTTGGATCTCATCATATCCTTAAGGTGCACTTTACCTCTAGCAGCTGCATGATGAGCATAACGAGCTGGGGCTGGATCGGCTATACTTTTAGTGCTTCGAGCAAATAGGTAACACAAATAGTACGTAACTTTTTGTAACTCGTCTGCAGTAAGATTATTCTCATCCCAAAGAACCGTGTATTTTCCAGGACGAGCAGTACCCTAAACATTAAAGAGTTCAAATTAATAACAGTGGTTAAAAAATTATGCACAATGGTAATAAAATATAAGTAATGACTTACCAAGAACGAATTTTGAGAGCATAAGTAAAAGTCAAACCATTTGTAGTGACACACAGTAGTGTCAATCACACAACCAGGCAATATATTTTCAGATCTGGTTGAGTCCTCTTTTTTCATCGGGAAGAATCGAGCATTATGTCTCTTCTGGACTATCATATATGTTAATTTAATATTTTGTCTATAATCTGTACTGAGCATATCACGCAGAGGGAAAACTTCATAAGCTAACACGTAGGCAAATTGACCTTCGGAGACTCCATCACGGTAAACAACGATGTTATCAGGATAGGAGCCACGGTGCTTTTTGAACGCTTCTAAAATAGGTTTTATCATTCCACGAACATCAACGGTTTCTTCTCTGGAACGATTAATGACGATATTGGTGTGGTAGTTGGAAAGCTCCGGATTTAAACTACCAACAACTGCAGCTATTGATGGTGAATTTTCTCCGGGTGAGGGATGATTAACATCAACTCCGACGACCATTGTTAACCCCTTTAATATACTAGGTTTGCTAACATCCGCTAAAGAAAGGTTGATGCCACCGATTTTACTGTTAATTTTTAGCAATAAATTGCTTAAGTATGCAGTGTCAAACAATTTTTGTCTTTTCATATCATTGCGTGGATTGAAGTGTTTGTCAAGAATGATTTGGGTTGGAATACCGAGTGTTCGATCTCCAACAGATTTAATCTCAGTGTAAATCTCATCTTCTTCTGGTATCATACAAACAATCAATTGCAAATCTTTTTTTAACATCTCCATAGTCTGGCGAAGGGCAGGTTTTGTGGTTCTAACAGGTGGTGAAGGCATACTCACTTCTACACCAACCATAGATCCCACTCTTTGAAGATTTTTGCAAAATTCACGAATGATATCATCAGTAATTTTTCTTGACATGCAGAGGAAAACCCATTTAGAAAGATTTTTTGAACTATAAAATTTCTTTCTGTCCGGTTGCTGCATATTCCAGTCTCCAGGAACCAATGGAACAAATGAAGGTTGATTAGAATATCGTAACCTAGGTGCAGGCAATATTCGACCAGGGACTTCAACCATATTAGGATTTAATGTTATTCCAAATTCAGCAAGAGCTGCGTTACTAGCAATTGATTTGGCGGATTCTGCGGTTCCAGCTGCTCGTCCACTTGGCCTTTGAGATGTAGCATGTGTGCTAAGAATTTTAATAAGATCATCACGCAATTTTCGTTGATTTCTTTGATCTGGCAACAATTTGCACAATTCGATGGGTATGTACTTTCCCTGTCCATATTCAACGCAAGGCAAATTTGGATACTTCAAATGGATTTTATATTTTCTCACAAAATAGTTATAAACGGTTTGTCTCCCTCCTTCTTCACTAAAACTAGTTTCCCTAGAATTTGTTCTAGTGAAAGATCTAATAGAATGGCGAGAAACAAAATTTCGATATTCCGTTTCAACTCGGAGCCCAATAAACTCTTTCAATTGATCCATTGATTTACTGTCAAGTGTTTCATTCGGTCCAAATGGGCGACCAAACAACTCAAAGATCCTATCAAGAAGTGGGCCTTCACGGTAAAGAACAGCCGATGCTCTGTCAATATTTTGCATAGGTCCACTTTGACAAAATTGTGTAGACTGGTGATAGCCAAACGCGAGCTCGAATGGTGTAGGCTTCTCAGATTTGGCCTGGAACGATTTGATACTCATAAGAATTCGCGGTCTCACGGTAGAAGGGAAGAAAATTTTAGATCCATAAACAATATTATTTTTAAAAGCATAACTTTTGGTTATTATATCTAGCATTTGTAGGACCGCTCGATCATGGACATAATTTTCTCCATTGAAATTGAAGCTAAGAGTAACGGAACTTGTTCTCTTGATCCTGATCTGGTAATTGGTTGCAACATCTTTTGGATTTTCCTTGAATGGAAAGGTATAATAGACACCTACTTCTAAATTGTCAGCTTCTAGTGGTTTATTAGTGAGGAGGATACGATCGCTATCAAAAGCATAACAAATCCCATTAAATAAGGATTTTCCAGTTGTCTCAACGAATTGAGCAAGTAATTGTTGATGAATTTTCTTTGTCACTCGTCTGAATTTTCTTCCGATTTCTATTTCTTTTTCAGCTACTGAGGCACTGTCAGGCCGGTCAAATTGTATATCATATTGATGGACAGTATTGCCCGTAAGTTTCAACCTGTTAAAAAATAATTCAATTTGTTAAATTAAGGTAATTATTTGACAGATATTACTCGATAGAAAATTGAATTGCACCAAAGAGAGAAACAGATTTGTTACGAAATTAGATAAATAACTTTAGAAGCCACTTCAAATCACGCACATTTACGATTTGCGTATTAATGATGGATTGTTTCCTGCCCAAATTCAGGTCATAAAGGAAAGTAGCTTACCTGAAAAAGTTAGATCTAAGAGTAATTCTCTTTCCTTCATTTCCACTTTGAAATTTTGGTCGAATTCTTAAGGCTGCAGGAGCATTTTTCAGACTAAGCCCAGTAAGATTCTCCAATTCGGCAAAGGAGTCTTCAGCATTTGCTTTTCTACGATCTTTGTTTACATCACCACCTTCAGATATAATTGTAACATCCTGTTCGTCAACTTTCACAGGCACTTTCTTAGCGGACTTCTTTCCCTTGGATTTCGAGGCCTTAGGATTGCTACTCATTTTGATGGATGGTTAAAACAAATGGTCAAAAACAACTGGTCAAAAATAACTAGACAAACCAAATGGTAAAAACAGGAATAAAACACTAATACATAACACTGCTTAACAAAACAGACCTTATAAATACATTTTACAACAAATTTCGTGTCGCCATCTATCAACTGTAAGAGACTTGTTGTTTCAACGGATGTGATAAAGAAGTCTTTAATCAAACAAATTATTAGAGCCAATTGGTAAGAAATATTATCCTAAATTACCAATAAAATCAGAGTGTACACAATTTTTCATAAAGAAAAATTAAGTTTCGCCATCAGGACAATCAAGTTGCTTAAAAAGAGTAAATTAAACTAAGCTAACTGACTCAGCATTGGTTTGTGCAATTGTTTTTTATAATTTTAATTTTAAATTTCTCCATTTCAGCAAAATTGAAAGCAAAGTTGAGATTTTTGATTTTCAAACGTTTTAACAGTCTACTGGTCAAAGCTCACGGAATTTAATTCACATCTAAACAAAGCAACGTTTCATTAATAATTCTTACTCCAATCTTTATTATCGATTAATTAATTGATATCGTTGTAAAGTACCAAATGAGATGAAAAAATGATTGCCTTGCAAATAATAATCTCTCGGTCTCAGAATCTACCAATAAATAAATAAACTGCTAATCAATGAACAAAAATTGAACAGACAGTTGATTAAAATAAGTGCTGCATGAACAGAATGGGCAATTGCAATGAAATATTTATCAGCAATTTCAATCAGTATGATACTTAATCTTTAAACAAATCTCACTAGCTTTCATTATTTAGGCTTGAAAAAAGTGTAATCTTTTTTAAGTGCTTTCGTGTGAATTCAGATTCCAATTCTTCAGCGATAATGGTTTTAATATACAATTTATTGATTTGTTTTAAACCAGAGTAAGTATCAGCGTAAATAATGAGTGGCCGAAGATTTTGGTTGAAAATGTTCATACCTTAATGTTCATAACTATTAACCCCTACTAATCTTGATCATTTACTGATTTCCTTTTCAAAGTCAACTGATATTTTTCCAGGAATAAAAATATCTATGCTTTTCGGATAATCAGTTTGTTTTTGATCGGTAGTTTATTGGAATTGAACTTTAGTTGATAAGAAAGGATTATAAAAAGGATTAATTAATTCATCTAACGAACAAAATCTGATTATTGAAAAATCACACAGAAATGTATTAGTTTTGAAGCTTTGAAGTTCGCAACAGCACAATTTTTATGTAACTCGCCAGCTAAATTTGAATTGTTTTTGTATTCTTTTGCCAACTCGGTTATCTGATAAGGTATACGAATTTTATTTTATGAATCAGATGATTAACAAAAATTGTGCCTTCGAATGATCACGCCTTTAAACTGAATTATCAGTAGCTTCACATTTGCTTGCACGGTTCGGAGTCAATTTTTACTCCAAAACAAAAATAATTTGAAACTGCAAGTTGATAGTTATTATATTTCAAAAACTTGTTTGTGAATTTGATTAGTTGACATCGAGAACAGTTTTGTTATGATTTGATACTTTTTCGAACTATAGAGTCAATGTGTTGTTTACTAATCAATAATGTTAACATTAAATTCATCTGCTACATATGAACATATCATGACTGTTTATTGTTAATCAATTTGACAAATAAAGTGATTCTCACTTGTAACGCACCTTTTCAAGAGAAAGACCAAGTAAATGCTAAATTATTGGATTCATTGAGGCTTTATTCTCATATTCAACAAGTACTTGTAAATTTTTACAAGAAAAATATTGAATAATAATGAAATTAGCTTGAAATCAAAGAGTAAAACAAAGAGTTATATTACTCTTTGCTTGAAATCGAGTAACGCAAAAATAAATAACACATACATCTATTAAAGAGTGTCAAATTTAATTCCAAGCAAATTGGTGGAGCTAATTATCTTTTTATAACAAATTAGATACACAAATAACTAAAACAAACAGAAACAAAGGGGAAGATGGAAAATAAAGTAATCAAATGGTTTGTGTCTATGGTTTCTGATATCTTTGCTTATTCATTTTTACTTGTGATAAAAAGATAGTAAGCTCCACCAGTTTGCTTGAAGTCAAATTTGACACCCTGACGAATGTTGTTGTCATAGAATCAAATGATTTACGAGATACATTAGTATTTACGGATGAGAAAAATCAATTTTATTGTCTTATTTGAGTTTCGAATGATATTAATTAGGTGAGTTAGACTAACTATGAAACACTACTGCCAACGGCTTTTTTTTCTTGGTTGAGACTCTTTAGAAGCTAAAGTCTCTTCATTTTGGTCATTGACTGGCATAGCTGAAGAATTTAAAGATGATTGTGGTGAAGATGAATACAATGAATCACTTGATGATTTGAAATTAGATTGAAATTGAGCTTTAAATGCTGCTTTAATAGCAGAAACTCGATCAGTGTTCGGTGGTTCCGTTTTATTGGACGAGCTTCTTTCACTTAATGAAAAGGAAATTCTCTCAGAGGCTAAACTATTTTTATCTGCTCCTAAGCCAGGTCTGGCTCTTTGACTGAATGAGCTATTAAAATCAACTTTTTTCCCTTTTCCTTGTTTGAAACGTGAATTTTTGAACCAATTTGACTGCATAGCTAGGTCCATCAGTTCTCTCGGTACTTCTTGGTTTGCTCCTTCAAGATTACGCACCAAAGGTCCGGCAAAATCTTTATCTTTTTCAGTAATCAAGGTATATGCAATACCATCTTTATCACCTGCTCGACCAGTTCTACCAATACGATGAGTATGAGTATCAATATCTCTGGCTACATCGAAATTTATCACAGTTTTAACATGGGTTATATCCAAACCACGAGCAGCTACATCTGTGGCTACCATAACATTGACTTCATGCCTTTTAAAGGTACCAATTGCTTTATTACGATCACTTTGGTGCATATCTCCATGGATTAAAACTAATTCAAAGCCACGCTCTTTCAAATTGTTGGCGAGCTCTTCAGCATTGGCTTTCTTTGTGACAAAAATTAAAACTGACCCAGAGGAGGTGAATCTAACTAGATTATCAGTTAACCAGATCCATTTACTCGGCCCTTCCTTCATAACGAGCACAGTCTGGGTGACATCTTCATTGGCAACTCCTAATTCACCTTGAACAACTTTGATTGGATCAGTTAAAGCATGTCTAGCTAAACGCTCGACTTTTCTTTTGAAAGTAGCTGAAAATAGCAATGTTTGACGATCTGGTCGAGTATGATCACAGATAGAACCAATTTGGTTTCCAAATCCCATGTCAAACATTTTATCAGCTTCATCAAGAACCAACATTGTAACTCTTTCAAAATTAGTGGCTTTACATTTTATCATATCAATCATTCTTCCCTATAGTAAAAAATGTAAAAAACAAGGTTAGCATATAATAACAAAATCGATCAATTTAAGAAGGTAGTCAGTTAAATAGACTTACTGGTGTAGCGACAACTATTTCAGCGCCTTGAGATAACTCATTTGATTGTTCCCATTTTGACCCACCGCCAAAACAACATGCAACTCTTAATCCATATACTTTTGCAAATTTTTTGGCTTCGGCATGTATTTGTTGGGATAACTCTCTAGTTGGCGCTAAAATTAACCCAATTGGTCCTTCTCCAGGTCCTAATTCTCGTTGATCCATGATATGAACAAGCATTGGCCATAAATATGCTGCGGTTTTACCACTACCGGTCTTAGCTACACCAAGAACATCTCGACCTGATAATGCAATGGGAATTGCTTGACATTGGATAGGAGTTGGTTGATGATAACCCGCTTTGATGATTGCTTTAGTTAACTGTTCATCAAAACCAAAATGAGCAAAAGAGATACATGGTTTTGGTGCATTGGCGCCCATAACAGATATTCCGAGGGTCCTACGAAGTTCTTGAGTTTTTTCATCATTCAAAGATTGAATTTCTTCGTGTTCTATGTAAAAATTTTTTACAAAAGGTTTGTAACCAATTTTACTATGGTCACATGCAGGAAGTGGATCTATGAATTTTAACTTTTTTCTATTCAAAATAGGATTTCCTTGGTCATCATATTCAACAAGATCATCTTCCTCTTCATCGAAGTTTAAGTCTAATCCAGCTCTAGGGTTCTCTTCCATGTATCTATAATAAGATTCTTGAATATCTTCTTCTTCAATATCTAGTCGCACATTAGCCTTCGCTTCTTTCTTGGTAGAATCAGATTTTACTTGTTTCTCAAGTCCAGCCATAAAAGCATCTAATGGATCTTCTTCTTCGTCATTGTCATGGTCATCGTCCTTGTTTGAATGGCTTGATTCAATATCACTATCTTTTTCAGAATTTTCAGACTTGTTAACATTGTCATTGTCATCATCTTGATCCCAGTAGCTTTCCTCCTCGTCTTGAAAAATCTTACTTCGCTTTAATCTTTCTTTACCATATGGTTTAGGATCTTCTTTTTCTTCATCCAAATTATATGCAGCAGGACGATCAATATCTTTCGGTGGACATACTTTAGAATAATCAGCTGAAGCGGATGCTGAAGAACTGAGGGAAGAAGATGAAGCTTGTGTAGGAAAGGATGGCCGATACTGAAAATGCTTGTAGCCACCTCTGCGATTCATGATTGGGTCTTTATTAAAACACAATAGAAACAGAAATCACTAAAGATCAATTTTAATTAATACACATTCGTAAATAAACATTAAAACTGACAATGTTTACAAAATGTCATTAAACAAAATGAAAATAAACATGTTGCAAAAAGACTCAATGGGCTATTCCCAGTCATATCACCAAAGCAACAAAAATAAACAAACAATGAAAGCGTATGACTTTAATGTATCAATCTTGGAATTTCATTCTGAATTTTTATTATAATTATCAGCCTCGAATACAAAGTCAGAGACAGTTGATGGTAATTAAGAATACAGTAGACACATAAGGTTTTTCCCAGATCAATATATGTACTCTGAATGGAGACAAAATATTCCTCAAACGGTGCTAAAAATGAAGTAAAAATTCAGTAGCAAAGTAGTAACAATTTTCACCCAATCAACTTTGTATCCTGAAAACACAAATGATGAAGAGAATACGACAAGAATAACAGATATTTTTGAGAAATTTATATGATGAAGAAATAAACAAAAACGATTTAAAGTAAAAGAGTGAAGATTGATTTAAGAATTGACAGAGGTTTCATTGATTTTGGTATGATTTCCACCAATTCAGCCTCCAAAGCAATAGTTAAAAATTTCATAACGATCAAACTCTTTTCAGTACAACTGTCTAAATTTCAAAATCTTAAACTTCAATCGTCAAATTTTCAAATTGTTTCGTCAAAGTTTTGTAAAAATGGAATGAAAACTCATAATTCAAGTGATTCGCGATTTATTAGTACTTCCCTCCGTGGAGAGACCATGCTTTACACATGCCCATCATAGCTGACCACTATGACCCAAACCATTCCTCAACATTAGAGAAATAGATTGGCCTGAGTACAAGACCCAGATTGGGATTAGAAAATACAAGAGAGTGTCTTTCTTTAGACAGTTACAAGCATTATTTAGGATTAGGTTTTAAGTTACATGTATTGGTGAGCATTTTTTTTTTGTTTCGGGGTTAATAGTTTCTTTTAGGGTTTACAAAATTTATGTTGGAAAAAGAGGTCGGATTTTTTTTGTTTTTTAAGTTGTTGCAGTTATGTTGTTATTAATAAAGTTAAAGTGATAAAAGGATATTATTTAGTGTAATGAGACACTTTGAAAAATTTTCTTTCACAGGAGTTGGAGTTAGATGATAGGGTTGATGATAGCGTTTTTTTCTTGAGTATCTTTGTTTTCAGTCCATTTTTCTTGTGTATGATTTCTGTGTTTTAGGTCCTTAGCTTTGAGTAGTTCCAGTAGGCTTTCCAAGGCTTCAATTCTTTTCTTGTTTTCTGTTCATAGTCATCAAAAATCCATCCTCGAGTGAGAGACTGCCTTATTTCCTTGGTGCCATCACAATCCTTTAGGTAATGGTTTAGGAGATTTTTCTTTTGTTTGCATGTTTGCATATATCCACATTTAATACTTATCTCAGATAAGAGTTTCCAAAGTTTGCGAACGTTACAACCACCTATTCTACCATACTGACAGATTTTCTTGTTGGGTCTTAGGAACAGTTTTATCTGACTTTCTTCGCTGTCATATGCTTTAGTGATGAAGTCTTCTATGGCAATATCCATTTTTCGATCAAACTCACTTGCTGTTACGATTTTGTTTTTAAGATGAGTTATCTTGTCCTCAGGTTGAGGCTTAAGTACATTGTCACACCTCTCAGCCTCCATCCATATAAATTTCTTCTCATTTTGATTGAGCAAGGAAGCTACATATAGAGCTGTAGCAGAGTTTGGATACTGTACAAGTAACTTGGGTATGATGTAGGTTGTTGGTTCATTTTTAGTCAGATTGACTAAAATATGAATTGCAAGGAAGTGATCAGCATTTCCTCTGCCAGATTCAACAATTTGAAAAAATTGTATTCCTTTCCTGGTTATCGTTTGAAGATTATTCCCTTTCAATCGGTAACCAGCTTGAGAGAAACCTTTCACCAAGCAAACTACTTTTTTCGAGTAGAAACATGACATGTTAGGCTGCTTTGAGAAAAGCGGCAGAGGTTTAAACATGTTTAATACCGGCCAGTCCGATATTTTGAAAGAAGATCTCAGAATGCTTTTAACAGCAGAACGTAGCCAAATTTTTGTTGGGTTTACCAATTCCAGAGTAATCATTGGGATCCAGTGTGATAGGTTCTTCTTGTCCATTAGGTTGTTTTTAAGAAAAACATTAACTCGAAACAGAAGTTTAAACAATAAATCTTCATAATTCGGATTCGCATGCAAGGTAAAGGAGATAGGGAGCAAAGTAGGGAGGAAGTAAAGGCATTGGTGATAGTTCGTACAATAGGTTCATATAGTTTTTGCAGGTACATCTTATTTGCACTAATCATTGTACCTCGTTCTTCGATGAGCTCATCCAGTATCTGAACAGATGGAGGCCGATCAAAGTACATCCCTGCAATTTTGATCGGCGTTTTGATTGTTTGTCTATTGTATATGATCGTCTTCTTACGATTTATACCCAGGTTAGCTTTATTCAGTTCTTGAGCAATAACTTCAAGAGTTTCTTGTGTCTTGTTGCGATTTGTAACCACGTAGATGTCATCTGCATATGCCATCATATGTATGTTCTTGATTTTTAAAAATCGAATAACTCGATTTAGGGCACATATGAATAGCAGGGGTCCAACCCTTGAACCTTGTGGCACACCAAAGCAGTCTGGGGCATAGCGAAAAGATGTACCAATCCTAGTGCGAAGCCATCTTCCATGAACAATTTGTTTTATCATGTTGATGTCACTTGTTGTCATAACTGAAGATAGTTCATCCAAGGCATAATTGACTTTAACCACATCAAAAGCCTTTTCTATGTCTGCACATATGAGATCTTTTGACGGATGCCAACACTCACTTAGGCAAACATGAAGATCCATTGCTGTAAGCTGGTCCTGATATGCAAACTGTGTTCGGTTTATAATAACTTTTGGTAAAACCTTTTTAATTCTTGTAGACAAGATTTTATCATAAAGTCGAAGGATAAAGTTGGCTATCTTTATCATTCTAAACCTGCCATCAGGTTTAGGAATTAGATGAGCCCCAAAGATTTTGATGGGCTGGGGAATATAGCCGAGGTTAAATGTTTGCTGGACAAGATCTAAGATTTGCTCCTTGTTTTTTTCCCAGAAAATCGACCAAGTTTTAAGATTAAAATCATCCGCGTAACCCGAATTTTTTCTGAAATTGTACACCCGAAGCATGACAATCTCCTCCTCAGTGAGACAATTTTTTTCACAGACAGTATTAGGAACAAAGTAAGGCTTGGTGTTAATAAACCCTCTAAGGTATTCAGATTTGCTGTTATTATCGGAGATGTAAGCAGTCAGAGTATTTGTTGGTCTAATTATCTTGTTTAATATAACCCATATCTTTTTTGTTTCTTTCAGATTTTTAAGTACAAAATTAATCGAGTTCATCCTAATCTTCTTTCTTTCTTCTCTCTCTTCTTGTTTCATTTGTCTGACCATTTCATTTATTTCCGCTGAGAAATCAGCTTTATTGTTTCTTTGCATTATTTTTATCCTTTTCCTAATTCTTAGTATTTTTTGATTGTTCCTTCTTCTCCTAACCATTCGAGGCTTATGAAGATGATCTGACATTATTCTTTTGAAAGTCTGATCAATTTCATAGCAGTTCGTCATATTGATTTTACAATCAATATATGCTTTTCTAAGAGGCCTAGTGATAGTTTGATAAGTTCTATTTTTTATTTTATCCTCAAAGATATCTGAAAGAGTCACATCTACATTTACCATCTTATGATCAATGATTATTTCTGATAGACTAAAGGAGCTACAGGTAACATTACCAAAAGCTAAATCTAACCATGATTTTTTATTGGCTCTTTCAAATGTAAAATTATCATCACCAGGAGGGGAGTTGTATAATGTCAGAGAGTTTTGTTTCAGAAAAGCATCAAGCATTACAGATGACTTACATTGTTTTTGTTTTGTTGACCAAGTTGGATGTTCTGTATTGAAATCACCAATACACACAAACGGAAGATGTTTGACCATGTTTAGTGTTTTTATTAAGGTTTGCATCAGTTCAAGGACTTTTTTAGGATTTATGTAGACACTTATCACTATAATAGCCTTCTTGCCTTTACCAACCAGGGCTATTATCAAGTTCGGATGGGATTTATCATACGCAAAAATTGTTAGATCGTTTGATGTCACTAACGCTGTCTGGTCATTAATGATGATATTCGGAGATGCAACGTAATTTAGTAGAGTGATTCTACTTGCTTCAACCACAGAGCATATGTTGTTGTTTGCAGACAGAGTCTTTTTGATTAAGTTCTCTGTAATTACCTTATTCTTGGCAGCGTTTAAATGAAAGATTTTGGTGATTTTAGTTCCGGATTCCTGGAAAGGATGGAGCGATTGAGATCCACTTGGAGTTGTATTTGAGGTTTTCACACTGTTTTCTGACATATTTTAATAGTTCAGGACACTTATGGGAACCAGTTACGTGATCTGAAACACGAGGATGACAGGTAGCACACTTGTGAATTCGTCTTTCTTCTGGAGTAACACAAACGTTACTGTCGTGAGGAAGAGAGCAGAGTCTACACTTTGCAGAGTTCGTACAGGAGTTATAAAAATGGCCAAAAGTCCAGCAATTTTCACATATAACTGATCTGAAGTGATCGTAAGATTTGACAGTTGAATTAATAAAAGTTACCCAGCCGTCGTTGTCCAAAACTTTTTCTCGATTCTCAACACTTAACTGAACGATGAAGGTTGTCTTTTCCTGCCGATGGTGTACTTTAGCAGTAACTTTTGTTTCCAAGTCGTCAATCCAATGATTTTGCGATTTAAGCAGTCTGGTAAGCAGAGGTTTTGATTGAATAGAGGTTATAGTTGGAATGGTGAATTCAATTGAGGGACACTGAGGAACAAAAAGTTTATATGACCAGGTACCAAAGTTTCTATCCAGAGTTGAGGTCACTCGAGCTATATCACTTTCACAGTTTAAGTAGAGATATATTTTGACAGATGTTCGTGTTATCTTTCGTACACACTTGGATGGATTCGGTAGTTCTCTAAGGAATCTACGTAGTTGTTGGCATTGATCTTGTCGTCCTCCCAGTAGTAGACCCTCACTATTACGAGGTTGTACTCTGACGATAAAGTTCACAGGATTACCACTGATTGATGTCCAGTCTAGGCGCAAGGCTTGTAGTTCTCGTAGAGTTTTTGTTTGAGAATTATTTTGAAATCTCGCAGATAACATAATAAGTTACACTTAATACAATGTAAGGCTGAGAGTTCAGACGTAGTTATCAGATGGAAGGCACAGAAGAGAGAGAATAACAGTAGGGACAACTTTACAGTGATGATTAGAAAGTGTCTGAGAAAAACATCGAATAAGAAACAGAAACTCGAGAAGTTTCTCACAAGAGTTAAAAACAGAAATAGCCGGGAAGTTGTAATAGGATCAAGTATCTATATTCTAGATCTTTCACACATGATTAGTAATAATATTCTCAGAGAAACGAAAATAGCATTGAGCCAAGAAACTCATGTTTCAAAGGATTAACACTTTTGTGTTGAAAGGCTACTTTTATGACTCCAACATCATAAAATTAATTAGCTTGTAAGCTGTAAGACCGCATTAAGTTCAAAATGTAAACAGAAACAATCATCAATTGTAGTTTAAATTGGCATATTATTAATTAACAGGCTTAAACTTAATAGCCAGAAGTGAAAGCAGATGGTCATGATGAAGAAAGAAACTTGAAGCCTTAGAGAGGCTAACTGATAAAATAATTAAGTTGTTTGGAATGGAACATTGTTAGTCAATTCTGAGTTTTAGTTGTTTAGTGTTAATTGGTTAATCTTAGAGAAAAGTTAAGTTGAAAGATGAGTTGTAAAGAAAACGGTTGTTTAGTTATAGTTTGAAATATGATTTCGAGAAATTTTGATGGAAAAGTGTATTCAGATTTTTGAGGAAAGAGACAAAAATTTTACGATTACGAAGATATCATAAGATCAGTTCATTACAAACCGATAATTAAAGTTGGTTTTTTCGAGCTCGTGTTTGAGCTTAGTTCTGAAGACTGGACAGGACTTATCCCAGACATTTGTGCCCCATTTCATGCAATTTGGACACCTTTGCTTCTCCGGTTTGTTTGATGCTTCACATTTTCCTCCATGAGCCATCCCACAATATCCGCATCTAGCCATAAGTTTACAAGAAGTCGAAGAATGACCATAATTGCAGCAGTTACGACAGAATTTGATCTCAAAGAAATCTGTCGCTCGTATTAGATTACCTCCAGTATTCACCAGTCCATACCTTTTACCAATTTTATCCCTAATATTCGGAGTTACTGACAGAACCAAGTCTACAATATTATTTGACTTCTGCTTGAAGGCATACAGTACTTTGACTTGATTGTCTGGATCTTGCCACTTGTTCCTTGAGAGCAGCCGAGTCAGCCATTCCTTAGTTAAATCCGCATCGTCCACCTTGAGTCTAACACCATTCAGTCTTATGATAGGGTTGCGAAGAGATGGAATTACAATGGACCATTCACTCAATTGCGCTTGAAGAAATTTAAAAATACGTGCTCGGCTAGAGATTGAGTCGCATTTGATTTTAACACTATTAAAACCACATTCTATCTCGATGATACCTCCAACATCTGTGTCAGTCTGGTCCAGAATGTTTTGCAGATATTCTTTCATTTGAGTAGGTACTGTTTTGGTACGTGTTTTTTCAAATATATTAGTTTTCAAAACAATCAGTGGCCAGATTTCAATATCTTCCACACAATACCATGTTTTAGGTAGTCTTATCTGGGAGAAATTCTGACAAATTTGCTTTCTTTGTTCATTATTAGATATGTCCATCGGATTAACTGCATTGTCTTCAGGAAGGCTAGGAGTTTCTTCTTGCAGGGCTAGTTCTAAGGCTTGTAAAAAATTTGAACATAGGGCAATGTCTTCAGCAGATGATGTGTCCAGCCAGTCTTCACTTTTAAGCATATTACTCAGAAATTGAATGAAAGGATAGTTTCTTATTCTTGATATTATTAGTGACTTATTACTTTCATTAATGTCGCCATTCTTCTTTATGAAGTTTAAAACAGCAGCACGTTTTTTGTCATTAGACTCATCAATGTTATTCTGATATGACAGAAAATAGGTAATTAGTTCATATATGTAATTTTTTGTCTTTTAGCTTGAGAGTTAGAGAGTTATTTTTGGTGAGATGTTCGGGTGTTATAGCCATTTTTTGTGTCTTATTTCTGCTTTAAAACAGATAGAAACTGTATGGTCTTTCTCAGATAGTTTTTTGCTTAGATATGGTTTTTGCTTAGATATATTTTTTGCTTAGATAAAGTTTTTTTCTTAGATATTACTTACAAGAACGTTGAGTATAGTCATGGAGCTCATGTTGAATATTTTCCAGTGTTAAGGGTGGCCACAAAAGCAGTGTAATAACCAGCGAAGAAAAACACAAGAGAGAAGGCCAGAAAGAGGGACGAGACCAAAGCCAAAAAATCAGGGCCAGTGGTAGACCATAGACCAGAGTTACAGAAATAAGTTAAAGGCTGTAGAAATCCACCAAAAACACCATAGAGACACACAGACAACGTGGGTTACGTTTGCACCTGGTTATAGTAAGTATAAGACACAAAAAATAATTAAAAAACTCAATTAAAACACCAAATTAAAGCCAAAAATCAGGAGCTCAAAAGATCGCGACCAGTCAGTCCAACGCGAGTAGTATTAGTGTTATGTTGTCTCGACAGGGTGCGCTTCTTAAGAATTCTTTGTTTTTGTGTTTTTTTTCTTCGGTTTAAAGAGATGATAGAAAGAGATGGTTTTTTAAATTGTAAATAAACTTAATTTAATGTTTAATATAACCAGTTAGCTATACTTTTGTTATTTCTTTCTAGTATGAACGATTTGGACAAAGATAAGGGAACTAGTATAACTAAGAAGAATCAACCGGGATTAAATTCATCATCGTCTAATTGGAACTTAAATAATACAGAATCAACATCTAGCTCAACATCCCCACCCAGTCAATCTTCCAAAGACGCATCGGTCAGTATTTTTATTGTTACTTTAATTTCTTATTGTTCGGGTTTTTGTTTTAAATATGAAAAAAATCAAAAATTCAGATCATAGTTTAAAACTTACATAATATTCTATCAAATGTATATTTCCAGGGTTCTAAATTCAATTGTTTCTTTTCTTTTTAAAGGTACCAGTTAACCGAGTCACTTCCAATGAAACTGGGCCAACTAATAACAACCGTATTAGAGATTCGGAAGCTCCTTTCAATTCTAGCAGTGTAACTAAACTCACTGCAGATAGTCAATCATCGGATGAATCAGCTTTGTCTGTGAACACAGCTAAAAATGAAGCAGCTACAGGATATTTCAATTGGCAGGTAAGCAAATAATAACCTAAATTTTCATAAATTAAGATTGCTTGGTCATTTCTTTACTTAACCTTTATTGGTCTAATTTATTTGAATTATAACCTTTCATCGATTTTAGGCGTCCAGAACAACTGTTCAAGAAAGGTTAGCTTCTTTATTCAATAGTGAAACCCTAGCTGATGTACATTTCATTGTTGGTCTTGGTAATCCTCCAACTCGGATACCTGCTCACAAATTCGTCTTGTCGATAGGAAGTCCTGTTTTTGATGTTATGTTCAATGGACAATTAGCTTCTACCGATGAAGAAATAGAAATTCCTGATATAACAGATGTACCTGCGTTCATGGCACTTCTTCGTTTTCTTTACACCGATGAAATTGTTATTGGACCGGAAACAGTTATGACTACTCTATATGCTGCAAAAAAATATGCTGTGCCTATCCTTGAGAGTGCTTGTGTTGGTTTTCTCAAGCAGAATCTCAGTCCAGATAATGCCTTCATGCTTCTCATGCAGGTAAACTTTTGACACTTTCATTTTCTAATTGACCTTTTTAATTCATTACACTTTACGTAATTGAGACTTTCTTTATTCATGTTCCATTTTCACACTTTTCTTTCTTTCAACAGTCTCGTTTATTTGATGAGAACGTTCTAGCTCAGATGTGTTTAGATACAATTGATAAAAGTGCTGAAGAAGCTTTGGAAGCTGAAGGATTTTTGGACATCGACCATGCAACGTTAATTTCAGTATTAGAAAGGAATACTCTTCAAATAAAAGAGATCAACTTATTTAGATCGGTTATTAAATGGGCGAAAGCTGAATGTACTCGTCAAAATCTTCCGGCTAATCTAGAAAATCAAAGAAAAGTTCTTGGTAAAGCTCTTTATGCAATTAGGTTTCCCCTTATGACCATCGAAGAGTTTGCCGTTGATGTAGTTGAATCAGGAATCCTTTCAGATCGCGAATGTGTAAGTACAAAGTAATATTGGAGTTGTGTTACAGTTATCTCATTTGAGAAAATAGACTAAAAATACAGTTACACGATATTAATATGCATCTATTTTATATGTTGATTCAACAGGTTAATTTGTTCCTTCATTTTGTTCGAAATCCGAAACCAGCCATTGAATTTCCTGAAGAGCCTCGTTCGTGTGTTAGAAAAGAAGAGGTTGTTCGTCGTTTTGCGCGAACTGACTTGAGATGGGGTTACAGTGGAACTAGTGATAGAATAAGATTTGTTGTTGATAGAAGAATTTATATTGTCGGCTTTGGATTATATGGTTCAATCCATGGTGTTTCCGATTATCAATGTACTATTCAAATTATCCATACTGGATCAAGTAAAGTTTTAGCTACAAATGAAACTGGATTTACGTGTGATGGATCAGCACGAGCATTTCGAGTTATGTTTCAAAAACCAGTTGAAATTGAACCTGATGTTAATTATACAGCCTGTGCAACACTAAAGGTAAATTCATCATAAGCTTACTGCATATAAAAATTATTGACCGATGAGTCGATTAAGAGTACAATTTAAATTAGATTAACTTTATAGCTCTTACAATTGTAACATTAAATTTTGTATTTACACTTTTTTTCATCTTTTAGGGATCTGATTCTCATTATGGTGCTGGAGGTAGCCGAAAAGTTGTTGTTGACCTAGTATGTGGCGGTAAAGTGACTTTTCATTTCTCTTATGCTGCCGGATGTAATAATGGAACTTCAATTGAAGATGGACAAATTCCAGAGCTAATTTTCTACACATAAATTTTATATTTCATCTTTTGAATCAACTTTGATTGTTTTATTTTGACGTTGACCCAATCACTCATTTATCCTAATTTATCGCATTCGTATATTGTGATTTATAGACGACTGAATTGATATAAATTTTTTGTCAAAATGGTCAAAAAATACTATATTAATATTATATTATAATATTATGGAAATTTTGAGTGGATATTAATTTTAATATGTAAATTAATGATACCCCATTTTTTATCCAACCTGTAAACTGAAAGTAAAAGCAGCTCGCATTTAACTTAAGGCGATAAGTAAGAACGATAAGTTTCTGCACAAAACGTGATTAAAACTAAATCAAAGCCTTGAACAACTTTGATTTGATTAGTTAAAGCATGTCTAGCTAAACGCTCTACTTTAAGAAAATAGCTGAAAATAGCGATGTTTGACGATCTGGTAGAGTATGTCCACAGATAGAACCAATTTGATTTCCAAATGCCATATCAAACATTTTATCAGCTTCATCAAGAACCAACATTTTAACTCTTTTTCTTGTTTACATTTTATCATATAAATCATTCGTCCTTGTGACATGTTAGTAAAAAAGTAAAAACAAGGTTAGATATAATAACGAAATCAATTAATTTAAGAAGGTAATCAACTTAATAGACTCATTGATGAAGCAACAACAAAAAACAGAATCGACCATTCCATAGTATTTGGTCTTCAGTTAAAGATACTGCTATAGCGACAGCTCTTTCAGCGGGTTGAGATTTATTTTAATTGTTAACATTTTGTCAAAACACTTGCAACTCTTAATTCATCCGCTTTTGTAAATTTTTTAGCTTTAACGCGTTTTGGTGGGATAGGAAAAAATTAGAAGGCATGACTTCAATGTATCAATCTTTAAAATTCATTTTCTATTATTATTGTCATCAGCCTTGAATCAAAGCATTGAACTTTGAGGCTCTTTCAACTTATATTCAAACATATTTTTCTAATGTTTTTATTTTTCTTTGTTTTTGTTTCAATTTCAAACAATTTCAAAATCAACTTTGGGTTTCAGTTTAGAAGGAAAATTGAAATTAGCTCGAAATCAAATTTGGAAAATTGATCTATCAAATAAAATAAATTAATCGTATGATTCTATCCTGAAAATATGGAAAAAGAATAGATAATCATGTAATATTTATGATGTATCTAGATAATATAATCAACATTAGTTATCTATCAATGATGATCTAAACAAAATATAATATAATAGATGAGAATCTGATTTGATTGGTCGACAACTGAATCAATTGTAAACATTCTTGCATTTTCCATTTCAAGATCCTGACAATTAATGTTCATTAACTTCTACAATAGAAAGGTTTGTTTATGAAAACATTGACATAATTGATTACTACAGGAAATTTCTGCCAGATAAATAAGTTTATATTGTTAATTGATCTTCTAATCTTTATTAATCATTCAAATTTTTGTGAGCATCATCAAAAACTGAATTAGATTCTAATCATCAACAAAAGGGGAAATTGAGCGAAACTGATTTACGGATAATAAAAAATAGTAATTACAGTGCGGTTGAAATATGGATTTCAACAATCTTCGAGGTTTAAAAATCTAGAATGAAGAAATAAATAATAAATCAGAAATTTAATTACAGAATGCGAGTTTGGATCCTAAACCCTTTAAAAGTAAATGATTTATTTAAAGTTTTTTTTTACAATGGAAAGCAATTGTGATCTTTCGATCTCTTATTCCTTTGTTACACTGACAGGTTTGTTGATTTTTTACTTTTGATGCAGTTAAATTTGGCTGTTTTCATAATTACAATTGCCATCGCAATTTATAGATCTGATTCGAGCATGTCTTTAGACAAAAGTGTTGTGTTGGATGCTGAAGGTGATGTTAAAGCTGCGCTTGTTTGTGCGTTTACAGATGTTAAAGATTCTTTTGATTTTTGAGATACTTTTGAGCGTCCAGGGAAATTAGCTAAATCATCGGGTAAATCAGAATCAGAAATAATCTCGTAATCTTCAAGTTCATCCCCCGTTTCGCCTCCTTCACCAAACTGCATTGAAGGCACTAACTGAAGACTACTATTATTACTGCTGGAAGGGGATGATTCATGGTTTGGGTTAAATCCCAATTCGAAATCAAGAGTGGAACCCAGTTTTGAATCAGAGAGAAGCTGAAGTGACGATTCATCTTTATCCAATTCGAATGATTCTTCAAGGTTATCACATTTCATGTAGCCTTCACTTAATTTACGTCCTTGTTCTTTCTCTTCGGAGCTTGAAACGCTTAGATGATCTGTGCTTCTAGCTAAAACTGTGGGAGACGAAGGACAGGAAGGATATGATGATGATTTTGAATTTCCAAAAAAGTTGCGCACTAATTGATACCACGACTCGGGGACAACATATAGAGCTACTCCGGGTCCAAGAGCGACTACCATTAAAATAATATACACAATTACAACTCCAGGCACTAGACTTCCAATGATTGCTGATATAGAAAAAAGAAATGTGACCAGAGAACAAAATAGTGCAGGTTGATTTTTCCTCAATAGCCAAAACCAGTTGACGATTTCTCCACTTATTGTCATTATTTCATGTAAATAATGGGTTAATTCAGGTGCACTCAACACTTTAGGATGAACAGGGACCCAATCTTCATCAGGCTCAGGTGGACGAGCACGAATTTCTGGCCAAACATAATGAGACCAACATTGATAGATTGAGATGATGAGAAACAGAAGGGAAACAATCGAGAAGAATCTGCGAGTCCAAGAAACAATGAGCCAATAGAGACAGTTTATGGCAATTAAGAATACAGCAGACACATAAGGTTTTTCCCAGATCAATATACTCTGAATGGAGACAAAATATTCCTCAAATGGTGCTAAAATTGAAGCTAATTTTGTAGACAATGAAGTTGGTGATTCAGCTGCATCATACGATTTACTCTTGTTTTTATCTTTAGTACTTGGCGAAACCTTGTTGGACACTTTTGAAGATAAACTATCCAACTTATTAGCTAGTGAGGTCACAGCTTTACTCAACAGATTATTCATAATCTGCTTTAAGGATAACAGTATAATTCACTAGCAAAAAGTAGTAACAATTTTCACCCAATTAACTTTGTATCCTTAAAAACACAAAAGATGAAAAGAAGACGACGAAATAACAGATATTTTTGAGAAAGGTTTATGATGAAGAAATATTTATAAACAAAGACTATTTACCATTTAACAAGAAATAGATGGATACAATAGATGGAGCTATAATCGGAGACCCTGAGATATTAGCGCCACTCTGTCGAAGCGGCTTTCATGATAAATTTTCAGGCAGGCAGGCTCCAGACTTCAAGATTCAGCGTTTTGTGTGTATTGTATTTTGTTTTTTATTTGAATTTATTGGCAATTAACTAATTTATTTTAATGGCTGCGACAAGGAGACTTCAAAAGGTAAGTAATTTGTTGATAATTATTGTCCTTAAAAATCGGTAAAATTTGATTGAGACAACCCTTTCATCCAATTCTTGAATGAAATCAATTTTTATGTTTTGCTTTTGTGTATTTTTCTGTTGTCAAGTTTGCTTTCCATTCTTTCTTCCTTTGCTTTTTGTGGTCTTTCTTCTCTTTTTTCTCCTTTTTCCCGATTTTTCTTCATGACTTACGGCATATTTTTTTTAATTTTCATTCTGCCATCTTTTGTTCTTGAACTTTCAATTTCTAGGAGCTCCAGGATATCAGGAAATCCGGCATGAAATCCTTTCGAGAGATCCAGGTGGACGAACACAACATGTTGACCTGGCAAGGACTCATTGTACCAGTAAGTGATTTTACTCCTTCCCTTTGTGTTTTCACTTGCAATATCTTTGGTGGATTTGTTAATCAACAATTTCTATCATATTGTGAAAGGTTGGGTAAATAACGTTTGAAATGTTATGACTATTACTGGTGTCATGAGTCATAACTATACTAAACCTTATCACGATCTTGATTGAGCTAACTTGGCTTTGCTAAGGGTTGAGTAGTTCAAATTATGCGCAATCAAAGGTTAAGAGGTTAAACCTTGATTAATCAATCAACTGACTTCATTTTTAGATTTACTCAATGGGTTTTAAATAATTTCCCATGAGAATATTATTGATCTTACTTTGTTAAAATTCCACTTTTTATGTCAAGCGTCAAATAATTGTTAACATTAGCTATGTTTTTCTAATTTTTTCAATTTTCTTTTCAGGATAGTGCACCGTACAATAAGGGAGCGTTCCGAATCGAGATAAATTTTCCTCCCGAATATCCATTCAAGCCACCGAAAATAACTTTTCGAACCAAAATTTATCACCCAAATATTGACGAAAAAGGTCAAGTTTGCTTACCGATCATCAGTGCAGAAAATTGGAAACCCGCAACTAAAACAGATCAGGGTGAGTATCTTTTTTGTATTTATTGATCCCATCACATTTTAATTTTAGCTTATCTTCTAAGACAACACAAAGGCAATTTGTAAAACGAGACGATCTAATATTTATTTAATCTAACTTTTGTTTTTTCTTTTATTCCTATAAAATAGTTATCCAAGCTTTGGTTGCACTAGTCAATGATCCCGAGCCAGAACATCCGTTGAGAGGCGATTTAGCAGAGGAGTATTCAAAAGATAGGAAAAAGTTTATGAAAAATGCGGATGAATACACCAAAAAGTTTGCTGAGCGTCGTCCATCAGATTAGTGTAATTGTTTTTTATACTGAAAGAAGAATTGCAATTAAAAATTTCTCAGCATTCTACATTCTCTCTACTTATCTTTAAATTGGCAATTGGTTAATTATTATTATTGATGAACCTTTTTGGAAAAACAAAATTCAATTCAAATATATTCATGTAATTCAATGTCAACTATGTAAAGAAGCTTAAATATTCAAACGTGTCCAGTATGATTATTTTCATTGGAAGGCTTATGAATATAGATTAATACTTTATTAATCTAATCAAAGCCGAAAAATATTAATCTTTCTATCAGTCAGTATTTCAGATACAGTTGATTGATCCTCTCCTTGGTTAAATATCCAATCATAAGATGAAAAAGATATTTCCAGAATAATGCTACGCTTAAAGCAATGGGAACTGCCAAAAATTGATTACGTTAATCTAAGTAATTGGAGTGTTAACTCATGATTTCATCATGTTTGCGATTCAAACTACAAAGAAAATGAATTTATAGCTCTGAATAAAGTTGACAAGTTTTATATTTTAGCTCTCTATGATTCTTTCTCATGATTTTTAATTGCCTATTCTATTGATATTTAACCGGACCTGGTCATTCAACCAGAAATAATTCAGTCGATTAATTGCGTTTTAAAACGAGGTTCATTATCAGTTTTAATCAGTCTTTGGTTTTGCCATACTGCCATCTTCTGTTGGAAAATATATTCAATTCTAGGTTTTCCGAATAACATGTCTTTCTGAAATTGTTTGTATTGTTTTGAATTGTGACTTTCAGTTAAATCGCGAATTTAACTGTTTATAGTTAACTTATCAACGTTCAAGCGATTCACCTCAGGTAACTATTAATCTCGAAAAGTATCCTCAGTTAATAATAAAGCGCCATTATTTTAAGTTTTCTTTTAATAGCATAAATCACATGTTAACTCTGTTTATTTATTTCTTAGGGTCGGTATTTTTTTGTTTCTAGATTTATTTGGCCTATGTGTAATCTCTTTCAAACATGGTGCGTTTGACCGAATCACTCAACTATATGAGACCTCAATGGGGACTGAATAAACGATGGAGAAACAGAAGGCATCCGTTCAACCCTGATCTCATTCTACCTCATCCAGTTGAACGTACACCTCTTAGATGCCGAAATAAAGTCATCCCTCGCAAAAGTCAAGAAGATGGTTTGTACAAATTATATTATCATTTATTGGTTCTACCATGCTAATAATCTTGACCTCAAACTTTATATTCTTTCTAGACGTTGTTTGCATCAAAGAAATGTTGAATCTTTTTGCTTGTATGAAAGCAAATGAATTGAATGAAAATGAATGTCCCAAAGAATTAGCAGCTTTTCAAAAATGCTATTCCAATTACATTGTAAGTAAATTATTGTGACCATTGTCTCATATAACTTTAATCTAATTGATTTCTTTTTCTAATTAGACTGAATGGACGGCAAAACAAAAGATTCAAGATCCAACAGAACCAATACCTGGTCAAACTAAATTAACATCCCACCAAGTTAATGTAATGTTAAAACGCTATCCCCAAAAGATTGATATTTAGTTAGTTTATTGTAATTTTTGAATTTAATTTGCTCGATTGGCAATCTTAGAACAAGGCTAATCACACGAATACACTTTCGTTACTTAGATTATATCAATTAAAAATTTGAGCCAAATTTTTGCTTTCACAAATCTTTATTTCATTAATAAAAAAAATCTGTCGGATAAATAGGTTGGTTAAAAAGGGAACAGAGGTTAAAATTATAAAATAGCTCTATAAATGCATAATCAAAATGTCAAACAATAAAATAATAATAGCAATAAATCAATTAACCCTACGTTAAAGATTCATAGATATAAGAATAATAAAATAATAGATAATTAATAATATTGATTAAATAAAGTCAAATCCTCTAGTTTAAGCAAGTTCAGACAAAGTTTTCTCCTTTTGGTAAGCGGCTTCAATGGCAGATGTAACAGCGAAAGAAAAGTCAGTTTTTTCCAGCGAATGAATTCCCTCAATAGCAGCACCACCGGGAGCAATAACAGAATCACGCAATTGGTCAGGATGGACACCAGATTCAAGGAGAGTTTGAGCTCCACATTGAGATGTTTTAGCAGCGAATCTGATAGCCATGTCTCGTGCTAGACCAACTTTGAAAGCTCCGTCAGCCATAGCACTGATAAAATAGTAGGCAAAAGCCAAACCATAACCTCCAGTGGCACAAGCAGCATCAATTTGATCTTTAGGGACATATTCGAGTTTGGCAATTCGTGACAGTAGGGTTCGTAATGGAGCAGATAAATGTTTACTGTCAGGATCGCAGTCAATGGCACAAACACCTAAACCATAAGCACAACCAGCATTAATCATGATTCGGTGGAATTCAAGTTTATATTTATCGGGATGGTCAGGATTTAACATGGCTTTCATAATCTCATCAGCAGTACAGTGAGAAACCATGGAAAGTATATACAGAGGATGTTTCATGTAGGGTATATAATTAACACAGAATGCTCTTGGTCGATCTGGGGATCCAGCGTAACATTCCTTAATCACTCTGCCGTGGAAACAAAGGAAAATAATATCACAATCGAAGCGAGCGAAAATTTCCAAAGTGCGTTTACATGTCTTTATTCCTTTGCCTTTAAAGTAATCCATATTTTTACCAGAAGGAGTGGCAACGTGTATTTGACTTGGTTGGATTTGTCCAAACTCAAGTAAACCTTCAACAATAGCCTCAGTTATTTTACCAGCACCAATAAAACCAATTTTAGCCTCAGTCAAGTCAAGGTCTCCTCGTTTACGCGAGGTTGATCGGGATCGTTTCTTAGCACCAGTTGAACTTTCACGGGAAGCTTTAGTGGCAGAAGGAACACTTGGAGTAGTACCTTCAGCCGTCGGTTGAGCCCCTTCCTCAGCAGCGGCAACATTAGTTTGCGACCCTTGAGTAGCTTCACCTTCAACAACTCCTTCAGCCTGGGGTTCACCACCTTCAGCACCCTCAGCTGCTTGGGCAACATTAGTTTGCGACCCTTGAGTAGCTTCACCTTCAGCCTAAAAAACAGAAACAAATAAAAGACAAAAAATTAAAATCCAGTTAATAAATAGCTTTACAAGCTATATGAAGATATACTTACTTGTGGAACCTCAGCGGGTTCACCTTCGACTGGAGGCTGTTCTTCACCAGTGCCTGACATTTTTAAAGTTTATATAAATTTCAATAAAATTAAATACTAATTCACAAATTACTAATGGGTTTAAGCGATAAACCGATAATTTGAAAACGAAGTGAAATTGAAAATGATGAATGAAAATTAAATCGTACAAATTTAGCTTCCTTATTCAACACAACACAACACAATGAATGAACTAACTTGGCTTTGTCAACAATTGATTGTTGATTTGTAACAAATTTAAGATTCTAATTGTTAGGTCAATCAAATTAATTCAATTACATTGTTCTAATTGGTTTGCTGCTACTATTGTTGGATTTTAAACATTAAATACAATTTTTGTATGTTACAATTTAGTATCTCTAAATTTGTCTTGGTCTTCATCCTCAACCCGAAACTTTCGAGAATCAATAAACGTTTTAATGGTTGACAATTAAATGATAGCTGGCAATAATTGAAAACAAAACATTTAATCATAACTTTAATAGATCTAAAATTTAATTATGCATCTTTATTATTTTGTACAATAGCTTATTCACTTGATATATTTCTAGTTTATTAAGCATCGATTTATAAAATAACTTTTACATGCAAAACACTTCCATGAAACCAAGAAATAAAATTTCCAATCATTTTATAGCTTAGTATCTTTATATTTGTCTTCGTCTTCATCCTCGCTCGGACTAGATGGTGTTTTAATAGGAGATGGAGTGGCATTACGACCATTACTAGTTGTTTGATTTTGACCGTTTCCTCCTCGTCCTCTTATTAAGTGAAGGTTTGAATGATGTACAGGAGTGTTTCCATTAGGAGTGGTTGTTGAGGTAGATTGTTGGCCTGAAGTAGGTGACGAGAGAGGCTGTAATTGAGGTGAAGATTTCCGTTCAGCTTCCAATATACGATGAGCTGCTCGATCCAACTCTTCTGGAGTCATATTAAACGCTTCAGCAATCTCTCTTTGAGTGGCTCTCAAAAATCCTGGATCACAAAATTTGCCCAACCCTTGTTCTTGTAAAACTCGCCCCACTAACGACTCAGCAGAACCGACAACATCAATGGATCGTTTGTTATCCATGGCTCCTGGAACAGAAATGTACTGTTTTTCCGATGCTTTACCATGATATGAAGCTCGAAGAGGACTTCCTCTGGATCCAAAGATGGTCGGTTCAGGTAGGAAGCCGGCCACTGCCATGGCTGGTACTGGGACAAACCTAAGGAAAACAGCAACATTACTCATTGCACGGCGACGATGGCGAGGTGAACTGTTACTTTCACAGCCTTCTCCAGACCGAGAACGGGCTGAAGTAGGGGCTGAGTGTGACCCATGACTACTTGAGCTACTGGTTGTGGGTATTGAATGAATTTCAGAGTAAGTTTTAGGGTCAATGGAATGGTGAGAAATTCCTGGTGCTAATGAACCTTGGCCGGTTGAGGATCGGGCTGGTGGAGTTGGTGGTTGAGCAGGCAAATCACTTGTTAAATTATAATCATAGGTTAGATTGGTTAGACTACAACCCAATGGTCGATCCAATGAACAACTTGTTTGATCACTTTCTTGTTTAGACAGGCAGCGAAGGTGTCGACGAAATGATGATGATTTAATTGTATGTCTACGAGGTGGTGGAGTGGGTGGTCTAGGTCTACCTTCATCTTCATCGATGGAAGCACTACATCCATTAATAGCCAAATTTAGTTGCAATTTAGTAGATTAATTAGTAGTTAATAGGAAAAACAAGAAATAGTAATTAGTAATTAGTCTACAAACAGTTGGATTCAATGTGCAGTTGGTTAATTAAAGTTGAAGAAACCCAATCAAGATCATGATATAATGGCATTACTAAATTGTTCATTCTATTGCTGTCTTGAATAATTTTGTTACAGCAAAGATTTAGATTATTTATACAACTGAAAACATCAAAAAACGATTACAAAAAGCTTGTTCAAGTTGATTTTGATGGTCAAGCAAAATGTCCAACAATTGATAAAGTACAGTTGATGTTATTGTTTTTTGTTTCATAAGCTGTTGGTTGATGGATCAAATGATTATAAAATCATTTCATTTGATCCCTGTAGTAAAAGATTGTTTGTTTTTCATCATTTAAGAATCAATGGTTGACATAACATGTTAGTTAAACAGGACAAAACCAATCTGGTAACTATAAAGCCGTTTAAAAGCTTAATAATGGACCTAAAATTGCAATTTATTTTCTCAAATTTTTCTTCTCAACCATTCCTGGTTTCAAAGGAAATCAGATAACTGAAGTACAAACACAAAAGACAAGTGAAATAATCAGAATAGCATGTAACTCACAAAAGGTAACGATTGTTAAGGTGTTTAAAATGAAAAGGTTTATCAAGAAAAGCTGTAGTTTTATAAGCTGAACAAGCTTTTAACCAATTGAACAGGGAAATAATCGGAGTTAGTGTCAGATCTAATTGGCAACTCAACGATGTGTTTAACAAGTTGATTCAAGTAAACTGTCAATTAATCAACTAGTGAAGATATAATCAAGCTGGTTTTAGATGAGAAACAGTCAAAAAATGTTAACATTGAGCACGTTGAACAAATTTCATCGAGTCATCTTTTAATGACACGAGCAACATAATCTAATTTATCGAATCAATTTTCTTATTCAATAGTTTCACTTTGGCTTATTATCAGTTGGATAATTGTCAGCATGATTTAAATTGTAAGACCTCAAATCTGATGATGAAGGTTTGCCTGGTAAAATCAATCCATTATACAAGATGTAAGAAAGAAATTAGATAATCTCAAGAAATAATCGTATTCTGTATTCAATATGTAATGTTTTTAATAGGCGCCTTACATTCTGAAGTATGGTAAAAGTAAATTCTGATTCAGTAATTGTTAAAATGTTGATATGAAATTGAGTAATTGAATTTCAATTATTCAATTGGAAATTGAATTTAATTTTGTTTCATAAAATGATAATACGGTTTGTAATCTACTAAAGACCCCTTTTGTATGATGTAAGGGTTGAAATATGAAAATAACGTGATTAAGTTGTCTAAATAAAGCCTTTGTCTGTGATTATTTCTAGTTTTTGTCGTTTTATTTTTTAAGGTTAATTTGCATTAATTTATTTTTTTTGTTTTATGATGTTGATTGGCATTTCTCATGGAAATTGTGGAATAAAGAAATTAAGTGACAAAGAGGATTGTATTAGTATTATGGTGTAACCAACCTTACAACAGCAATGGCAGGTCGTTGAAAGGATAATTTTGGCGGGTTTGAACGAGATGAAGGATAATCTATTGACGTTGGTGAAATACGATCAGTTGATTGGTTAATTGAGCAAGAGCATACAGTTTCAACCATTACTGGAGCTGATGAAACAATCTTGCCACAATCACAATTAAGGTTAGTTGGATATGCGTCAACAATCATCTGTTGCTGGTTTGGTTGTTGTGGCTGCTGCTGATGGTTTTGTTGTTGGTGGATATCATGCAATTGATCATTGGTAACACCACATTCAGAGCAAATTTGAACATGTTGACAATAAGCTGATAACGGTCTTGGTTTTGACCTAATTTCGTGCACCAATGGTAAACCTGGACATTCGCTTTTAGTTCGAGAATATAAAGGATGGCAATAACTTTTGTTTTGACCAATAAACAGTTAGTGAAACAATAGCCAAGGGAGGATGAAATGAGGTGTTACAGATGTAAAGAAAAGGAATAGGAAATGAAAAAAAGGTCGAGTTAATTTAGCATTATGTTAATTGCTTGGTAAATGGAAAATTGTGTGTTAAAAGAAACAAGTTCCATGTTAATATATTAATAGTCAGATGGATGGATATATTTTTAGCAATCGATTTAGTGTGTAAACAAATAATTCATTCAATTGGGATGAAAGAAGGACTAATCCAGCAAACTCAAATTATATCTTACCATAATCATTCATAATGATAACCTGAGACAACTTAAATGATATAAGGATGGAGGATCAACAATTAAACAGCTCATGGTATGAGCACAAAAGCTCATGAAAATTATAATCAATAATGGACCGAGAAAAGATTTCCAGCTGATAATCAATATGGTAAACTATTGATTATTTTACAGTTAGTCACAAAAGCTGGTTCTGTGACAGACTGTGTGTCAGGTTTAGTTAATTGTCATCTAAAATAAAATGACTAAACAATGTTGATATGTTACAATTTCAAGATTGTTTTAATTGATTAACGATAGCCTAATCGTAAGTGTTGAAGCTTTGTAATTTTTTATTAGACATTTATTTGCCTTAATGGTTGTAGTTGAATCAAAAAAAGGGGATCCATTATAATCAAGTTGATCGTTTCTTTACTCCTTTATTCCCACAACCTATTCAGATACTATTTTGGCTAATGTTAATCTTTTCTCGTTCCTTTTCAGATTATAAACAATCTTACCTTCTGAATGGATCTTCTTGTTCTGGACTTCCTGGGATTCCCATTTCTTTCATTTTGAAACGATTCCCTACAGAAGATGATAGGAGAGGGATAAGGACAAGAAGAAGATAAAAGACAGGAGAAGAGTTAGACTGATGATTAAAGATGAAAAACCACGAATTATACGATGAATTGTTGAATCAACATTTAAACATCCTGTTTTTGGTTTATTTTAAGCAAGGACAGTAAACCTCTAGATGCTTATTTGGTCAAAATTATAAACCTTTGATCATCTCTTCTGGACAGGAAAATGGACAAATGTATGATTATGGACAAAGTAAAGAAAACCTTTCACTTGGGACACACGAAAAGTACAACATGTCAATGAATGAAAAGAGGCTGACGAAGCTCTTTACATTTGGCATGGTTCAGCCACAAAGCCAGCCAAGTAAACTTACAATTGGATTGAATGAAAAATATATTAAGGTAAAAGAAGGAAACCATCAAAAGAAGCTGAAATTCATGATAAAGGCGATGATGATGGTTGATGATCGTTTCTATTATAAATAATTTACTCATCACAATAACTTTGTAAGTCGATAAGCTCCATTTATACAAAATGGATACAAAAAGGAAAATCATTATTTTTCAAATTCTTTCACCATTAAATGGACTGGAATTTGTAAAACTCTAGACATTTAGTGCTTTAAATTGTTCACAAAATTGGCATTTTCAACTTTAAAACTCTTGGTTTTTTTTTCTTGTTAACTAATTGATGGATGTAATGATGGCAAAGTAAACTTAGACAAGTCCAGTTAGTGAAAGGTTTTCAATTCCTCGATATCCAATCATTTTGTATTTCAGTACAACAGTATCCAAGTCATGTCAAGCAATGTTAATTAATAGATGCTAAATAGTCTATTTAATGGTCTTGAGGCTTGATTAATGATTAAAGTCGAATCACTCTTAATTTTCAACTGAAAGCTTGACAAATAGCACTTTTAATTTGTTTAGTTTCTGATCAGTTTCTTCAGCTTTTTTTATATCAAATTGTCAATCAAAGTTTATTTGAATAATTTTATAACTGTGATAGTAAATAGAATGACAGAAAAGATAAAATTGAAATTAGATAAACAATGTTCTGATTTAGCTTGCAGCATTAGATGGGTAAACATGAATGATTGAAACAAAGTGAAAAGCAAGAGGCTGATCAACTTGAAAAGAATCATGTTGACTTTTGATTAACCAGTGTCAATTTTCAATGCATCAACAGAATTAATCGATTAAAAAATTAGAGAATCAAAAGATAAAGGTTGTAATTAGAATGATCAATCATTTGTTATAAAAATGCACCAAGAACCTTGTTCAAGAGGTTGACAAGATTTTTAAAGTAATAATTTAGACAAGCTTATTTAAAGCAATTAGAAAAGGGTAAATGAATGCGATCAAGATGTTTCTGCTGTTTAAGATGATCAACATGAAGTTGATAACGATGAGAGTGATGATGAAGGACATGACATTACACGAGTTTTGTAAGCCTCAATGAATTTACTTTGATAAATTTAAGTGACTAATCTAATTTGCTTTTTTCCTCTGTTTAAGCAATTTTTGGAACCAAGTTAACCAAGGAAACAAATCAAGCAAAAACGAGAAGAAAAGAGAATCAAATTACTAATATGGATCCATGGTTGATAAAAATTAGATGCTATTAACTTTTATTTAGTGGTTATATTTTGACGAAATTTGGCTCCTAAAATTAACTTCAATAAACCGAGATTACAGTTTAATCAAGACAATAAAGTTCATTGAAAATTCAAGCGCAAAGACTTCAAATTGGACCATTTTCCTGGAGAAACATTTTACAGCAAAAAAATCAATTCATTAATACATACAACACTAGCATCACAGGAGATGCAAAAATTTTGAAGTATTAAATGCATCAGTAAGATCAGGAAACAACATAGGAAAAGGCAAAGATGGAGTTAATAAAATATTTTTGCCTTCTCAGTGTAAATCAGCTGAATGGTGAATATCGGAAAGCCTGGAACTGACTGAGAGGAAAAGAGTTGAACGATAAAAAAAACAAAAACAACCAAAAGCAGTTTGAAGTGAATAACTTTTATCATTAAAAGTAATTTTCTTGCTACATAATTTTCATCTTTTTTTATTCTCACTCTGATTTTATCTTTTTTATCTACCAATTTCAGCCTTTATTATTGTTTAAATGTGCTTGGATTGAACAAAGTTCAATCAAGTTCACCATCAACATGAGCACTGGAAAAAAAAAGACAAAGAAATAACAGTTATCAAGACGCGAAACTTTGATATTCCCTGAAGCTATTGAATTTCCATCAACTGTTATTGACAATTTTTTGGCTCTTAATCATCAGACTCCTCACCTTTTGTTTATTTCATCCTCTTGATAATAATAATAGTAATAATAATCATCATCATATTTTCTGATGCCTTTTTCACTATTTTCAGAGTTTTGCAAATTTCCAATGGGAAATCATGGAAAATAACCTTTTACTTATCATGTTACTCGAAAAAGAAGAAATATTTTTCATTTCATTCTCTTCATTTTTCATGACAAAAAGCATGATAATCGAGGGTTGACCCAATATGGGAATAAAAACAAAAGAGACTTTAAATAGACTCAAATTTTCAGGGAAAAACCAAATTCAGTAAAATGTATTCCAATGAGTAGGTTGATATATTAATCAATCTGCTTTCCCAATCATTCAAAAAAAGTTGTCCTTTTTATGTCTCATTCCTGAGTTTCATTATTTAATCAGTATTAGTTGAGCATGAAAATCATCTGGAATACTAAATAGCTACTCTTAACTGTTACCATAAGATAAATGTTCAGGATAATTGTGTATGTTCAGACGATCAGGTAAAGTTAAACATGAAAAATGATCTTATTGATAACCAAATAAATCATCAGGTTTTGGATACAAATATTGCTAAAATCTGACCATTGGAATTGGTTGGATTGAAGTTGGCTTAATTTAGATTTAGGAATTTTCTAGGTTTAATTTAATATCCAGTCAAAGGATGAAATCTTAACAATTGCTTGATTGTTGGTGCTTTACATTCATTATTGACATTTTAGTTAACAGTCATTGTGATTGTTGTTTTGTTTTGTTATTATTTGAGAAAATTTAAGATTCTTTGGATGAAATCTTGAGATCAGTTTATTGTTAAGGAAATGGTTGAAAGTTATATCATGAATGCTCATTGTTCATGGACATTATCGATGTAACCATGAAATTACCTTTTTAGATTCCCTGAGCAACTCACTATTAACAAGCTTTATTATTATTGTTATTGAACAAATATAAATGAAACAATCAATTGAACAAAATAAATCTTGTTTCAAACCTAATTAATTGATAAACTTTTTCATTTGATTCCTTTAGGATTCATCCAAATAACAACAATAACAACAATAATAATAATGGTGATAATATCAATTCCTAACAACAAAACATTGAGCTTTAATTGGAATATTAACTTGCAGACAATGAATAGAGTAAAATAGGTGATTGTCACAATTAACATTGACATTTTAATACTCAAAGGTAAACAATAAGGTTGTTAATGCTTGCAAATTAAATTGTAATTGTAATCCATCCAATAGTAATGCCATGTAGTCATTATAAATAGTAAGATTAATCATTAACAAGTGAGCTGATCATTTTTTGTTTGATTCACCGAAGCGAGACAAAAATGAACACATTAATTAATTATTTGTCTAAGCTAAGATTAAAAGAGACACTTTTTTACACCTTTTTAACTCAATTCTTGTGAATTGATTGACAATTAACTCAAAATGAGTATTTCAATAGAAAAAAATTGTTACCTAAAAGATTAAACTAAACACTGAATCTAAACTCTAAAGGGATTGAAAAGGTTAAGAAGTGATTACTTTTGAGTTTTGCCTTCAAGTTCATTAAACAACTCGGATGACCATTAAAAGATTTACTTTGACAATGTTGAAAGTTGGTTAAACAAGTAATCAGTTGATTGCCTACCTTGGGATAAAGGAGGACCCATTGGCATCCTTTTACCTCTAACAGTTGACCAAACATTTCCAAACAAGGAGTGATTCCTTCGATGCATTGGTTCAGCTTCTTGACTATCAAAAAATTGATCTTCATCCAATGAACCAGAGATTGCTCGACGAATTTCTGGACCAAATTCATGTAACCTCCGTAATCCTGCTTGAAGAGCAACCGCATTATCTTCATCTTTATTACCATGTTTATCTCGCTCTTCTTTGCGTTTCTTAAACCTTCTGAAATAATCTTGAATTAAAAAGGTGGCATAAAATTTGCCCACGGTAACCTCATCATCAGCTGCTGGTGGGACAACTTGATCAAGCAGTTTGGGTGAAGTGCGTTTCCAGATTTTCCTTATAATGGCTCGTAACTCTTCATTGGCCTCGTCAATGTTACCATCGGTTTTTATCTTCAAATTGGTTCGAACCAGAGCAAAAAGAGTTGCATTAAACATCACAGTTCCATCCGAGTTAAGAGGCATATTCATGGAGACCAATTTTTTACAGGCAATTCGGTGAGGACAAAGCTTGCCAAAACCAAGAGGCGGTGATATTTTCCGTAAAAGAGTGACAACATCACAGTGTTTGATTCTTCCCTTAGCATCAGGATCATATTCAGACCAAAGGCGGACAAATTCATCTAAATGATGAGCACCCAAAATAGACCAATCTCGTGTTAAATAATCAAAATTATCCATAATAACAGCCACAAACAAATTGATGATTAAAAAGGAACAAAGAATGTAAAATGAGATGAAATAAGGGTAAGCCAATGGAGAGCCACACTTTTCCTTTGATTTAGCTGCTGGGTCACACTTGGTTTCAGGTTGGTCAGTACAAGCCATCATAATTTCTTGCCAAGATTCCCCGGTAGCCGATCGAAAGAGCACAATAATGGCTTGGAAAAAGGAACGGAAATTGTTGTTTCTATTAATGGCCGTATTTGAGTCAAGCACTATTTTACCAAAGGTTTGCATGCCCACAATGGCATAGATGAAGAAAAGAAGTAAAATTAGAAGAGCAACATAAGGAAGAGCTTGAAATGATTTGACAAAGGTCCATAAAAGGGTTCGAATACCCTCACCACGAGCCAACAGTTTGACCAACCTCATAACCCGAAAGAGACGGAAAAAGTTCATATTGAAAGGTTTACTTCCACCAGCTCCTTCCTTGGTTAGATTGGAAGCTTTCTTTACAATAACATCATGGCCGATATGTACAAATGATCCAAGAACAAGAATACAATCCAAAATGTTCCAAAAATCGGAGAAATAATTTTTAAATCGAAAGGCATACAGTTTCAGGATAAACTCAATGGCAAAGATTATTGAAAAAATGAGATTCAATTTCTCCAAGACTTCGGTATATGTTTGTGATTGTCCGTTAAATTTGATTGCAAGGGTTGTTGTATTGGCAAGAATGAGGATAAAGATGAAATACTCAAAATAGGTTGAGGTAACAAACCACCAGACTTTATATTGGATTCGTTGTTTGGGAATATAACGACGAACAGGTCGCGCTTTTAAAGCAAATTCAATGCAATTTCGCTGATTCTTGTCCAGTTCACAGTTTTTGTACTCTTGTTCACCCTCATTTTGAAAGGTTACAATAACGAAACCAACAAATATGTTAACCATGAAAAAGGCAATTACAATGATGTAAATAATGTAAAATATTGATACAACAGGACGATAATTCATGGTAGGCCCAAGATCTTCAGCTCGAGAGTCCATTGAAACCTCTAATAATCTGTAACAAAAACACAAAAAACAAAATATTAATCACCAAAAATAACATTACATTGAAAAGGTTGCTTATTAACTAATATTGTGAATGGATGGTTGACTTGAAGAGGTAAATGGTATTAACATGGTTATAATAAGGTTAAATTGTTGGGAAAAATGATTAAAGGCAATAAATATTTCATTGAAAATAATAAATAGCTTCTTAAATGTATAAATTAGATTAAGATTCAATTCATTTAATTCATTCAATGGTTAGCTTTTTTCTCTGTTTACATTGATGTTTATAATAATACAGTTGACTAACTATTTAAATTGTTTCTCATTATTGTGATTAGCAATGTTGAAATTGAATTAATTAATGATTATGCATGTCACAAAATCTCGAGATTCCCCGGAGAAGCTGATTATTTACATTTCTGTGGTTAATTTGAGTAACAATTTTAGCATCCATTTTACTTTCATTCATTTTCATTCATCACAGTAAACTTGAAACTGTACTAAACTTAAAACATATTCCCATTAAATGTACCCAAATTGGTATCAAGTTTATTATTACAGTCAATTTGATCCATTTAATTTAACTTATTATCATCATAATAACTATGAGTAGGAATAAATTAAGGTAGACTTGATTAGGATTACAGTTAAATCTCCTCATGTGCATCATTGAATGTTTTCAGAATCTCAATGTTTCAAAGGTTTGGTGTTCAAAAAAGGATAACTTGTAATGAACCCAATAATAACAGTTCAGTAAAAATCAATGTTTTCACCAATTTTCTCAACAATTTGACCTAAAAATAGAAATAAATGAAAAGATGAAAAGATTCGACAATTTTTTTCTTTCATTTTAACGAAAAGTGACACAAAAAGTGGAACATTTTCAACAATAAAAGAAACATTATCGAAATTATTTCTGTCCATTTCAACATTTCACAGATTCTGGTATTGATTAAGAATACATTTGCAGTTCTTAACTAAAATAAACTGTTGAAATGGTTAATTTAGATTGCTCTATATCCAACTCTGGTTGAAACAGCTTTGGTCATATCAATTTGAATATGAATAGCAATTGTTGACTAAAATTTAAATAATGCTAATAGCTGAAGATAAACCATTAGATATCGATAGTTACAGGTTAACAAGTTAAAGATGAAATTGATTTGAACACATTTGAACCATGAATTCATTTCCATTTTTATATGAATTGTTAACCTTTGTAACAATTGTATTCAACAGTTAGATCAATCATCCAACTGACTATTCAATAATTTACTTCTCATATAACCATTATTGGCATGAATACGATGAATATCATGTCAATATGATTTGCCATGAAAACCTGGTTACATGAAAAGCAATTGTTTACTAGTCTTTCATTCAATACAACTCACACTGGTTATGTGACTAAATGAAACTCACTGGTTAAATTAAATGAAACCATTAATTGTGTATATTAATTATGACTAATTCAATGGGAATATTGGATAATATTCACAATTGTAATGATGAACCGAAAAAAGCTATTTATTTTGGGTAATTGTTTGGTTAAACCATTTTGATTTTCATGTGAAACCTGTAAAGCATATAAAATGCTATTAGAAGAAAGATTCATCTCTCGCCAAATCTATTCACTGATTAATTAATTAGATGAGTAAAGACAAGCTTCTGTAATAATTGAATCATTGCAATTTATCTCAACTAATTGAGTTAACTTTCCTCCTTTCACCAGTCAGTAGATTAATATACGGTGTAAATAGGGTTCAATAGAGGAATCAAAATGATGTTAGCCACAATCGAAAGGAGTGAAATGAAAAGGATCCAAATGAGCGTCACAACAAATTTCTCCTCCTTTTCATCTCAACCTAAACAGACAAATCAAATTGTCCAAAGGTTATAATGAAAAACTGCAATTGATTGTGATAATAAAGCACAATATCACAAGTTAAATGGTCAGACAAATCGTGATCTTTGATTTTCCCTTTGAACACAGTCAACTGATCACACTTCTGAACGCCTTGGACAATAATTAGTTTTCAATGACTTGAACCATCTTTTCAATCTTTAGTCTTTAATCAACTTACGTCGGCCAACCTTCAAATGTCGATACGGTGAACAGGGTCAACATGGCTTTGGCGACATCATCAAAATTAAATACATTGTTGTCCCAGGTTCGCTCTCTAATTATTGGACGATTAACATCACCGCTTTCATAGTCGATGAAAAATCCTCTGAAAATTGAAGGGAAAGTAAACATTATTATTGGTAAATTGTAGCAACTGTAAATGGCAACAATTAAACTTACTGACAATCTTCTGGAGTCTCCTTTGATTCATCTGTACATGAATAAAATTTCCCCTGTGAAAATGAACAATGAAAATTTCAATTAAATGGTTGCAATAAATTGTTTCTCATTGTTAACTCAATTGAAACAAAAAATTAACTCTTATTGATTGTTGGAATGATTTACAAGACAATTACTTTATTTTAATGTTCAACACTTTCAAAGTTAAATGGACCTTCCAAATGTATCAACATTAACACTTTCATTTAATGATTATAATTCAACTATTATTTCAGGTTTCATTGTAAGTGTCAAACTAATTGGGATAAGCAGTCAGTTTTCATGTCGAGAAGAAAGTATAAATTTTTAATGAATATCACGATAACATTGATGATATTATTAAACAACATTTGATAACATTTTTCGCTGGTAACATTTTGTCAAGTAATCATCAGTTTTATTGTCATCTTCAGACATGATGATCATTCCTGACTATCAAAAATTCATACAAAATGTTACTCAGTTATGACTCGTTTTAATACACATTGTATTATCACTTCTCTATTGAGTTTCCTATTATTGCTCTAAGTGTAACTTTCAATGGGTTTTAAGGCTTTCTCGTCCCTTGAGCTCTTATCATATTATTAACAAATGATAATAATAATGAAATTAAATAATGAAAATGTTAACAGTAAATTGTAAATTCTGTAAACTCTATTTGACGTGATTTGTCTACCAATTTACCAACTCAATCATTGGAAAGGAGAAATTGAGATTTTCTTTTTGCTACAAAAAGAAATTTAATTTGACAATTTAATTTTGTTAACATTGATTGTTGACTCGATGAAAATAAAATCTAAAAACTTACCTTGAACAATTGAACTCCAATAACTGCAAACATAAAGTTGAGTAAAAAGGTAACCAACATGATGTTTCCAATAGTCTTGATTGCCACAATTACACATTGAACTACATGCTAAGAGGAAAAATGAGAAACATTTAAAAACATTTGATTAAATTGTGCTCCAATTGAAACAAAGTGATTTTGCTTTTGATTGAATCAAAGTTAAAATACAAAAGACAAGATCAACCATTGATTTGGTAAATTACATGTTGGAAGGAGAAGAAATTGAATTAAACCCAAAACAGAGTTGGATATAAATTATTGTTTTGATACATTATTTTAGGCAAATCATTAATCAACAACGATCTCATCATTTAATAATGAAAGAAACAAAAGCAATCAGTAAATCAGGAGGAAAAGGTTTAATACAATTAACTGGTTAAAGCGCAACTGGGCCTTGATATCATTTTGCCTGGTAAACCAATGATCATTGAGAAGTCCAATTTTGGGTCTAACAATTTAACCCAAATGATCATTCTAATGGATTAATAAGATAGCATTTTGATATAAAATAGGAATCTAATAAACCTTACTAATTAAGAAATGAATCTATTAAATTATAATCAATACGAGTGAAGTAAGGAAAATAAATGAAAACGTTTTTGTTGCTGTTACCTTTCGGTTATACCATTTAGATAAATCAATAACACACAAAACCCAAAATCGATTCACTTAAGAACTGAACAAGATGATGAGTTGAGATGATAATGATGATGATTGAGGAATTGAAATTGAAGTATGAACCAGATGAAGTATATTCACCGTTTACTTTAACAACATCACCTTATTGACCACAGTTGATCCTCTTTTGATCAAACGATCAAGGTAGAGATGATGGATAACCACTTTTCACTTTTTTTTTCATTTCTAGGAAGTGAACAGAATAGCATTTTCATCATGTCAGCTACAGGGTTAAGAAATATAATCAATTCAAACATTTCTAATATATCCAGCAATTCAAATTGTCCAATGTCTGGTGGTCAGGATAAACAGTTTATGTCTATGAATGTCTATTGAAATCCTCAGCTTTTTACATTATATCTTGAGCTAGGTTTTTTCAATTGGCTTGTTGTTAGATTTAAGCTCATTTCAATCATTTTGCCATGAAATGAACAAATATATTTACATAGTTGAATGGTGTTTAGCTGGGTAGGTAAACAACAATTAATCGGTCAATTGGTCATTAATTAAACGTATGACTTTTTACGTTTTGGGAAATTGATTATCGATAAAAAACATTATCCTATTTCATCAGAATTTATATATTTTTTTACTTTTTTTTGTTCGTCTTCCTCTTCTCCTTTCGTTTTATTACCAACTAAATCAATTAATCGATATATTTTTATCTAGAAGCGGAAAAGGTTAGAAAAATAAAACTAAAAAAAGCCATTCACTGATGAAATAAAAACAGTTTATCATGTTTTTTCTCCCAGTTCCTGGATGAATAATACGATGTTCAATGTGAACCTTTGTGAAACAAGGGTGGGAGACGCACTGTACACTGAATTGGATAATTGATGGTGAAAAAAATCAAAAAATCACTAATTGTTACACCAAATATTAGCAAGTTATTAAACACTTGTCCAAAAAACGTTGAATGTTGCTAATGTCACACATTTTGAATCATTTGGCATATCGGGTTGCCTGGTAACTAATTAATTAAATTGTTATCAAAATAAAGCAAAAATATAGAGAACTTTGAATGGCGATAAATCACAGGGAATTAATGGCTGTTTCACAGAATTGCAAATGTATAAACGACTGATCAATTGAAGGTAAACCAAAAGCTGAAATAAAAGGTTAAGTGGACACATTATTGTATAATGGATAAAGGTATTAATAATAACAGGATAACCAAGTGAATTATCCTCAAGTTGATCAATTGGAAGAGCTTAAATAGCATAATAGGATGTATGAGCTTGAATATTTCCATGTTAATTAATAGATTTATTCAATATCTTGAATCTATTCAATAATAAAGATTCTCCTTCAAGACTAAACTTGCATAAAAAGTGGACAAAAAGAAAGGCGATCATTTTCCTCTGTCTTTTCTTATCTTTTTTGTTGAACTTGAACCTTGACTTAAACCTTAACTTAAACCTTTAAGTCATCCTTTTACATCCATTTGTCTTTTGATCGGCGCCATTTTTCACTTCTTTATCTTTGCTTAAACTTAACCTTCTCATATTATAAAGTTAATCAATCTGTTGAACTCTTATGTTTAACAGACAATCGATTACTTCAAAAGATAATAGATTGGAAAATCTCTATTTAACCATTATTTTGCTACTTTTGTTGATCCATCATTTTTCATTTCTTACTTTTAGTTACTGTGAAACTTAATTTCCATCAGATTTTCATTGTACACTCAGCGGTTTTCTCAATTAGTTAATTTTTCATTCTTTCCTGTGTTCAAAGCTGGTAAACACCATTGATACTCTGTACTTATGGTGGACTTGTTTCAAGTGTTCAATAATCCCGAACATAAATTCATTCAGTGAACCTTCTGGAAAATTGATAAACATATGAATGGTAAACTAAAGTGAAGAAGGTAGAAATGATTTCTGGAAATAATCGAGTTACAACAACATGGCAAGTGGATATCGAAGAAGTTATATCTTGACTTATTGTGATTGTCAAGCGCTTTGAACCCCAACGGTAAGTTATTATTCATCGAATACTCAGTTTTTTAATTTCTCTTCTTTCTTCTTTTTTCAAGTTTCTTCTTTCTAACCTGTCAAAGCACCGTTCTGGGATATCTATTTGAAACCCAATTAAAAGAATTTCTTGTGTTTCATTCAAGTGGTCAAATTCTGGTCACAATTGGGCAATCTTTTGACTTTAACAAATGTTTCAACTATCCATCTTCTATATCCTCTCTGTTCAGTTCATTCCTCTTCATACAGTTTGTTGTTTCTGGATCAGTGCTTAGTGAATAGCCAAAATCTTCTGCAGCTTCAACTTCAACTTTCAACTCAACATTTTTTGTGTCCTCCAACAATTATACTTCTTTTCTGTCGATTTCTTCCCTTTCAGTTGACTCGTCATTAAAATGAGAGACTGTAGTCATTGTTAACTGTTTTGTTTTCATTACCTTATCTTTGAAAATGAATAGATTTGATTTGGAAAAGACACAAAAATTATACAGCCTAATGTTGATTCTCGTGTTGATAAGACAAATAACAGATTTTGACAAGTAATTGTGACTTTGACAATGACTGATTATTATGATTATTTCAAAACTATTATTATCATCACTCAGGAAATGATAATATGTAAGTGTATCATCAAAGAATACACATATTATTATTTCGTTATCGATATTAATGACAAAGTAATATCGATTTTATTCTAAAACCAATGTTACACTGTCAAATAATAGTAGTAGTAATAATAATCATGGTAATCAAAAGTGTTATCGATGTCTATTCAATGAATTATTGATCACCATTATTAATATTATGTTGATGTTGATGAAAAAGGTCTTCCATGAGAAATCAAAATGAATGAAATAAAATCACAAAATGATAAACAAACAACTAAGAAACCATAATGAAAACGGTAACCTGGAGTGAAGAGAGGGAAAAAAGTCAAGTTAGTCAATGACTATGGTCCATGACCATTAAACTTTTGACCATCTAAATTATTAATACATTTTGAACCATGTTGACCAACCAGAATGACCCATTTAAAATTCAATTATGAGGCGAAAATTTTCCATTCTCATAAAATCCTTCGATAATTTGATTGATCATTGGCAAACACCATACACTGCAAAGTTGAAGTGTAATCTCGTTAATTTGCTATATCACCAGTTACTGTCCCTTGGTTTTTTGATGATCTTTCAAGTAATCAAAGAAAAAATTGTTACATATTAATTTTACCCTGGACACTACGGTAAGTTTTGATTCTTACACAGAGTCATCTGAAAAGGATCACTCTAAGCTGGAAAGCTGCTTCATCTTTATATTTTACTCATTTTTTTCTTCTTATTTCTTCTCAATAGATTGATATATTTCTCTTCGATTGTCCATCAACCAGGAGAATCACAAAATCCAATATCCAGAGATAAAACAAGGCTCAATATTATTACGATAAGTTGCTTACTCTTAAAGACATCAACGTTGTGATCAAGTTGAGCTTAAAGGAAACTTGAAAAAGTGTCAACTTCAAGTGAACCCAAATTGTTGACAATTGACAATAAAAGCTCAATTGTATATATTAACAAATATTCAGTGCATCACAAACGACATTTAATTCACTAAATATTTGTTTATTTATTTTAATTCCCACTATTTACCTGAAACTTCAGCTCTTTCATGCAAAAAGTCTAATGTTTATTTTTTCTATTCTTCCTCAGATTTGTTTCTTTTATCATATGGATCATTGTTTCATGTGTAAATTGCTTGATTAAGAATCATGGTGGCATCTTACTAGAACCTGCTAACTGACTCAACAACTGAACCATCAAATGAACAGATGTACAACCATTGAGTTTCATTGTTTCCAATTACTGCCATTCAACGGGTTACATACTGGAAGTGAAAAGAGCTGGTTAAATAATTATGCAAATTTACCTTGGTATATTTTTTAATTAAAATAATTGACCCGAGTCAACTGCAGTCAGTTGAACCAAACTGAATAAATATTATAAATATGAAAATCACGAATAACGATGAAAGTAAATATAATATTTATCATGCCAGTGAATCAACAGCAACAATGAAACCAATTACCTTAATATGATTACCTTTTTTGAGTTTAATTGTCACTCGTAAACCTTTCCAACAGAGAGACTTAAAATTTCAATGTTTCCTTCCCAATCAATAGATACAATTTAAAACTCAGTACAATCATTGAATTTACCGTAATAACGACATCAACTGTTATTAATCGTTTTTGCTTTACTCTTATTTTAATCGTAAGCTTAACCAATATTATTTACAATGATTTAGTTAATCATAATAATGGGTTAATGTAAAGGAAAGCAAAAACGATGATAAAAGAAGCTCTTGTCACTGATTTTTATGAAAATAATTTGCTTCCATCTCATTGTAATGATAATTTTTGTGGGAGAATGAGTATAAAATGGTTTTCCATTTCAACATTCACTCTCATCATGAAAATAATATGCAAAAATTATGAACAATTCATCATTGCTATTGTATATTTTATCATTCTAACTATCATCATCATGATAATGGTTGAGCAGTAACAATGAATAAAACTCACGGCAAAAAGAAAGTCAAGAATTAATGATTTTCATGTTCAAAAAAACCAGGAAAAAAAAGTTGACAAAATCATCAAAAATTAAGCCATTCAATTGTTAATCATTTTCGCCTTTACCCAGTTAATTGATTAAAATGTTGAATAATGGTTACGAGGTGAGCTTCACATTTTAAGCATAATAATATGATTAGCTTTTGATTAGTTTTGCTATGAGAAAATGTTGCTGATTAGATTGAATTTTGTAAGATTTTTTTCGCTCGTTGAAATGAATTTTGATTAAACAATCAACAGTGAACACTTTTATTGTCATTATGTATATGTGTGTTGGTAATTTGAATGATGATTTAAGTTGAATACTTGAAGCAAAACCAAAAAAATAAGGTAAATTGAACTTTTCATCTATTCATGGTTTTTTTTGTTTCTCAGTTTATATTCATTTTTGGTTTCTACTTTTTTTTGTTCATTTACTTTTCACAGGCAACAATTCAACTTTTTACAAGGAAAAAAAGGAATTGCTTCTCCACCTTTTCCATGATTTTTACCTGGAATTGAAAGATTCAAGAAACAACCATCCAACACACACACACACACAAGTCTAAACACAGGAAAAGGTCTTGAAACTGATACTATTTGGCAATTCAAATCATGCTCCATTGAAGATAAATATCACACTGGGCCCGTCATTTTGTTGATAAAACCATTTATTCAATACAAAGCAATATTCAGCCAGAGTAACATGAGAGTCTGTCTTCAAGTTTGTGTATATTTAAATTGTCAGAATATTTCACATCTCTCATTGTTTCAACCTTAAAAAAAGAGCAAACTAAAAGGAAAAGATAAATTGGATTCAGTTTGGAGTTAAATTTTGTTTCATCATTTTCATCTAAACTTCCCAAAAGCTGGTGTGGAAAGACATTCATTGAACCTTCCAAAGCTCCGTCCGTGTATTCATCTTAACCAAGCAATGAGTGAATAATAATCTAAAGGAATACTTCTCATCATTGATTTTAGGAAATGATGAAAAAAGTTGAACAAAGTTTAATATTTCTTGAGCTCATCATTTTACTTCAACTTACATCTTCCCTGCTTCAAGTCTGCTTCAAGATTATGGATGATAACTTCAGGAATGGAGATGATTAAAGTAACCTATTGAAATATACATACAAAAAATGTACATATAGATGTACAAACAGAAGATCAATGAAAGGAGAAACAGTAAATGATAATGTAAGATGATGAAAAGCTTGCGATGGTGAAAGATGATCAAGATGATGATGGTTCAAGATGAATACCCTTAACCAGTTGTACCTTCCTACATAAAGACACATATTATTTTGGGTACATTTTTGGTCTTCAATGAAATAACCAATTTTCCTGACTTTCTCAACTTTCTCTCTTCATGGGACTGAAAACTGGACGAAAAAAAAATGATAAAATCCAATGGATCCATTATATTCTTAGTAAGATGGTTAAAAGCTTTAACATGTTAAAGGGTCCTAATATAATATTTTTTGGTTCTTAGCCTTTTCTCCTCCTCACTTGTTCTTACTGGTCTGGTTTAGTTTTTTTGTTGGTGTAACCCTTGGAAAGTACAAAACTTTACAGGTTAATGTTATCTATCGGTATTTAGATCATTCATTCAATAATATATATATTGGTCTATTCAGTAATCACAATTGATCAAAATGTGAACCTTAGTTTCTATTTATTTAGCTTTCTTGTCACTTAGTTTAACTTTATTTCACTTGCACCTTCACCAGACATTTCAGACTTGCAACCCAGAATATTAACTGCAAAATTAAATTCACTTCAATCTGTTCGCACTTCCTTCACACCTTAACCACTTGCCTTCAATAACAATATTGATTTAAATTGAACAACTGCACCTTTATGGCCATAATAATCAAACATTAATGCCACTTGGAATAGATTCAAACATTTGTAAAACCATTTTAAAATTAAGTTCAGTGACAATTTTTGGGTTCAATTTTGGGTTAAATATTCAATTGATTGTAACTTTGTCTCAAAACCAGAGATTTTTTAATGTAAATTGAAAAGATTGGCTTATAATGAATATTTTTAATGAATAAATCAATTTATGAGTTTAAATATCTGTCTTATATCAAATGGTATCTTTGATAACTCAAAATTTTCTTACTCAACCTTTTTCAGGGAACATTTTAATTTGATTAGTTAAACAGTTAATCATTGAAATGAATGTAAATTAAATTTAAATTTGATTAAATGGTTTTCATCATTCTATCTTTTACCTCAATCAAGCTGAATATACAGTAAAAAATGATGAGAAAATGGATAAAAATAAAGTGCAAGTTGTATTATCATTTCAATTTAAATTGTCGACTGAGGCATGAGTTGAATTTGATTGGCTTTTTGGCTTTTTTTAATGTACAAGAATATAATTGATTGAAAATATCGGCAAGGAAAGTTCAATGGACTAAATCAAATTGAATGATAAATGATTAAGACTTCTGGTGATGATGAAAATAATGCGAATAATGATGATCAATGGAAAGAAAGCGGCGAGATTGAAAGACAAGGAAAAGGAAAGGAAACTGATGATAATGATGATGTTGATCACAATGAGAGTTAAATAGTGAATTTACTGTTACAGAAGATGATTAATTAACAGTGTAAAGGAAGGCATCATTTTAATCACTATGAATCACTGGAGTAACATAAATCAATGGACAAAAGTTAATTGCAGCAAACAAATAAAGATGATCACAATGAGAGATCAACAATTGAAATGTTTCCCATTGAAAATGAAACCAACAGAACAAAAAGACAGGAATAAAGAGACAAGACCTTCACTTTTTCATGGACCATTAATGATATTCAACAATTTAAACAAAATATCAACCTAATTAACCAACAACAGCTAATTACTAAAAGACCAAATCAATGGATGCAACTACAAGACTAAATGGCTTACCTTTAAACCTTTGGCTCTGTTGATGGCTCGAAGTGGTCTTAAAACCCTTAATACTCTTAAAATTTTAACGGCACTTAACTCGTCACTCCTGCAAATTAAATTGTTAAATTTTTAACTGATTGTTGAACAAATTAGTTGAGCCAAAGTGACTTACTCTGGTAAAAATGATAACAAGGAACAAGCCACAACCAGAACATCCAATATATTGAAAGGTTCCCTACAAAAGGATCCTTTATGCAAGGCAACTCCGTAAACGGTCGTCTATTGATTGTAACAATTATTGGTGAAATTATGATTTTAAAATTTAGGTTGAATCAAAATTGGGTTCATTTACCTTTAAAAGGATTTCCAATGTGAAGACAATTGTAAAAATGGCATCAAAAGTCTCTAAAATCTGGTTTTGAAAAGACACAAAATTGAATGTTTTTGTCCATTTTCTGGTTTCTCTTCAGTTAATCAAAATTACCTTTTTTCGGTCCCTATTACCTTCCAATGGATCTTCAACAGCCAACATTGCACTACTGATCATTATACAAACCAAAATAAAATTACCAAATAAACTGTGTTTAATCACTCTGTAGCAAAATAATCGGATCCTGTAAATCAAGATAAATGTTGAAATTAATTGTTACCCAAAATTACCAGAAAAGTGTCTTTAAATTTTCAGTTAAACCATTAAAAACCCAAATTGTAACACTTCAGTTTGTCATTTAGAGGAAAAATTAAATACAAATTAAGATTAAATTTAGAGCCAATTAATAGACTTAATTGGCAGGAAATAATCACAAAATTGAAATCTAATCATGTCTTGAACAAATTCAAAATGTGTATTACAATGTAGCAAGTGAGTAGCAATTAGTTATGATAACAGTATTATTAGCTGCTATTCATGAGTAACTCATTAATTAATTCACTTGATGATTACAAATCAAGGCTGTTAATAAAATTATTAATAATATGATTGTTCAATCTCAACCAATGAATATACATGCAAGTAAAAAAGTAAAATTACAACAGAGAGTTAATAAAAGCACTAACTGTTAATGGATAACTGGGAGTGAAAATCATTTAGTGAATCAACTTGAATTAATTAGAAGCTCTTTTTAGGCTCAATTTAGGCCTTTTATATATTCAATAATAATTTAATAATTAGCTACTAATAAGCATAGTATTTACTTGTTTTTGGGTCCAAAAATGAAAAAGGAACTGTAATTGGGAATCGGTTTTATTTTCATGGTTTCAACTGGATCAGAGATTCGTCGAGTTGCTCCGGTCTGGGTTGCATCTTCATCTTCATCAGCCTCACCTCCATTGTCAACATCAACATCATCATCTCCTTGATCATTTGGATTATCATTAATCACTGAAATAACAAATTAAATATTAAAAATTTGTCTAATCAAGCTTCCATTTCTCACTCAACAAAACCCAAAAAAGGGAAAATCACATTTTTAAAATGATATTTTTGTTATGATTGCTGATCAAATGATGAGAAATAGGCGAAATTTTTGATTCTAAATCAAGAGTTGAATCATAATTTCTAGGCTTTGAATTTTCTTAAGCAAGTCTTCAGATTTTGTCTGATTCTTTCCTGATTATTCTGGTCAGTCTTTGTTTTTTAAGATCAAGTTGACCGAAGCTGCTGATACATTTGGATGGAAAGAGTTCGGTGTGAATTTTGCTCAGCAAATGAATGGTTATTTGCAGTTAGAGATGAAAAATAACGACAATTATTTTTACTCTGAAGATAGATGGTTTCATCCTGAAATTCAGCAACCTTTTGTTACAGTTTATAATTAGTTGAAGAAGCTCTTAAATATTTCCTTTTTAGTTTTCCTTTTTACTTTTGCTTCTATTCATTTTGCCCACAAAAAAAGGCAATTTGTGACTTGGAGTGAAAGTTAAAGTGTTAATTCCTTTACTTTCTCAAACAATTAATGTCAATTACTCAGTTAATGATTAAACTTTTGCTCTTCATTTTTGTTTCTCTTTTAATTCTCATTAATTGTAATCTTTACAATTGCATTTTCAGGGTTAATTAAACAAACGTTTGTACTGTTATAAAGCTTTGTTACCCAAATCACTGCAAACAAACAATGATTTATGTCTTCGCATTGCTATACTTTGAAACGATATCAGTCAAGATAATTATTTACTCATTTCTGTATCAACAATCAGATCAAAAAGTTCCAATTTCTGTTTCAACCATTTTTAGAATCAACTTTTATCTCTCAAATTTCACTGAAATGACTCGACTGTCAGACTCGAGCCAGTTGAGCGTAAATAATATTTTCCCGATTTTTTTGTTCAGGTTCATTCTCGGAATGGAAATTTTGTAAACTCTCTTTTCAACCTTCGATAACTTACCTTCATTATTAGTTTCATTAATCGCTTTCCCATCTTCATCTTCAACTTTAACACAAATGGATTCCTAAATTGAAGGCAAAGGCAAACATTAAAATAACTCAAAAGAAATACAAAAGGTTGACTGACCAGATCGGGCTTGAGTCGAGCTCTATTAAGTATGGTCATTGATCCATCACTTTTAGGTTCATCACCAGATTCATCGATAATTTCACCGGTTCCAATGGCACTTGCAGTGTTGTTGTAAAAGGATTTCTTGCGCTTCCGACGAGAACCAGATTCAGAGTTACCTCGACTCAAGGCATGCATTTCAACTTCATCTTCCTTCGCTTCTTCCATTATAGCTTCTTCAGGTAATTCCTCTTCAGGCTCAGCTTCTTCTTCCTTCTCAATGTTAGTCAAGCTTTCAGCATCGGCCAAATTGTCAACAGCAATGGCCAAGAAAACATTTAATAATATATCTTGATTGGAGTAAACAGAAAGCACAATTAACAAACGAAATCAAGAAAATGGAAAAGCAAATCAAGAAAAAAAAGTTGCCAACACAAAATGATTCAACTCCATTCCAATATAAACATATTTACAATAAATATTGATCAACTAATGAAAAATTGTTTCCATCGTCCAATTAACTTGAGCTATTAATCAAATTATCACGGCTAATTGAGTCTGATTGAGATTAGTATTTAATAAAATGAAACTGTGAAATCTTTTGCTGTTCATAAATGGTTCCTATTCAAGGGAAGGATAATTTGTTGAGAGAGAAAAAAGTAATTGCAATTTTGATAATGAATAAATTGTAACCTAAAAAAAGAGGGAAAAGATTCCAGAAAATTTGATAGCCTTTTTTGCTGGAAAGCAAATAAATCCTTTTTATAAACATTGATTTCAATGCTGTTCAAATCTCGAGTTGCATTGTCAATTAAATGTATACGAACACAAAAAATAGGCAAATGTTTACATTTTACTGCCTCTCATCACTTCATCTGTGTGACACAATTTACGATGTATAATGATACTTACAGTTTCCGGTAACAAAAAGTATCAAAAAATATACACAGGCAAGTATACCAACAGTTTCAACTCCACCATAAGCTTGAATACCATTGTACATAACAACATTCCAGTCTTCACCAGTTAAAATCTGTGATTTGAGAGATTTTTTTAGTTATTCATTTGTTGGATTGTGACCAATATTACCGTGTAAAGGATTGAAAAGATTTGTTGGTTTAAAAAGGATAATCGTTTGGGTTACTTTGCCTGTTTAAAGAAACTCTCTGGTTTGTTGTAAAATTGACTGAGTCTGTGAGATATCATCGACTTGTTTCACAATATTATTAAATTACAACAATTTAGTCAAAATCTGAAACAATTCTTCACCAGACATTGTGGTTCAAGTTGATTTTGTGTTGAATTTTTCATTTTTACAGGAAAATAACTTGAGCTCAAATTGCAATCTTTGAAATCTAAGATACTTCATCGAGTACTTTTTGCTTTATTGAGAATGGATTTATGTGATCAGAAAATTGTTTCCACTTCTTAGATGATATCTTGGTTAACTTGAGTCAATTTGATTCTAATAACAAATCTAATTACAATTTAAACTTAAACAGTTGAACCCAATGTTTGCTCTGGATCGGTCTTTTGTTGAAAAGCTGATAAACTGATGTTATTTTGATGCTAATAAACATACAAATCAGTGATCAATATTTTACCCAATATTTTTATCCAACATTGCAATAACACAATGTTATAATGGTATTTCATTGTAAGCCAAGTGTAACATTGTTTTTTATGCTATTAACATTGATTTTGATTTTTTGAGTTTTCCAACTTTGAATGTTGATTCTACCTTTTGGTAAATTGGTCTCTTTACAGGTTTGATTGGTTAAGTCAATAGATGATTGATTACCTGAAATACAGTCAACATTGCTTGCCAAAAGGAGTCAAAATTGGCTCTGGCTTTGGGTCCGTTTGGTAAATTGAATTTACCTCCAAAAACTTGCATCCCAAGAAGTGAAAAGATTACAATGAACAGAAATAAAAGTAACAATAAACTTGCAATTGCTCTCATTGAATTAATCAGGGAAGCAACAAGGTTCCGAAGTGAAGTCCAATATCTATATGAATGAAATGAAAATGATTAATAAATTGTAGTTTAACCTAAAAAATGGCAACTTATTGATTACACAAAGAGTTGAACAAGAAATATCATTAAATCAATTGGCGTTTAATACTTCAACTGATAAAGTAAATTACTTTTTCTTCCTTCATTCAACCATTTCTTATTTAATAGCTAAATTCTTGAGGTTAATTTAGTATAAAATACAATTCACAATCAAAGGAATTTCATGTTTTCCGTTGAAAATTTTACAATTAATTGAATTAACGTTCAAAAATAATAGCAAACTTTCACTGAACGCTTTTCAAACGTTTAACTTTCTGCTTTTGTAACAATTTAACTTGATTGTCTTTATTATTGAAGATGAAATTTGAAGGTTTTATTCAGTTATCCGATGAGATGAACCCAAAAATGAGACGGATGAGGACAGATGATTATTTATTATTGCAATACAAATAGATGTAATGTTTTGGAAAAAATTGATCAAGAGTTTGATCAAATTATTAGGGGTATCAAAAAGTTCTGTCGTTTTTTTTACTGATTGTTTGGCTTCGATTTCAAATCAGTTCTGATTATTCAATTGACTCAAAAATTTCAGGGATACAAGAACATCAGTTCTAGTGCATGTAAGCTATTTTTTAACTCGATCGGAGTTAATTAACTATAATTAATTAGCTAATCAATAGGTACTAGTTGGAGATACAATTTAAAGAGGCCAGAACTGATTGATTTTTTCGCTGAAAAAATTAGAATTGCAAGAAAAAATTAATATCAATCGAAAGCTCAAGGTTCATATAATAACTGAGCAAAATTTGCAATTTCTAATCATTATCATGAGCAAATTATATTATTATAACTAAAAATTTGTTTAACATTGAATTCCCATAGAAAGATTTTTTTGAACTTTTTTTGCAATTTGACTGAAAATCCTATGGAAAAATCCCATAGAAAATGGTCAAAAAATAAGTTTTTTTGAACTATTTATTTTTACAATTAAATAATGATAATGATTAGAAATTTCAAATTTTGCTCAGTTATTATATGAACCTTGAGCTTTCGATTGATGTTAATTTTTTATTTCAATTTTAATTTTTTCATGAAAAATATCAATGAGTTCTGGCACCTTTAAATTGCGTCTAAAAATGGTACATATTGATTAGCTAATTATTTATAGTTAATTGTCTCCGATCGAGTCAAAAATTGGCATGAATGCACTTATAAGAATGCTCTTGTATTCCTGAAATTATTGGATCAATAGGATAATTCAAACCCATTCAAAATGGAGTCAAAATTCATCGGTAAAAAAAACGACAGAACTTTTTGATACCCCTAATATAAGGCACAAGTCAATGGTTAGATTAATGATTACGATCAATTGCTGGACCACTTGACTATGTAAATTGAAACTGATCAAGAAATAAAGATGAATTAAAACAGCCTCAAGAATCACAATAAATGTTGAATTATTTAAATAGTCAAATAGTTTACCCTTGAAATGAGTGAAAACTCAGCAATTTCAATTACTTGATCAGCAGCAAAGCAATAAGCTAATTCAATTATAATTGAAACAATGATTATAATAATGATTCAAATTAAACGAGGAAAGAATCAAATTGAATCTGGAAAATTAAGTCAAGTCTTTGGAAGCAACAATTTTTGCTCAAATGAAATGATTCAAGTTCAATTGATGACTTTATTAAAGTTGTGCTTTAAATTTTGAGGAAATAAATTGTAAATTTTGGGGTCTGAAAGCCACAAATTTGGGAATAATGTTAACCATCAAAAGGTTCATTGTTGCAATGATTACAAGCTTTTGATATTAATCGTTAAAATGTTTCAAAATTTGTTGAGCTTCAAAATTTCACGCTCTAATGGTCAGTTTGTAGGTTGATTGTGTTGACAGAGGACAGAAGATGAAATTGTCAACATTAAGATGTTAAAGATGATGAACAATTGAACTTTGTTCTGGTCAACTGGATATAACTTGACTAGGCCTTCAGTTTACGTGAGTAGAACGTATTTATACATGTATATGAATGTTGTTATTTGATAATAAATAATGTTAACCATGAACCATTTTTGGTCAGTTCAATTTGATCCTTTGCTCTATCAGTAAATAATAACTCACAATGATGATCTGACATGTTATAATTTCAAATATAAATATAAATATATATATTTATACATTGGCCAAAATGATGATGATGATGGTGATGATGAAAGCAAAATATAAGAGGAGGAAAGATGATGACATTCAAGTGAATAATATGAATGGCTTGGAATGAGTTTTAACAACATTCCGCTTCAACTTTACTTCATCTTTATGATATAATGATAATAAGAGCAAAATATTCATATCAATATTTATTATCAGTAAGCAACAATTTTTAACCCAAAAATTGAAACATAATTTCTCGGTTATTATCAAGTTGCAGTTTAAACAATTTCAATCAATATTAATCAATAAAATTGTAAATTTGGACAGTAAGATGAAAAAAAGCTGATTGTTAACAGATCTGTATTGATTTTGGTCAAGCATTTTCATCCGTTGATTCTTGGTAAGTTGCTTATCAGGTTACATTTAGTTTCAACTTTGATCAACCTTACAGTAAACTAACATTGTGAGCTTTGTTGGGACAAAGGAAATTTGAAAACCAAATTTTAGTGAAATTTGATTGATCGCTTTTAATTTTGCTCTTTGAGCAGATCAATATTGTTCAACCTTTTTCACTCCCAGTCTTGAAATTTCAATCAATGAATAATGATCATTTGACTTGGATCATGAAATTGAAATAATTTCTTGATTTACCAATGATAATAAAAATGACATTAGCTTGCATTTAAAGAGGGCAGCTCATGAAGTTTTGCTTTGTTGTTGGAAAATTGTAGCGAATTCGGGAAACTTTGAAACAATGTTGATCAAATGTTGCATGTTTATTCATCGGTGGATTGAAATTGGATTTATACTGAAAAATGACCATTTTCTCATACATAATTTGTCAATTAAGAGGGTCAATTTGTATAATCTTGAATTGAATCTTGATTCCTTTGAATTCCCGAAGAGATTAGCTTCTCAATTTACTCGACTTTCAACCATTACAGCTTGCAGGTAAACTGGTTTCATGGAGTAATTATAGATTTGTTTGATTGGCTAAGCTATCAACGTTTGTCTGTCAAAGTGTCCATTGTAATTAAGACAAATCAATTTGGTAATTAGGTGAACCAATACGATCAGCAATGAGAAAATGTTGCAATTTTCTTTGATAATTCAATATTGGTTAACATCTTGCTTCTGTTTGCTCCCACCATAATCATCGTTACCATTCCTTATTATCGTCATCATTATGTTACTGTTATTATTGTATAACATGGTAATCCTTTTGGCCATCCATTTTACTTGATTCACATTGAATGGGAAAGGTTAATAATGTCACAACATAATGGATCAACAATGAATAAATGAGCCATTGAATCAGCATGAGCACAAGTCAATTAAGATTAGGTTAACTTAATAGCTAGGAAATAAAGGAAAGGTTAATTAAGTGAGGAAAAAAAGTAGAGATTTAACTGTAAGTATAAATGAAAAAAAGGATTAATGATTAAAGAGGAAGATGAAAAAGATGGTGAAGATAGAGTGAAGTTTAATCTCTGGTAAATATCAATGTTTTTGTGTTTTTTTCAAACAAAAAGAATCATTTTTTGACTCTTTCTATCTCCTGAATGAAAATGATAATAATGAGTTTTTTTGTTTCGCATGGATGTTGATAATGGTTGATTCTGGTAGGAGTAAGGAGAAGCTTAAGACATTAAAGGCGTTATAAGTTGAGGATGATGATGATGGTGAAACAGAATGAGAAAACTTCAATTCAAGATCTTTATCATTTGAAAAGGTTTCCTCTAATGAAGATGGAAGTTGTGAAAATGAATATTTTTTGAAGAACTTTGTTATTAACTCCTTGAATTGAATTGAAATCAGAGAAACTAATTCAGTTTGAAATGATGAATAGAAAATGATAATGAAGATGATGATATCACATGGTATTCCTTGGATGATGAAGGCAACGAGAAATTAATAGTCGAGATAAATTCGATTTGTATTGAGCATCTCTTTACCATCCTTTGAGTGTTATTTTTTGCCACATTTTCCTCCTTTCCTTTCCTCCGGTTTTACCATCAAAATTACAAGTTCGTTAGAAACTATTAGTATTTTTCAGATTCTTTTTTTTCATGATAAAGTAAGCAAAAAAGCATTCCACTTTCCAAAATGGATTTTCAGTTTCTTAAAAGCAAAAGTAAAGCTCTTTAGAAATCTTATTCCTCCTGTCTTTTTTATTAATACTTTTGTCTTTCCATTGCTTGATGTTTCACATGAAAAATAGTTTTCCACTTTAACTGCAACTTTACCAGAAAATATTTCATTTCACTCCAGATAATTACTAAGCATTCAAAATAAACCAGTTATACACCAAGGAAACAAGATAAACAGCAGTTTTAACACCTGACAAAAAGGCACATTAAGTGATACAAACAAGACAATTGATTAATAATATTCAACAAACTGGAAGTTCACTGGAACAGACAGCACACAAAAAGATGAACATTCAGCAAAATCTTATCCTTGGGATGACTCCAGCTCGACCCAATATATTCCAGTCTCTTTACTTTTTCCACATCTAGACACAAGATTGGATCCATCAAAAAAACACAGTTAACAGGTTTGCTGACCATCAAATCAACCAAATTAATCAACAGCTCAAAGTCAGACGAAAAAAGGGCTTGGCTCTTGAGACAGTAACTGCAGCCAACAATACTTTAACATAAATCTGACACACATTAACACTAACAAGTAACTTGTGAACTGGACAGGCTTAAATATTGACCAAGTGTAAAAATTAAAAACTAAATAGCTGATTAGATAACTGGTTAGATATTTAAATGATAACATAATAGATAACCAAAAAAGCTGAAAGTAGCGCGCAAAAGAAAGCTTGTCACGCTGAGTCAAAGTTAAGGGGTTGTTACCTAATTAAGCTTGTGAAATTAAATATCACCAAACCGATGATGGCTGTGATTAGTTGAACATGCGAGTCAAACAGTGTAACAATTAGAGATGAATAGTAATTTCAAGATTAGACTTTAATTTAAACAGATCAAAGAAGTAAATGTGTTGAACAGATAATCCGATTCATTCAAACTCAAAAGATTCATTCACTTCTCACGCTGAGTCTAAATGGATTGGAATGATTTTTTCAATTTATTTTGTTCCGGGATAACCTCAGACAGCAAAAGAGTTGGAGATTGCAAAACAAAATCCAATGATTACCTAACAAAATACAAATGAATCCAATCACAATTTAATGATAAATAATAGCAATAATATCAGATCAAAGACAACAAATTTACATGAAAATAATAAAAACATGATAAGGTCGACAAAATGTTTCATGTTTATCATTATGTTAACAAGTCAAGTTAAATATACAGCAAAAAAAAACAACATTAATTTACACATTACCATTGAAAATGTTTACATGAACATGAAAAGCATCTAATAACAACAAAAATCATGTTAACCTTAGTAAACCAATTTGATTTGAATGTAATGCAAAATTAAGGAAAACAATACAACAAGTTTCATTACACTGAACAATTGTGCTTGATTCACAAATCAAGTAAATGTCATGATAATCCAAGAAACAGCCAAGAATAAGAAAAATAATGACCAAAACAAGTTGACCATTAAAAGGCAGCAAAAAAACCAAATGCCTCAACCACAAAACCTGATTATCAAGTCAGTTGTAATAGCGATAAAATTGAGTTGATAAACTTATTAGATTATTAGTTAATCATCATTACAAGTAATTGTTTAACCCAAACCAGAAAAACCACAATTTTTTTCTTGATTTGTTTAAAATAATGGGTTTGCTAAAAATAAAGAAACCCAAAAGCTGGTTTCACTGTCACATTGAAAACAAAAGCCAATGAATGTGATATTTTTTGTTGATAACATAAAATGTAACTTACTTGGTCACTTTGAAAATACGAAGTAAACGGACACAACGAAGAACCGAAACTCCTAAAGGTTCCATCCATTGATTCTTGGTTAATATAATTTCCGAAATGGATCCAATAACAACGAAACAATCAAAACGATTAAAAAGAGATACAAAATAACCTTGCAATCCAAGACTGTACATCTTCAGAAACATCTCAAGGGTAAAAAGTATCACAAAAAATATATTAGCATTATCTGTGGAAGAGCAAAAAATTGGTTAATTTTTGGAAAAATTTGTAAAACAATTTCTGGTTAAATATTCAATTAATCTCAACATTCAATGATCTTGTAACTAGTCAGGGATTGAGGAAAAGGTTTCATTGATAACAATTTAATATTACAAATTGAATAATATAAAGCAGATCATATCTTGCTCAACACTGGATAACATAATTTCCTGAACTATTTTGCATCAGTCCATATCATCTCCTGAATCTGGTTAACTGTCAATAAATAGTATTATAATGCTTGACCAAATGGATTATACTTTTATTTATCATTCAACAATGTGAATAACATTTACATGAGAAATGAACGGAGACACGAACTTATCCAGCTTTTAATGGTCAATGTCGGCATCCTTCATCCTCTACATCATCCATTATCATCATCTTGATAAGAATAATGAAAACATGAAGAAGAAGAAGAAGAAGAAAAGGAGAGAGAAAAAAATGTTGAACAGTTGCAAAAAGCTAGTGGCAAAAGCTATAAATTCAATGAACCAGAATAAGAATAAGAATATAAAATTATATTCTCCGAATTGAATCAGATATTCTGTTATTCTGTAAGCTTTATCTCTTATTTTTCATTCTCATTCTTTCCTCATTCCTTTATCATTCTGAGTTCGCATTTTTCAACACCAAACAATGACTTCCAACCCAGTCAAGTTACGCCTTAACAATCGTTACATCTTGTTCAATCAATCACTTTTACCCCTTTAAATACACATTATTTATGGATGACAAAAAAAACATTCACTTTACCTCACAAGTAAAAGCTAAAAACATGCTTTTCTCAATAATTTCAAGCTCAAGTACAAACTCTCAACTCTCAGTCTTAAACATTCAACTTTAAGTTGCTTTCAACATTCAAAGTTCCAGTTATTTCCAAACAGTTACTCAGCAAGTTGACAAATTTCCTGATTATTCAATCGACAATTCGATCGATTTTGTCGATTTGAGTGAAAAGAATGAAAATATTTTCATTCGATTCATGATAAACTTTTGGTTAATCATTAATTGAACGATGAAAAACACAAGAAAATTTCACTAAACCATTCTGACTCAATTGCTATTCTCACTCCCAGCTTGGAGTTAAACTCCCTTTAGACAACATCAATTGACTGGTTTAACCATTTTCAATACTTTAAGTGACTAAATGTTGGCTATCGAAAAATGTTCAGTTATTGAATCTTGAGATTTCTCAAAATCTTTTCCACCTTGGAACACTTTTGGAGCTAAATTGATTAAAATCAGTTTCTTTCAATCGTCAATATTGGTCATAATAATTACATCATTATCATTATTATCATCTTTATTTTCATGATAAGAGTCCCATTAAACCTTGCACTTGCAGTTAATCTGATTTTACCTTTTCCTTTATCACACAAAATATTAAGTACCGGCAATCATGAAAGGTATTGACTCAAACTGCTATTAAATCCATTGTTGGAAGCAAAGGAAAACGCGAAAAATGATTTATTCATTTGGTTTTTAAATATTGAACAAATTGACTTCATTGAATGTTTGAAAGATATTGAACATTTGATCAGAAAAGGTGAAATTCTTACCTTGAAATCTTTCCAAAGCTGGAGGCTGGCGATGATGTTCAGATGCCAATGTACAAGTGTTAAGAAAGACGAGCACAATTATCGTCCAATAAAGTGCTTTTGATTTACAAATTTTACGGCAACTTCGTCTACATCGGCGATTCCACACTTCAAATCGTTCCCTTGGCAAAGTAAAAAGGTTGATAAATAATATCAGAAATGATAGAAAATATAATTTATGAAACTCTTTAAACCATTTATCATAATCATTTTCAAATGTTCAACTCATTTTTTGATAAACTGAACAATTTATCTTGGAAACTTTACCGACTTTTATTTGCAATCGAATCAAGTTGAAAGAAAAATGTTTGACAATAATTGATTCAATTCATATTTTGACTCGATTCCATTTACTTTATCATTTTGCACCTTTTTTTGAATCATCAAACATGACAGTTTCACCGGTTTGACAAATGTTTGACCATTTTTGACCAACCATTGAAATCGCATTCAATTTTCATCGCAATTAAGTTGAAAACTACTTTTAGTTGAACATCAAGATTCTCATTGATTTTCCTGATAGTAATGACAATAAGTTTGGAGATGCTTTTTTCCCCTGCTTTTTGGGATAAATCCATTTTCTCATGTGAATAAACATTTTGAGATGAAAGTAGTGAAAGATAAAAAATGTATAACTCTAATGTACGAATGGAATATGAAAAAGAAATAATAAATTTAAATGAACTTTTCTGCTAAAACTACAATTATTATTACTCTGAATGCCTGCAAAGTTGATTCTGGTTGAATAACAATATGTTTTTGTTGCTTCAATCTCTCTCTTTTTTTTGTGTTTATCTCTCGGAGTTTGCATTACATTGTCAACTAAAGCTTTTTACAATTGAAAGTTATGAATGGCTCAATTGCAGCGGATAAATTCAACTGAATTAGATAAATGAAAAGATGAATCAGTGGTGAAAGGGATTGCTCTGAAAAGTGAATGATAATATGAATAAGTGGATGGATGATGTTTGGGGTTAAGATGAATCGGTTTTTGGTGTTGTTTGGGAAGAAATCATTTTCTCTCTCTCTTGTTAATGATGCTTTATATACAGTGATGGCAATCTTGATGAACATGTTAAGATTTGAAAGGATTCTGGTTAGGAATGTGATGAAAATGGATTGACTTTGTAATTATCATTTGAAAGCTAATAAATGTCAAAAACTGTTTTACCATCAACACCAAAAATGGTTTAAAACTCACGGAAGCATTCCTTAATATGGATTATCATTGAAAGGTTGACTTGTGGCAAAGGCCTGACTTTGCATGTCCATTAAAAAGGAATCAAATCAATAATTAAAACTAATTGTCAATATAAATAACAGCTTATGAAATGTGAATGTAAAATAAGCTCGATAAAGAGATTATAAATATTTAACTTCAAGAAACTGAATGGCTTTTCCTCAAGACATTTAGACTCAGTAAAACCTTATTTTGGTCAATATTGAAATGTTGAGTCTATTGATCATGGAGTCGTTGAATCATTGTGAAGCAAATCTCTCTCGATCTTGATTTAAATGGGAAATTTATTTGAATCAAGTCAAGTGAGTCAATGTTTTAGCTCTTATCGATCTCTTGTCATAATAATAATGCAAAAATAACCTAAACTTTGAGTCAACTTTGAAGGGAATAAGTCGTTCAATTGCTGCTAATGTAAAATAACCTGATGATGCTTCCTAGGCTTGATAGTTAACCGAGTTAATCAGTTGACTTAAAGCCTAAGAAAGGGAATCAACTTTGGGTACTTTGGGTAAACCAAGGTTGAAGTAAGTTTGGGTTCAATCACTTGGTTGATACAATTGCTTTTAACTGTTACCATTTTTGTTGTCACAATATTAATGCAAAATAACCTGATCTTTGATACTTTGAGTCAATATTTCTTGTAAGGTAAAGTTTGATTTGAAAAATGAACCCAATAAATGAGGACAAGTAAATTACTTACTTGGTAGTTTCAAGGAATGAAGGCACTTTTGGCTGATTCTCATCATTATCCATATTGGCCTTGTCATCCATCTCTTGAACAGGTCCACCCAATCGATCTTTCTGTTCCTTCTCATCAGGCTCAAGATCTTCAGCTTGAGTTATCCAATCAAGATAACCTCTTAAATCTTCCTCAATTTGTTGCTTCTCTCGAAGCTTATGAAAATCACCTCGAGCCTTTGCCTTTTCTCTTTCCTTTGAAAACTCTCTGTAAAAACAACAGAAGCACAACCCAAAAATATTAGTTATGGACAAAAGTAAATAAGTTCAAGTTGAATACTTGAGCGTTTCTTGTCTTTTATTGATGTCTGCTCAAGTAATCATTAATTTGCGCGTTTATACAGACAACAGTGAAATAGGAAAAGGCAAAATTGACTGAGAACACAAAATTAGGAGAATATAATTAAAGGAAATGTTGAATGATTCTTACCCGCTGAGAACACCAAGAACCAGATTCATGACGAAAAATGAACCCAAAATAACAAGACTAATAAAATACATCCAAGGAAATGTGTTCCCAATGGAATCGTTCATCTAATCAAGAAACAACATGAAAATGGGTTAAAAAAGATGAGACACAAACAGCAAATTGTATAATTTCAATTGCTACAAACTGTGCAAATTAAAAATCCATTGTAAATCACCATTCAAGTTTAATTTGACAATCTTTATCCAATTCCAACTGACAATCAATAGCAAGTTTCAGTTAAAAATCCCTTAACCCAGGATATAATGAGAAAGTCCTATGAAATTATCTGCTCCAACAATCTAACAAATTGTTAATCTTTTCAATTCAATTGTCATTTAAAAGTACAATTATCTGGTAAAATGAATTATGAAATTATTCAGAAGCTTACTTACAATTCAAGGTAAAGATGGTTTCATTTAAATTTATAAATTGAATTGATTAAAGTCTTTTCCCTTTTATTCATACATTTTACCCAAAAAGCCAATCTAATGAAAATTTTCAACTCATTTCAATGAAACAATTTAATTTTGTCAAAATGCAATTTTCAATTTCAATGATTTTAAGATGATCATCAATGGATTTTCAATTTAGTAAATCGCTTTTTTCAGGATTGCAAAAATATCGATTCTTGATTTAGTTAATCACCAAAGAATGATATTGAATTTAAAGTTGAATTTATGTTCAAAATCAATATTTAAAATCATCTTTTAACCCAATAATGGTTGATGCTTACCCAGTACATTACTTGAGTCCAACCTTCATTGGTTATGCACTGGAAAACAGTCAACATGGCCAGTCCAAAATTGTCAAAGTTGGTTATCCCATAATTGGGTCCAGTCCAATAAGCTCTGCAAATGAAGTCGCCATCACCTAAATCATCATCACAATTCCAGGCTTCCTCACCACAAGGTGTTGGATCCTCCATCATTTCACCTGAAAATGAAAGGTTCAATCAATAAACAATCGAAACTCAACCCAACTCCAACATTGGGTAAAACATTGAAAAGACGACTTTATCAATAACCAGAATGGCTGTTTCATTGGCAATCAAATTAACTAAATACGGATAATCATTAAAATGCAAGTAAACAGTTCAACTTTTGGAGTTGATCCAAAAAGCTAAATATATTGATATTTGAAAGATTATTTCATTTCAATCTTGAATCGTCTCGATAATTTTAATTTTGCTTTTCTCTTCTTCGTCTCTTCTGTTTCATATCTTCAGTGGTTAACAGATTTATTGGCATTCATGATTGAAATAAAAATAGATTAAACAAAAGGGAATGGACATTTAATTGAAATGAATCTCAATCGATATTGAATATTGAAAGTCTTTTCTTTCCTCAATTATGGATCAATCTTTTGTAAATTATTGTTCAGATTCAGATTAATCTGAGCTTGCTATTTATCAATTCAGTTTTAATCTAGTCACGTGTAAATACACACCAGTAACCATGTCGAGATAATCTTGAAGAAATTGCTCTCATCATTATTCAACTGTTTCCATAGGAACATAAAGGCTTTAATGGGTCCTTCTTGATTGTAATGATCAACAATAATTGACACTGATTATCGTATTGTTAACCTTTTTTGCACATTAAATTTGCTCATTAATCTCATGCGAACCTGACTCAGTTCTGACTGGAATAACAATGTTTTAAATGTGATTTCAAGATAACCTAAATATATTTATTTCAACAAAATCAACTTCATGAAAGTAATCACCATTTTTGATCAATACATTGAAAATCACAACAATAATGCATCAAAAATCCAATAAAGTTAACTGTTGTTAAACCTTAGTTAACCCAAAGTGAAGCTAATTTTAACCCAATCTTACGTTTTGGTGATCAATTTTGTTAGGGATTAAAGCAACCCAATAAAGTTGTAAGAAGTCAAAAGCCAAATAAAGATTTCTTCAGCTTTGATCAATTTTGTCACAATAAATATGCAAAATAGCCAAGTATAATAGTTGCTAGATATTTGGTCAAAATCAATGGTCAAGGAACTTTCATACAAAAGTAAATCCAGAAAAGTATATTTGATTGCTTGAAAGTGGTGAAATTCAATCATAACGTTCGGACGCACCAGGGAAAGGCAAAAGCTAACGATAGGTTGTTACTGAAAGACACAATTAACACAATTGTAACATTTATGCACAGCTTGGAACGAATGGGCAAAAAAGGATAAAAACTAATTTCTTTCAAGTCTAGACTCTGTTGGCTTGCAGGACTTAGAAACTCAATCCATTTGTGCGATTTGGAAGGTTCTCTGGTCCACTGTTTTCCAGGAAATCGAGGTTAAAGTTTAAACTTCGATGGCCTTTTTACCACCCAAGGAAGCAGCTTTTTTCATGAAACTTATTTTTCTTGTGTTACTTTAGATTATCAACCAGAAAATAAACTTATTTTAAGAAATAAAGTTTTCCGTTTTCTGTTAAACAGATCAGTTCGATTTTCATTCAAACCGTTCGCATTCTGTACCTCTGAAACTTAGAGAGTTAAAACTAATTATTTGTACATATAATTATTTGGGCAACATCATAGACTGAATATTTTTTCCAATCCATCAAGAGTTCTCTTGATTTGGACATTAATCGAAAAACTTTGAGTCTCGATATTTCGAGAATGGTGGCACCTATGGTCATCATTTCCTTCACTAATTTAATTCTTTACTAGTACGCAATGCAAATCAATCAATTAAATTCTCAACAGGTCATTTGTATCACGATTTTTTGGCTTTAAATGTATGAGAAACAACTTATTTAGCAAACAAAACACTTCTCAACCTATTTCTTAGTGCATAAAACAATTTTCTGGTTAGCCTTTCAAATAAAATGCAAAGACTGCTGCTAAAGACGCCAACATTTGAGTAAAGGGTTGAGACTTGGTAAGTTTGTAGGGACATGATAACTTCATCCATTGGTACTTTCAAATAATTTGTCCGATGAACAGTTTTCGATAAAATCGAGGTTAAATTTGAAACTTCGATGGCCTTTTGTGCAGCCAAGGAAGCAGCTTTTTTCATGAAACTTATTTTTCTTGTGTTACTTTTGATTATTAACCAGAAAATAAACTTATTTTAAGAAATAAAGTTTCCCGTTTTCTGTAAAACAGATCAGTTCGATTTTTATTCAAACCTTTCGCATTCTGTGACCATAAAACTTAGAGAGCTAAAACTTATTATTTGCACATACAAATTGTTTGTACATATAGGGGATCGAATACTTTTTGCAATTTATCAATAGTTCTCTTGATTTTGCTAATTGAACGCAAAACTTTGCCCTTCAATATTTCGAGAATAATGGTACCTACACTAATCATTCCTTCACTAACTGATTCTTTACTAATTAGTAAGGAGGATGTCAAAATGAATAGGGAAAAGTGCCCAAACTCAGATCACTTTCAAACTGATTTTTCTTATGTATTTTTTTATGCTGAATTCAATAATATAAATTATTTTTTGGTCAGAGTTACCGTTCGAAAGATGTACTCGAAAAAAACAACTGAATTTGAGGATAGAGGAACGATAAAGCTTCACGAATAAGAGTTAGAATTATGTGATCTAGATTTGTTTTTTATATAATTCAGTGTTCCTGATCATATATTTGTAATGAAAAACGAGAAAAAATGGTGCGAAATACCCAAACAGTTTGAAAGTTAGACACTTCGCATTTCGACATTTGTTTTAACCATGTTCCAGGTAGGAACGCACAACGATATTAACACAGTAGATATAAAGAACTAGCCCGATTTCATATTTAAAATAAAAAAGACAAAAAAATGGTGCAAAATAAGTCAAAGATAAGAAAATCTACTTCGAGTTTGTTCGGGTCGATTTCTGTCCATGTTCCAGGTAGGGACGCACCATGATATTCATATTATAGACATAATCAGCTATGCTGATTTCATATTTGAAATAAAAAAGGCAAAAAAGTGGTGCGAAACCATGTGATAGTTAAAAATATCA